TTCAAGTAACGGCATAAGACAGCAGCACTTTTCACCCAGTTTGCTTTCAGGGCTGCTTAAGACTTTTTTTTAACTGTTGCTGACCTACATACAACATTGCCATGTCAGCCCTCAAAACCAGCCTGCCCATAGATCCTCCAGACAGGAGACTCCCAGAGAACATAGCAACAGAAACTCTCCTCCCACCTCTCTCTCTCCCCTCCCTCCCTCCCTCCCTCTGGAGCTATGCAGGCCGGGCTCTGTACCTCCAGCCCCACTTGGCTCCAGGATTGGGGGAAGGGACTGAGTTAACATATGGCTTATTGTGCATTGTAGGCAATGCTTTCAGCTCTTCAACAACACTGGCTCCTCTCCTGTGTTGGATTGTTGGGCTGGAAAATTGCACTGGAGACTTTTGTGTGGCTTTCGTCTTTTGTTTGATTTCTGAGTGATTCATCTTGTGTTTGTGCATAAACTCCAATAATCTCACCATTTTCTCTTTGTGCAGTGAACTCCCCCCCCCCCCAAAATGCGCACAGGTTGAGTTATTGTCGTGGAGACTCCACTGTGCTCTCACCACCTTAATAACAGCGTTTGTAACACTTACAAGGGGCTAATCACATTGGCTGTGACAGCCGCAGACAGCTGGTGGAGAGTGATGACTACCTGTTTTATAACCGTGTTTGCTTTGGAGGAGAATGTGTTGCTGGCACAGTTTGTGGCTCCGTTGCGTGTCTAGCGAAGAGGTCCGCCACAGTTCGGTGACGCAAGGGGAGCTATTAATATCACAGGAACGGGATGTTCTCGCTTCAGCATTGGGGTCATTCGAGGATAAACAAACGTGCGTACCCTCGTAGTCGGTGGAGACAGTGAGCGCGACGTAACGACGTACGCAGATGATTTTTTTTATTAAGGGAGACGCTGCAACTTTTCACATTACATACCGTAGATCCCCCCCTCCCTCTTCGCGCCAGGCGCATCCCTGCGGTCAGCACGGTTCTCGCACCGAGGCTGGGGTTGTGCACCACCACAGTCTGCGTGGAGCCGCGCCCACTCGTGAACCCGATGACTTTTTAAGAGCAGTGCGGTGAAAACAGCCTCTGTGATGTAACAGAGGCTCTTTAGAAATGGTATGTTTTGAAATTCGACCTCTCTGTTTTCCCCTTGAACTCCGTCCACCCTATAGAATCGAAATTGGCCGTGTACTATCACGCTTTTCCAGATTACAGGCCGACCGTAACGCATTTGACGTGCGTAAATTTGTGAACGGCACCAAACACCAACTTTACGGAAGTAGAAGCAGACAAAGCTGGACCGTACATGATCAAACTAACTCCAATAATTGGCCACACAAGTCTGAAAAAACTCTCAAAGGTGCATTGAGGGCAAAGACATGGGCGCATATGTTTATTTATGTCAGCCTGTGGTCTAATTGGTAGTCTGGCATAAAGTACAGACAGGCTCAAAGGAAAGCGTTTTCCTAGAGGTCCTATAAGACCCTGCAGTTTTGGCTATTTATAAGTGGATTTACATTTGATTATATCTGTCTGAAAAAGTCATCTTAGTCTGCTGAAGTAGTTTTCAAATTTCTATTTGTGGTGCAAACAAAAAAGTAGGTCAGACTGTGTGTGTGTATGGCGGCGCAGTGATTTAGACTCTTTACATCTCTGAGCTTTGTTATGATGTTAAATGTTGAATGCATACTTTACAAAAGCTGGAGATGACACTTTCACTGTCATTTTTCAAGCAAGTTTTTACAGGTTGAGGCCTCTCTGGACAGAGAACTTGCTACTTATTTCAATCAATCAATCAATTTAGTCTTTTTTATAGCACTTTTCATACACGACCATGTAGCATAAAGTTCTTTACACAGAAAAAGGAATAAAAGAAACAAGGAATATCTAAATCTACCCCAGCCTAACCCCTCATTCCCACCCCATGATCTAAACGCAACAGAAACGGTATGAAAATGCATAAACTTAAGAAGAGCTTGATTTTGTGAAAACAGGAACTGAGGAAATGTCATTTTAAAACTCAAGATAAGAAAACACTGGAGATTAAAATCTAATAAAGTAACATAAAATGAAATTTAAGAAATAAGTAAAATGAAGTAAAAACAACAGTAAAAAATACTAAAATAAGACAAAGTCAGTGATATAAAATTTAGTTAAAAGCAAGACTAAAAAGGTACGTTTTGAGTTTGGTTTAAAGGTCATTAAGATTTTTAAAGCTATTGATTTACACACTGAGTAACAGATAAAAGTATAAATGAATGACAAACAATGAATGAAAAACAGGACTGTGTGGTTCATATATGGTTCTGCAAATAGTTAGAGCCTTTATGTTTATGTGTGTAAATCACACAGAATATTATAACATAATGAGTGAGGCTGGGCGAAAACAGATGAAGATGTAACAGTGTGGTGTAATCTTTGAAAATGTCAGTCGAATAAGAAAGGAAAAGTGAGTGACTTCTCTATGTTGTATAACTTTATTGACTTAGTGATAGCTTGCGAAGATGATCTATAATTGCAGATCTAATGTTTAAGTCAGGTTAATGTAGATCAACCATCTTCTTGTGTGTTTTTTCTTGTGTGTGTGTATAGTTGCGGGGCTCTGTAAACACTCAAGCATGGTGTAGGTTTACTGAATGCCATATAAGTGCTTGTGTTGAATGGCCTCAGAAAAAAAGACCCTCATCTCTATAGTATCAGCACTGCAAGTTAATGCAGCCCCTGCGGACTCACCACCCAGCTGAATAGTGTATTTCATAGTCAGGTCTCTTCACTAATGGCTGCGAGGCGCATCCCTCCCCGTCCGCTGCACTGATCAATGCATTGTGAATAGGGCCACTACTGACCAGCAAATGGGTGCAAAAACAAAACTGTGTCTGCTTCACTTTGCTCTTTTGAGCTGTATTGTATGGAGTGGACAAAGCCACCATGCTGTGATGTGAAGGAACAATGATGGCAGTAGCTACATAGTCATGGCTCAGCCCGGGGTCAAGGGAGTGACGTGGACCTAAGCTCCTGGCTATGAACTCAATTTGACATGCATGATTTTCGTCACTACTACGTCACGAGGTCCAGTAGATGTCTTGTGGAGCCTAATCTGTTTTCAAATTATGCAACATGAAATTCAACATGTTCCGTCAATGAGCGTTTGGAAGACTTTCTGTTCTGTGGTGGTGTGTTTGGGAGGCAGCACTGTGTAGTGGGGGATGCAGGCAGGATTAACATAGTGGTGAAAAAAGGCTGCCTCTGTTGTGTGGCTCAACATGGACAGCCTGGAGGCACAGGCAGAGGGTGGATGACGACCAAATTGAATTCCATCTGAAACAACACCTCCCACCCATGTGTGAACTGATGCAGTGACCCTCTTTTTCAGCCTCACCCTTTCCTGTAAGGTGCCTCATACAGCACCTTGAGGGCCACCAGACTTTACAATGGTACCTTATCTTCCCTCAAGTCTAAACCTACAAGACACCAACACCATGTAAACATACCCTACTGTAGTGTCCTTGTACTTGTCTACATGTTATCCTTACTTTGCACAGCTGTATATAATCTATCTGAAAATGAGTTTTTGGGACGTTGGCTTACATCCACTGTTTTTGCAGCCAGGAGTCGGCTTATAGCTCTGTCAGAAGATATTTATATATATATAAAGAAAACTACGAGTGCCTCTAAAGAACTCTAATAAACTCATTATATTGTTTGTTCTGTTCTTTTAAACATGATCATTTGCGTTTTTATGAGGCACTCTGTTCCAAACAATTTCTTGGCCGTCCTATCTATTGTTAGGTAACCTGCTAATTAGAGAGCTTTTATTGGGCTTTCCATTTTGATAACCTCTTGACAGTGCCATAGTGGCTGCCTTTGCCTATTTTCACTTTTTATGGTAAACTAAGCTGACTGGTTGAGTAAGTTCATACTTAGAAATACTTATCTTCTCGTGGTACTTACTGAATGAGAGGCCATGAGTGTATTTCACAAGTTATTAAACTTTTCCAAACTTTTTATTGACACACCATGTGTTGACTTTACTCTTGGATGTATGAACCAAAATAAAAGTTTGTGGTCGCTGCACATTTTAAAATTTAAGAGTTGATTTTATTCACCATAAAATGAAACTGATTGGAGCATGTCTGTTTGTTTTTGTTATTAGTTTAGCACAGGAGCAGAGACGTGATCTTTCTTGCACATGTGTGAGGTAATGATTATGTTGTCATTATTGTAACCCTTGTCCAATCTTGCCTTTGCACCATGCCTGAAGGAAATGTTGTGACAGTAAGTTCTTGATAAGAGCCTCGTAACACCTTAACAAGTATATCCTGATCGACAGCAGTCACGTCAGACTTTGTAACAATAACATGTAGTTTGGACTTGTTTACTCGCCTCAGCTACGCCTTACTGACTCATTTCGCCTCGCGTGAATACAGCATTCAAACAAGCCATACCTGATCTTTTGTGCTTTCCATCCTTAAGTCAAAGAAACAAAGAACTACACTTTACCTTTTCACCCGTCACGCAAACCAGCGCTGTAACAGAGAAGCCGAGAAGGTGGGCGTTTGGTGGATTGCTTGTGTTGACTATCATGGTCATGTTTACTCTGTAGCACCTGTGCCACGTGCCGTCTGACTAATCCTCTCTTCTCCTATACAGGTGAAATTGCCGCCTGTTTTGTCATCATGAGTCATGGGGCCCAACCGTAGGTGAATCAGTAAGGATGACAAAGCTTTGTGAAACAACAAAAACACAGAGACAGCGTGGCACTAATAAGTAAACCAACTTGATCGCCTCATAAATCAGTGTCAGTTTAAAATCACATGATCATTTTAATCAGTGATATATCATCTTTTATTTACAGTAAATCAACAGCTCAGTCGTTAGCATTCCCCTCAACTCACTGACAGATAAGACACACGCCACTTCCAGACACACCGGCTCCATCTACAATAAAACACCTGCAGCTTTATTACTTTTCCTGTTCTGATAAAGGTTGTTTCATTTTTGTTTCAGGGAAGTTTGGCAGGTTGGAGTTCACGTGCAACTTCAGCACCACTATATTAAAGTTCATTCAGAAGGAAGTTTTCTGTCAATAAGTGCTCGTGGTTTATAAGTGACAGTTGGTTTGAGATGTCAGGGGAGGATGTAAACAGGTGGGTCACAACAATGCTTCTTCCAGCCTGTACTGGTTGTGTCGGCTTGTTTTAACACAGCTTCATACGCTAACATTTTCAGTGGACACTTTGGGAGGATGCTGTTACCCTCCTGGAGGACTCGGGACAACACTGAGGTCCTTGTCCTGTGACAGCAAGCCTTCTTGATGTTAGGTAGCAGGTTCTTATTTTATATTCACCCCAGAACACTATCGCTGAAAATAGTAACACCATCACTATCGCCGGGTGATTTTTACCCGAAATAATAAACCCAAGAAAAAGTACTTGTCATCAAAATATATCAAAATAGGATACAACAAATTAAAGGAGTTTTCTTTTATTTTTCACCATATGAATTCCCTTGAAAATCACTACTTTGTGATAGCTATTCCTAACCACTGCACTAAATAAAGATAGCATGCAAATTCCAGGACCACTCTTACTGACCTTATTCCCTACATATGCAGCTATCAAATCCAGCCAAACCTACTTTACCTTCTATCTCTATAAACACGTGCCTGTAGGAAAAAGCAGGTTTTGCATCAGGGAAATAAATATGCCTTCAAAGATGTCAAAGGTAATGCTGAAGCTACCCAGGGACACATGATACTCAGACAAACGCAACATAATGAAAATCACATAAACATGTTTGGTCGTGTGAAAATCACCCGACCAAACAGATTAACGACAGCACAATAAAATTATGCACAGACAAAATAGTATTGATTTTTGACTGCAGCAGCCTTGGCAATGATATTCAGTTCATTTACATGTTGTACAAAGATATCGATGTATTGCCAGCTCTGTCCCACTGAAACTGGACTTTGGAAAAATATGACCTACTGACTGATTATCATACCGTAAATACAGACTTATCAGTGTTGCATGCATGGTGCATCAATTTGATGTTTTTAAAAGGTTAAAACCATAAAGGATTAGTGTTAGTGGTACTTTGGGCTTGGAGCTTGAAAATAGTCCAGCTCCGGTCAAACCAGGACATATAACGATAAAGTGGTGTTAAAATTGAACTCAAAGCAGCACTGTTCCAAGGCTGAGAGAGCTACTATCATTGTTGGAGTCTTGTGAAAATCTATACAGTTTTTTTTCCTCCTCTTAGTTTTTTTTTTTTTAAAGCATAAAAAGAAGAGTTTCCCTGGAGTGTATTCATTGGCTGGCTTTGAAAGAAACAACACTACACCGCCCTCCCTGCAGTTAAAAACAACTTAGTGTCTGACTCAATGTTTCACCAAAATGTGAGGATCAACCTTGGGTCATGAGCCAGAGGTCAGCACACTCCAAAAGAAGAGAAAACTCTGCCAGCGGTCTAAATCCACCGGTGGTGTTTCATGCTTTTATAGTTCTTTGTTTCCTTCTTTTACAGCCTTGAGAGCCGGGCCTTGACACGACAGCCCCACCAGATTGTTGTCGTGGTCAGACTGTCCTGTGCTTAAAGGGGATCTCTCCCACTACAAACAGAAGTGAAGAGGCCAATCAAAGTGCTGTTCCTGCCTGAGAACTTTATGTCAGTGCCAGACAGTGTGCTGTTTGGACATTGTGTCTGGAGGGTTTGGGTGGGGGGATTTGAGAATGTACAAAAAGTCTCATGAATCATCACTTTGCTGCAGCCACAGAAAGAAAGAAAGAAAGAAAGAAAGAGAGATTTTACTTAGTTACATTCTGTCTGAGCCAGAGTTTAATGTTTAAGTAATCCCTTCCACAGCTGCATGTTACCTTTCAAGGGGTTTGGTTGTATAATCTGCAGCTGATTTCCTCACTGTCTCTTTTGGCCTTCTTGTGCTTGACACCCAGTGGGAGTTGATAAACACTTGCAGTTTCCACACAGCTCTGGGAAATTACGCTGTGAAAGAGGAACTGTGCCCTCTTGACGTGCTCTTGTTTGCAGAGATCGCCAAAGCACGACATGAAACACAAGAACACCCCGTTTTTGTGGTGAAAGAATATGTAAAATAATACAGCCAGATGGCCTTCTGAATACCACATCGCCTTGCTCACCAAACACTGGGAACTTTCTAGTGTGGGCTTTTGTGTGCAGTGTTGAAAAGTGTGCATTCATTCTCACAGGAGAGCATCAGCTGCTGCAGGAAAAGCAGGCCTAATTCTGTATAAGCACTGTGAATGCCATTTTGATTTTAATATTGAATTTGCTCATACAACTCTCCGAATCAATAACAAGGTTTTTAATGCATTAAACTCTAATAACTGGGGAGATAATGCAGCAGTTTAACCATTTTTAGTCCTGTAATCTGAGACAAATGCATCCATAAAACCCCCCTGATCCGAACACGAGGGTCAATTTGGGTTCATGGGGTTAACAGGGACATTGAAGCTTGTTTCTGATAGAAATCAATCGCATCCGCTCGACTATGTAGTTTGTGATTACACCTTATTTTTTACAAGACTGGTTTCTGTGTTTATAGTCTTCAATTAAATACCCATAAAAAAGTTAACTTTTAATGGATTTAATCCCATGTGTGTGGAGATATAATCCAACACAACAGCAGTAAAACTAGCACTATGCTAGCACATAACCAAACCTTCATTAGGGGAGCATCGACTCGTTCCACTTGCCTCATATTAACTTGAGAAGACATTGGTACTGGTGGCTGGTCGGGTTGAGGCTCTGAGCAGGAGTTTAAGGAACAACAAGAGTCTAAAAGAAGCTGCAATCTATTAATAAAAAAGAAGAAAGTACAAGCTGGAATTGTAACCTTGAGAATATTTCACTTGAAAATGGGTCATGACCAGAAAGTGTACAAACAACTGAATGCTAATTTGAGTTATGATGCAACTCCTCCATTTCTGTACTCATTTTTAAGGGCAAATACCAAAAATATCAATGCACCATGGTAGGACTGTAGAAGAAGAAGAAGAAGAGGAAGTAGAAGAAGACATTTGCTTATGTGGAATCTCAACAGGCTAGGACAGCAATTTGGCTCTCTGTCTGCTGGCACACAGTCTCATTGGCCAGAAGCCCCTTAGAGTGCTTAACGCTCCAAGAAGGTGACACAATGATATTCAAAGTATCAGGGACATCTTGCTGATGATGAAGTGCAGCCTACAGATTAGGAACCCACTTGGTCTTATTGAAAAGGTTTTTTTTGTGACATGTCTGCTTTATCATTTCCTCATTTGATGTAACTGGACGATGTGTCACAGAGGTAGTGGGAAAGTCTATGACTGAGATTTTTCACACAGATTGTACAGGGGAGGTTGTAAAACTTTTGGTTAGTTAGTTAACCACTGTCTTTAAAATCATTCATACTGATCCTGTCACTGGGTAGCTGACTGGAAACCTTCGTCTGAGTAATCACTTCTTGGATATCAGAACAGCTGGTTCTGTGATGATCAATCAGGTATTACACTTTGATCATAGTTGAAGATACGTAATAATTCATCATCATTTGTGTCTCTAGTGCAGTATTTGTTGCTTTTATCTAATGATGGACTGATATGGTTTTTCAGTGGCCAATGCAGATACCCATAATGAAAGAGCAGGTTTGCCACAGGCCAATATAAAGTGCTGATAACACAAAAAAATCAATAAATCAATCAATCAATCTATCTATCTATCTTTATATATATATATATACACATATATATATTTATATATGTGTGTGTGTATGTATGTATATATATATATATACATATAGATAGATAGATAGATAGATGTAGTTTTATGTATATAGTAACATTTGTGTATTATATATATAGATTATGTTATATATATATATATAGATAGATAGATAGATAGATAGATAGATAGATAGATAGATAGATAGAGTTTTATGTATATAGTAACATTTATATATATATATATATATATATATATATATATATATATATATATATATATATATATATATATATAGATATAGATATATATCTGCTATCTCTGATAGATAGATAGATATAGTTTTATGTATATAGTAATATTTATATATAACAAATGAGAAACAAAATTTCTAACCTCAAGTGAATGCTTCATGAAACAAGTACAGAAGGACAAATTGTTGGCTTAGTTAAATATATAAGAGGACTGATGCTGGTTAGTTTGCTGACTGATTAATCAGTCTGTCTCTTTCACAGTTGCTTTTTTAGTTTACATTTAAGTAAAATAAGAAAAAGAAAAAATCTTCAATGAGGGGATATTTCAGTTTTTCTACTTGAAATAACTTCATTCACAGATAAATCATCATAATAATACAACAGATTCACTGCTTTATTGAAATTCAGAAGATTTGCTTGGTTGTGCAGGATGCTGCAGAACACTATGTTCCACTCCCACTCCATTCATCCTAACATACATGTGTGTACATCGCATGTTCTCCTCCCCAAAGCTCCCTGCAGTACATAATTTGTCGCATGTGAGATACATCATCTGAATGCATGGAGGCAACCTGTGGTGAAACTTCCAAGTAACTCGCCTTGCCGGGTGCATTAGAGGACACGAAGCACCCAATGAATGAGCGGCTGCTCTGTCGATGCTGCCGAGCGCTGCCGGTCGACACGCCCCCAGCATGGATACAACCAGCAGGAACAGGCGCTCAGGAGACACACTCACTATGCTGGAGTGTGTATGGAGCCGCGATGGGAGTTAACACATCCAAGTTTCTAGAGGTCCTGTTACCAGCGTCGTTGCACTAAACAAAGACATTGGGTTTGTTTTTCTATCTCTGCCTCTGTGTGTGTGTCTGAGGGGGCTTGTCTGCGTATTTGTCCGAGGCGTTTCTCTCACAGGATGTTGATGATATTGGAAAGCCGGGTAAGATAATAAAGTCAGTTTTCTCTCTGATGAGAACCACCTCTCTTCTTCTCCTCACCACCACACAAAGGGAACCACGGAACAACTACTTTTTTTTTCTCATCTCTCGCAATCATTTTGATTTTTTTTTCCTGAATGTCATTAAGGAGCAGAGGGGGCTGTTTCAAAGACAAAATGGATCACTTTGCAGCAGAGTGCCTTGTTTCAATGTCCAGTCGTGCAATTGTCCACGCGCCTAAAGGGAATAGGGAGATTAAACCAGAAATCCCGTCCTCCCCCAAGAACGGAGAGGAGATCAGAGAGCCTCTGGTGAAAGATAACTCCTCTCTTTTTGTGGTGGCGAGGATTCTGGCGGATTTTAACCAGCAGACTCCCAACAATGTTGCCGAGCACGCAAAAATAAAGGATGAGAGCATGCCGGACCTCATAGATGATGGAAACTCTGCCACACCTACCACCATCTCCGATCCTTCGTTCAAACAAAGAGGCAAAAGATCGCGAGGTCGAACTGAGCAAGAATCACCTCAGAAAAAGCACAAATGCCACTATTCAGGTTGTGAAAAAGTTTATGGCAAATCATCCCACCTCAAAGCCCACCTAAGGACACACACAGGTCAGTTTCATCGGATGCGAATGTTTGTTGCTTTGAACGTGACTTATTGTTGCCTCTGTGTGAACGGCTGGGACGATTAAAACTGAGAAGAGTGACAAGAATTGTGGTTTTTGTCACATGCAGATGATTTATAAGTCGGAGAGGGTGACTGTAGCCTCCTGCGTTTTTACCGAGATCTCTGTCAAAATCATCACGTATCCTCCCTAAACGAGAATACTTGACGCAGAAAGTGCATTTCGGGTCAGTTTTGGCGCATAGTTTGAGTATTTGATTGTTCCTCTAAGTTCTGTGAACTTTGTGAGATGTACTTAAAAAATTCGGGGGAGGGAGGGAGTCGAAAATAGTGCCACTCCCACTCAAGTCCGCGAGCTTTGTCGCTGCTTTCCTCTTGCACCCCCTTCGCCTGCGTCGAGCTGTGTGTGTGGGCCTACGGATCGAAAATGCGGTGGAAATGCGCACAGACGAGGTTTGTACAGTTCGTGAAGTTTAGTTCGTTTCACAGCGAGATGAGAAAAAGACACGTACAGCGCGACAACCAACTCTGAACAAACAAGGACTTGCAAAAGTTTGTTGGTGAGCTCCGTGTACCGACACACTGCGGGGCCAAGAGCGTCCAAACGTGCGTCAGATCGGCCATGCTTTGTGTTAGTCTCCGCTCAAGCGCCATACCTCCATGCTCGATCTTTGCATTCCGCAGGACGGGTTAAAAAAAGGGGGGTAAACGATGTAGATTGACTGAAATTGTGGGGTTGATAAGGGCTATGCAGTTCCCTGTCTGCCCAAAGCCCTTTGTTGTGATGTGCCACACCCCCGCTAGACAGCCTGCCAGCTGATCTGGCCAGCAACAGACTCAGCTAGCTGAGCCTCGACGGAGGAGCCTCTCCTCCCCTCTCTGCTCTGTAGACTGCAGCTCATGCACACCCCCTCTTTCCCACCGATACCCTCCTTTCTTCCCATACAGATATACATACAGCAGAAACAAAACACTTCTCTCTGGATCATATGACAAAGGTAGGGTGGTAGCTGCACATACACATGCTATACTACAGAAGTATATGAAAGAAAAACACACATTCCCTCATGTGAAGCTTATATCGAGACACTAAGCCTGTTTGTCTCAATATTCAAATCCAGGACACATCTATACATTTCAAAATCACCTGATCTACCATCTAATATAAGAATCTCTGTATGTCATGATTAAAATCAAAGCATATCTGTGCAATAGGAGAATCCTACTCTGGAAATAGTACATTTTAGCTGCAGGGACACAGACTGATTTGACTCTTGATCACTATACAGATCAATTCACAGGAATAGCACCAAAATACCTTTTTGTGTGTGTGTTTTCTGCAGCTGTAATTATGACTATGTGCCCTGCCTTTGTCTCTTTCCATGTGAAGTTTCTTCTTCCTTGAAGAATAGATCCTCTTTGTCTGTCTTTCTGATTGGTATGTGTCCTCTAATTTCTCATAAAAAGGACATTTTCTGCTAATTTGATTGGTTAGTCATGGAACGTGAGTCATCTCAGTTCAGCTGCCTTGTCTCAGCCAAACTTGCAGCAGCGCCCTCAGAGAGCACACACTGTGCTTTCCCTCAGCCCCAGCTGTGTGTTTTTAGTGCACTGTTACTGCTCTGTATTAGCCCTACCCTTGTCTCTTTGCCTATTGAGTGTTTCCTTTAGCCTGCCTTTCTGTTTGGATATGCTTAGCCGTCTGGCTTCATGATTGGTTTGTGTCCCATAAATTCTGGTAATTGTGGCTCTTTCTGCTTATTTGATTGGATAGTCCCAGAATGTGGGTCATCTGAGTTCACCCCGGCTGCCTCAGCCAACCTTGCAGTGCTTTCATAGAGCCAGACTCTCTCAGTGTGCTTCCCTTCAGCCCCTACTAGCAGAGTCAGGAGAGAATGGATCCCAGCCAGTCCCCGCCAAACACCGCTATCTAATTGAGGGGGGGGGCACTGTTATAGACACCAAACAAAGAGCCGGGGACTCGGTGTCCTTACTTGACTCCTGAAACGCCCATGCGTCATCATCCCAGATTCTGCAATGTGTGTTTGTGTGTGGGATTTTTCAGAGAAGAGGAGCTGAAACATGAGCCATGTTGATTTTTTTCTTCCATATCTGCAGCACATAAAAACCTTACCCACTAAAAGGTTAAAATAGACTTCACCCAGCTTTGATTTCACGATGTAAGGCACCAGCTTTCATATTAAGGGATGCAAAGCTTCAATTTAAGGATGTTTTCTTCTGTTTTTTTTTGATGACATTAGATATTCAATTTTTTGATTACTTTTCAATGGGTTTGGTTCCTCTTAATCAGAATCAGCACGAGGATCATGTGGTGTCTCCTGCAAGCTCCAGAAAGATTACAAGGGCTCTATAATTTTCTTTACTGCTTTTCTATGAAGATTATTGAAGATATATTTGCTGAGGATTTTAGAGTCTCTATTATAAGTTTTAAGTCGCTGCTACCTTAAATGAACATTGATTTATTTCAGTTTGGTCAGTACTCAAAGCAGGAAAAAAACAAATGCAAAAGACTCTCGACAGCAATTTGATTTCCTGCCAACATTCGGAGGACTACCCATAGTCCTCACCGTGAACAGCTTTTTTTTGTGTGTGTTATGTAATCTCTCCTCACAGATTTCATCATATGATACAGAACTGGCTATAGCTGATCATAGTGGTAATGTTGTATACAGAGCAAAGAGATGAAATACATCAGCTATAATACAATTCTTGAGCTCATATGCCATCATTTGACAAATATTTAGCTTTTCTGTAATCTCTGAAATCAGGTGTAAATTAAAGCACAGGTAACCATCCAGTTTTGGACACTGTTGCCAAACCCAATCTGTATCAATACTTTTCAAGGCATTAGCTGGATGGAAAACAATAACCAACAAATGGAAACAAAAGTCTTTGTCAGAAATTCTTACTGCCAGTTAACCTGAAGGTTCTTTGTCATTTTCAGGGGCTAAATTTATCTGGACATTTTAAGGGGAATTTTTATGTTTCTATCAGCAAAAGCTGTGAATGCTACCAATAGAGCCACTTTATTTCATCCTCACTTTCATTACCCCTATGCTAAGGTAGCTAGCTTACCTACTACAGCATGTGTACGGGTCTCTATCGCGGCTGATCCAGAGCGACTAATTTCTAGCTGTTGAAATGTTTGTTTGTTGTGGCTAACAACTAGCTAAAGCAGAGCTAGCACCACCAGCCTTTGGTCCTCCTTGCAGGTTAACATCCACTAGCTGGTCACAGATTGCATGGGCTAAGTGGTAATACACAACATACAACCTACTTTTTTTTCATTTTGAAGATCAAAATACTGAGAAAAAAATTGCAACAAAATGCTATCCATCATCGATACTTGTTTCACATCCTTTGTAGCATCATGGGTGTAGCCTTTAACCGGAGCGATGGCCTTGGCCAGGGGCAGGTGGCTAAGCTAGAGCACAGGAACAATGTACGACTGGCATTTTGGGCCTCTGTTGACAAAAACATTGGGAAGTCGTCAACAGTGCATTGATCGGTCAACAGACCATCCCTTCTTGTGCCACAGTGAATCCCAAGTAACCCTTTTTTGGGGTCCATGAAGGTTGGAAAACTGTGCCCTAACTGCTTAGTTGAAATGCAGTCTATTTTGTGTTATTTAAGGGTTCAAACACTTGTCTTCTTAAGTGTTGTGTTAACCTGGACACCAGGGTGTTGCAGATGTAGGATAACATGCTGAACTGAATCTGATGGTGTGGAATCCACCAAAGTGGGTTAGGGTGCAGTGTACAAAGTGGAGTCATGTAACGCAAATGTGCAGATAAACTCATCTCTAAATGGACCAAATGTATTTCAGTCTATTGAGTCTTTCTCTCGAGATTTTTTTGTTCATTTTTTCTAAACTTTTTGTCTTGAGAAGCATAAAAACCCTCTCAACAATGAGGACCTGCTTTTCTGAAAGGTGTCCTGTGCTTGAACAGAACATTTTGTTCTCACTGAAGCCTCATTACTCTGCCCTGGTCATGTCATGCACACAGCCATATCCAAAGGAGAGATGGCCCCTGACAAGCTCATTACAAGTCGTGTCTTCTTCAGAAAGAACAGCCCGGGCCTTCTGTGCCCCCCACAGCTGGGCCTCACAAAAGGCCATCTTGTCAGTGTGTGAGACCTATTTGAAAACCATTTTGAGGCACAGGGAGGAACAGGGTCAATGTATCTCAAAGACAAAGAGCCTAATAACATATTTTACAGTTGGATTGAGGTTTTGTTTGGACCTCTTTTGTGTTCTGCTGGGGGTACCTCCAATTCTCTGAAATGCTTGCAAATCCCCGTCCTAAAAAATAACCGGCACCACCTGGCAGTACAGTTCAGCCGTCGTATAGACCCAGTTATTCATGCAAGCTTTCTATTTTCAGCCAAATGACTGCGGTCAATGACACTTTTTTAAAACATGAAATTATCCAAATTCCACATGGAAAAGAAGCAGTAGTCGCTTCTTTTAAATATGGTGTTTCTTCCAGTGGCTTTATATTTGGCAGCGCTGCTACACAGAGTACCCAGTGTTCCTGTGTGGCTGGTGGCAGTGATGAGGTAGCAGGGCGGAGATGGGGTTTTCCTGCTTCTGCTCTAGCCTGACCTTGGCACAGCAGTGGATAAAAGTTGTAGTGAAGCATAAAAGATCAGTCTGTCTACCTGCCACGCTCCCCCCCACCTAGTTAATCTGATGGTTCATAAAAGTGTCAACGGTAATTTCCATTTGACCTCATTCAGCGCCATTAAAAAATAACATTTTTTAGCCATAAAACTGGTCTGTCAGTACAACTCTTTGATGTGGACTAACAGGACATGGATTGCCTTAGAAAATGTACTAAAAGATCATAAATGATGTATCTCTTTGATTAAAGACTTCTACTTTTCTAGGATATATCAACTCCAACCAATATAGTGGTCACCAAAATCTCTTCCAAAGGTTCAAAATTACCAGGTGGTCATACTTGGTGATGCTCCCATTACCATGACATTGTGTTACCAAGAGGTTCACATTTCTGGTTTTACGGGTAACTTCTCCAAAACTGACTTATGGATGCAAAGGGATTTATTATATGTCACCCTCTGTGAGAATGGACCATTTTCACACAGAAGCTATTTTACTCTGACTCAGCGTGGGAAGCTTAGATGCTGTCATAAGCACACAGTTGTGTACTATGCTACTCTATTGTGTTGTAGACAGGAAGTCTTGTAAATTAAGTGCATCTAAAGCATCATCAACTGCTTCTGGATGGAACAGAAATCGAGGAGACAACAATAGTGAAAACCACTGAATGTACAACGTTACTTCACCTTTGCCTATTGTGAGATGTGAAGGAACCTCCTCGGTAGACGTTGACATTGGTTGCAACATGACTTGGCTATTAGGGTCACAGGACTGTTCTCTCACACTATTTGCAGTCCAGATCTGAGCCAGAGGAGATTTGGTATCTCAATGGGAATCCTCTTGGTAAAACCCATTAGCTAAAGTAGAAAACAGCCTATGTTACCAATAACATGCTTTCTAATTGACGTTACAGTTTGCTGAAAAATGGCTTAAAAGTTCTACACAATTTTACAAACAACAGGTCAATTATCTGGGTTATCTAGAATATCTTCATTAGTCCCATCCCAGAAGTGGTTCAATCTTAGAAAATTGGTTGTTTTAACTTTATTAAAGTCCTTCCAGATTTTCAGTACCAATTCATATCACATGGTAAGCACATGACTATTTTTAGACATGTGTTGGTGTGCTGATGTAAGTGCTTAAAGCATGTTTGAGCCTAACAGGACAACTATGATAACTTTATGCTCCTTGTTTTGCTATAAAGGTTCTTATTGACAAATTTTATGATTTTTGATGTAACTGTGGAACACATTGGCCTAAAAACAGCCTTTTCTAATGAAATCTGTCGGGCTTGTGAAGATTATTTATGTCAGTTAGTTTGTGTCCATTGGAAGCTATGCATTCGTTAAATCTACTTGATCCATGGGATGTACATAAAACCAAAGTGGGGCCTCCATCTTGTCTTCTGTAATCCTCTAATGCAGGGTTACTGTAGCATGACAGACTTTAAGGCCTGCACTGTCCATATGCTGTGCCTGATTTGGACACGTATGGTTCACAGTAGGATAGGTCCTCCGTAATGTTGGACTTTACACAAGATTGAACTGTGATTATGCAGACAAGTATACATGCTGGACACTGAAAGGCCCCTGTCAGGCAGTTCACTGGCTTCGGTGCTTTCACTGGCCCAGGGGGGTCATGTATTCTTTAGTTAGCTCTGGAGTAGTTCTATAAAAGCGGCTCTGTGCACGTCCCCATCAGCCCCTCCCACTCTGCTCCAGCTTGCGAAGCAGAATAGGTGCTCGAGCGTGTTGTGTTGCGAGGCCGAGCCCTGGCCACGGCTTGAGGCGTGGTGTTGATTACCGCTGGCAGGAAGAGAAGGATACAGACCTGTGGAACAGTGTGCATTTTTCTCCCCCACTGTTCAGAAACCACCAACCACATCTTGCATGCAAGGGAGGGATCTGCAGCACAAAGATGGAGAATATACAGTGCAGCAGGGTGGGGGTGGGGTTAGATACCAGGATATTCACTGTCAATGCCCTCCATTGATGTAGGTCATTTATTCAGCTACATCTGCAGCTAATCTGATTAACGTTTGAAGGGCTGTGACCTCTGCAGCAGAAAACACCCCTGTCAGCCAGCACTCACCACGTCCCATCTAAAGAGGTATACTATGACTTAGCTCCAGAAGGGAGGGACAAAATTACTGTGAAGCTTATGTCAAAGGGAGTGTTTTGTCTCCAGCTCTGCTGTTTATGTTCCCCATGGTATGTAAGGTGTGTTTCTTCTCCCTGCACGATAAATCAGGCTGTGGCAGACCACGACACGCTTGGGTGTGGCCTTCAGAAACAAGATGAGGAGTATTTTGTGTAGTCTTGGGGGAAGGGGGGCACCATAATTTTCTGTAGACATGAAAATGTTTCTCTCTCTCACACACATATCAGCGTATCAGGTATAACTTAAGAAGGCTGGCTCTGTTAGCAGCGAGTATCTCCTCGTATCTCAGTGGAGTGAGACCTCTCAGGTTCTAGCCTGGCGACGTGTCTTTTGTTTGGTGCTGGGTTGTAGGCACATCTATCTCATATGAGCTGTAGTGTCAGACTGCATCAGGGAATGAGCTGGCGTTGTACTGCGTGAGTGAGAGTCATGGATGATGAGGCATCCCTGCTCCCACCTGCTTTTTGCGGACCAACTATAAACACCCATTAATGGCAGCAGCTGTTAGCATGTTCTTAGTTAACCAGTGATAAGGAGACTGCCTGTAACACATCAAGTCTGCAGGTTGTTTCAGAATGCACTCAAGGCTGAAACAGAGTGCCCACTTTAGCTAATTGAGCAAAATTTGATGAGCTGGTCAATGCAGGCGAGCCATCACTGCTTTTTCTTTAAAGAGTCAGGGTGGATGGAGTAATGTATGGCTAAGTGTGTGCAGGAATCAGACGGTCACACTCGACCCTGCTGCGTGTCTCCAGGTGAATGTCAATAGCTCTTTGCAGCACAGACCAAACGGAGTGAGTTACGGTTAGTACGCACAGACCATCCGATTGAAATGCATTACGGGAGTGCCTCTCCTGCTGGGATTGAGGCTGCCGCTATTGTTCATAACCTGACAGCTATAGGCCCACAAGGGGAGGCAGGCTTTTCAACAGCAAGTTAGGTCCCTTGAAATAAAGACAAAAGATGATTCTACATCAAATGTGTCCTGTTTTTTTTTTTCAGAGTTCCCTCATTACAAGCCCAGTCTAGTCTGAACCATGAACCCAAGAGACCTTTATTATTCCAGTAGAGACACCCGAAGGCCTGATTCACAAAAGGACTTTGTGACTTTTGGGTACATGTAGACGGTGGAAATGAACCATAAAGACATTGTCCATACTTGAAACCACTAATTCTATTGAATGCAGAGGAAGTCTTACCCGGGATTTTTACAGCATCCGGAACGGGCTCTGATCCGGAACGGAAGCAGTTTTTGCCGTACGCCAATTCCTACCGGATGGGTTTGTGAGAGGAATTTCTTGGCTGATTACATATAGCAGTAATCGTGAGAACTCACAAGAACCCGCGAATTCACGTGCAATTGCGCAATAACAAGTTGCCTCTTAGCCACAGAGGCTAACCATAAAAGCAGTCTCCTCATCCATGGTGTCATCAGGGTGAAATGCTGTCTAAAAACCTTTCACTTATTCGTCTCCGCCCGTTTGCATGGTGTGAAATACGATCTGCCTGAAACACGGATTGTTTTATTTTGAAAAGAAGCCAGATGTTTTTATTTGCGTCTGTGCCCGACTTCCGTTCCAGTACGGGTTAATCTGTGCTGAATTTATCCGGCATGCTCTGGCATCCGGAAAAAATAGAACTCTTACGATCAGCTGAGTAGTCCGGCGATTGGCAGTGGAACAGAAAGAATCTGGTGGAAATTGATACATTAGCTTGAATGGTTACGATCCGCTACGATTGGTGGATACAGCCTTTTTGTAGCTGTTCCGGATGCGGTGGAAATCGGGGGTAACTCCTCTGCATTTGAGATAGATAAAGGCCCTGCAACAACTGAATTGAACCAGATTCACTATCATTACTTTGGCAGGATTTTAGCTTCTACGGTTAAAGTTAGCATCCAGCCACTCAGCCACTTATTTGACAATATAAAAGCTGCAGACGAGCCCAAGTCCCTAAATGTGACATCACAGGAAAATGGCTGCCATGTGGTGGACAGAGAGATGTGTTTATGTCAATTCCTCCCCTCTCAGTCTTTGTAAATCTTTATGTGGACAATAGTCACATAAGTGGTTTCTCTGATCTTGGACATGTTTCAAATCAAGCTGGGATTGTTGTTTTTTTCCCCTTATTTTTGCAGACTGCATACCTTTGTAAGCCTTTGTTGTTCTTTTTGCACAGCGAAGCCTGCGCGCATACTGCTGTGAGAACAATGGAAAGTAGAGCAGTACAAGCCTCAATGTATAGTTAGTGTAGCAAACACACATGTTAGTGTTTATGTCTCCTTGGTATGATGTGATGTTGTCAGGAGAAGTCGAGGCTGGCTATGGTTGGGCTTTACTCTGATGAGAGACTCTGCAGTTATTTCAGCATTATCCAAAATCCCATGAATGGTTGTCTGCCGGCTCTCGCTCGGTTACAGGTCAAAGCCTGTTGTAAACATGTGACCAAATTACAGGATTTCACTGAGCCCCTCTACTAGAGATAGCAGTGACACTACTTTTTTTTTTCATATGGCCAAGCTGACTGTGCTTCAGGTTTAGCTCACTCCTGACTTCTTAAGAAGCTGTGATCTGTGGTGTGACACTAGTTTAACTTCCCTGTCTTGAGCCGTGTGCTTGTAAATTTTCCATGCATGTTAAGTGAGCTGCTTTATTTGTTCTGATCTCTGTAAATCTTTATACTTCCTGTTCTGGTTCTCACTGAGCGCACCGAGCAAAGTGAGCTTCAAGGAGATATCTGATGCATCCACAGGAACTTGACATTTTACCCCCTCCTTACCCTGAAGAGCTATTTACTCGAGCTCTCTCAAGGCACGCTCACATGCAGGTTGAAGCGGTACACTGTGTGAATTTGGCCCCTGCTAGAGGACAGACCAGGAATGTTATCTGCTCGTGTTTGAAATGCTGGTAGCTGGAGCAGGTGACTTAGCTGGGCTCCTGCGCCACTGCTCACGTCAAAAAAGAGATTTGATCTCGCCTTCACCGACAGCATCTCTTACACCCGGGAGAGCGACTCGGATTCCATTTCTCTGAACCATTCCTGCAGAAACGGAGGAGCTGGACTTCTCAGATATGAATGAGAGAAGGATGAGTGAGAGAAGCAGAGATGAGCTGTTTATTTACTGACCCAGTGGCCTCAGAGAGAACAGTTATATAACAGGAGTACCTGTGACATAATCACATTTCCTTGGAGGGGGGACACTAGCGCTTAGTTAGAGGTACAGTTTGTGTGTATGATGTAACTCACTTAACCGGTAACTGGGTCACTGTGTTCGTTAGGGAAAAGCTTCCCTCATTACGCGACCCCCTCGCCCAGTGCAACTGACACATTCTGAGAAAGGCAAACCACACCCTCGATGAGGACGCTGCCAGAGACAGGAGAGCCAATTGGCGGCGCCCGGCGTCACGAGCGGCACCGTTCCCCTGCTGTGACAGAAGTGGAGTTGGATTGGATCGAGAGCAGGGTAAAGGGAGTCGCTTGCAGCATTCCTCTTTCAGCAGAGATGCTGAGTAATAGCTGCAGTCTCCTGAAATATCTTGCAGAGTGACATCCTCCTACCACGCAGGGTGATAGCCCCTATCATCATCGTTTCCACTCTGGATCAAAGTGTCTGCTCCTTAAACCTCCCCTCTCTTTGCAGAAATGTTTTTCACTGCAACCACAGAAATGATAAATAGGGCGCTGCATGCTTTTTTATGAATCTTTTAAAGCTGACATTAAAGCAGCAGGATTTTTAATCCATATTCATATTGTTGACCTAAATGCTAAAAGCAGTTTAGCGGGAGGTGAAAACAGGCAGTCTATCTCTTAATTCTGCATTTCCAAGAAGTCACAGAGCTCTAAATAATTTGCTGCGTCCCAGTGAGTTGCTGTTGGATACCTGATGCTTCCACAATGACTGCATTACTGTATCAGCGCAGTCAGACTGGATATCTCAGCCTGGCTCTCTGGTGTCTGTTTAAATATTAATGGTGTTGGATCCGTTACACTGGTTATTGAGCCTTAAGCAGTCCGCAGAGCTAAGCTCTACTTTTTAGCCAATAACTCATTTTGCAGTGCCAGGAGGCAGCACAGGCTGCTTCTCCTGCTGCTATGAGGTATGAAATTTGATTATCAAGAGTCCGTTTAATGATTATTAGGGTTTTTTTTTTTTTCAATGGGTTTACTGCCTTAGGAATTAAACTCCCTCCTTCTCTCCGGGGTATTATCCAGGATGTAAACAGGGTCAAACAACCACAGCCTGCTCATTTTTTATGAATTGAACACCATGCAGAGCAGATGGTTTGTTTCTTTGTTGCGCCGTAGCTTGAGCAGCAGACAGTGAATGGTGTAGATATTTTTGGAAAGGGGACTCTGGACTTGAATGCAAATGTCAATGTCAGTTAGAGAGTTTACACACACGCAGCCCTGTATGGGCCCGCAGGAGCCGTTGAGGGCAGGGCAGCCTGAGTTTGTCTGCTGAGGTGAGGCGTCAGAGGCAAAAACACAGACCGGGCTGTCTAGACTTGCTCTGTCTGTCTGCATGTTTTGTAACCATGCAGTATATGGGGGGAGGGACGCAGACTATTAGTGCACTGAGTTCTTTTTTTGAGACTCATTGGCATCAGGTAGCATGTGAGTGTTTGACGCTGAACGGCACTGTTTCCATTGTGGCCCTGAGGGAAGGCGCAGAACAAAGAACGCATTTCCTGGTCTTATGTTCTCGCTTGTCATGCCACCCATAAGCATTCACGCGTCTTATCTCTTATTCCTTTTCATACCCCGGATCTCACCCCCCCCTCCTCGCACATGCTTACATATTATTCATATTCACAAGAAAAGAAGCATAACATTAAAGGATATGTCCTGCCCTTCTCTATAGCACTGCAATGTCACGCTGGTAAAATTAGAAGCTGGATGTGGCTATTGTCAGGCAGAAACTCACTGAAATGGAAGTAAACGGAATACAGTATTAGACGTAGAGGCCAGTGGATGCAGAGAGCAGCATTCAGGCTCCACGCACAGTTTCCACATCAGAATAGAGGGAAACCACAATATATAGAACCATCTGGCTTTGAGTAGATTTATGTCAGAACCCACTTTTATTGCCTGATGGAAGGGGGAAGGGTGTAATTTTCCCATGTGCAGAGTCACAGATAGTTGCATGTTGGAAAATGGGTTGGGTAACCATTGTGAGTGTGATAAGCATCTGGAGCTGAGATAATTAAGCTGCACGTACGTCTCTAGCACAGCACACATTTTGAGAAGATATACTGTAACGCTCATCGCTAAGGCACCCCAACTTTTCCCTCATGTTTTTATGCTTACTATGAAGATAGTTTTGACATCCTTCCCTTTAATGACCCTCAAGACCTGACAGTGGATTTTGATTAATTTACTCAGATGACTCAGAGTCTGTCACCAGCACAATGTCCTGCAGGAAGCCTATTTTGTTCTTTTCAAAGTGTTTTTAGGTGTGTAGGGTAGTCCTCACGGTTTGTTAACCTGGAAACACCTCATTATGAATCGTGTGTCTCACTGTGTTGTGTGTGATGTTTGGTACACGTTGAGTGCCGGACTATGTACATGTCATGTTTGATTTGTCAAAAGCTACTCTCACTGTGACTAGAAATAACACTAAAAAGCCTTTTTAGAAGACATTGTTAACAGGCCTGTGATTAAAAACTTCAACAGAGTCATGCTGTCGTCCTTTGTTGGGACTCACAAGTCCAAGTCTGGGGTAATTGACACAGGTTGGCCCATCCAACTTTAAATCATGTTCCTAATCTTCAATCACACCATTTTTGGGGGCAGTCAAGGGGCGTTGAGATAGTTAAAAAAAAGAAATATAAATTTCAGCAGCAGTGTGCTAATTCAATTAACTTTGATTATAAAATAGGGTGACCATACATCCTCTTTCACCCGGACATGTCCTCTTTTTTGGGGGCTGTCTGGGCTCGTCTGGCTTTGTCCAGGGAAGTTTATAAAATCCTTCAAATGTCTGCAGTTTTGTACAGAAGTTTCGAGTTTGTGTCACATGGACTTAGTAGAAGATACTCGATCTGAATCGAAAAACTCTCAAAATGAACTTTGTGCGACTCTGTGACTCTTTTTGGGAAGTCAGAATCTGGTCACCCTATTATAAAAATACAAACACTGGGAAAACTATGGAGAAATATTTAGAAGTATGGTGACCTACAAGGGTTTGAACATGGAACAGTAAATTGGTTTTCCACATGGAGAAAAAGACCAAACATTAAACAAGATGATGAAACACAAACAACACAACAAAACAAAGACCTGCCTCTTTTTTCAATGACAGGCTTCAGTTCCAGTTAGTGCTCCCTCTAGAGGCCTGGAGTATTTCTGTTATGATGCTGTGCCTTCTGTTGTTTTTGTTTTCAGGGTTTGTATGATTTGCAAAGTGATGCATTTTTTGTTTATTTAACTTTGGTTTAGGATTCTGCGTATGTGAATTTTCATTTCATTGACTAGATAAAGAGCTTTTTTTTTCACTTCACTATCTTGTACTTAAACATTTCTCCACCCCTCTGTGTGTTACAGGAGAGCGGCCTTTCCCATGCACCTGGCCCGACTGCAGTAAGAAGTTCGCCCGCTCTGATGAGCTTGCCCGCCACTACCGCACCCACACAGGGGAGAAGAAATTCGGCTGCCCGCTCTGTGACAAGCGCTTCATGCGGAGTGACCACCTGATGAAGCACGCGCGGCGCCACTCAGATTTCCAGCCCGGCATGCTGAAGAGGCCCCACAGCGGCAACGGAGGCAGCACCCCACGTCCAAGCTCTCTCAGCGACTACAGCCGCTCGGACGCCTCCAGCCCCACCCTCAGCCCCACCCTCAGCCCCGCCAACTCGCCTTAAACTGAAAACCCGGTCGCACTTTCTGCCTCTGTCCTGGGAGGCCTGTGTTTTTGTCATAACACTTGTGTTGCACAGTTGTCAGCAGCCCCCCTCCCTTTGCTATTCCTGCGCTTGCTGTGGTGTACCATACTGTACATAACTGCTTATTGTAGTGCAATTACTTGTGCGATCCTAAAAGAAGGTAATGCCTTTCCCAGACGGCAATATTTACATTCTGTACCATATGTCTGTATTTTTTAGCTTCTGATCATGGCTAGTTGTCCAATGTATGTCTGCAGTCAGCGAAACAAGTTTAGAAGAAAAGAGAAACAGACACCCTGACAAGTCTTATCAAAACAGATTTCTTTTTTTTTTTCTTTTTAGTTTTGTTTTTTCTTCTCGTTTGAGCGGGTGCGGAGAAGGGGTACACACACACACACACACCTCAGGATTGAAGACAGTTGCTATTTCTGTAATACCACAGTACTTTTAACAGTACTCACATTGACTGCACAATATACTCATCACTTTACTCTGAAATTCAACAGGGGGTTGAATTTTACGCCCTTCTCAGGGATGGCCTTGTTAGCTTGAAAGAATGAACACGGAGAAGAGAAACATACATATATAGCAGCCTTACACTCAACACAATTTGCACTCTTTGTTTTTTGTTGGTTTTCACGTTGGAGGAAACTCGCCCTGTGCGTATACGACCGATCGTAGACAGGATGCATGTTCATTGTTTTCCTTTGTGTTGTTGGGGGTTCAAATGTGACATAATTGCTGTTTGTTGACCCCCAAAACACCCACCTTTAAAAAGCAAAATACATCTGTTCCTTCACTGCGACCCTAATATTCAGCTGCTGTTACACTGGGTTCAACATGTGTTTGGTTACACAACGGTGTGCAGTGTATACTGTGTAAATCTGCATTATGGGAGGACTGGGATTAAACTGGGTTAACAGTTTCAAGAATTATACTCAGCTGAGGGAACTTTACACCCTTTAAATGGAGACAGTCAAGTTTCAGAGCAGCTGTTGAGTCTTTCTTAAAGAGCACTGTGTCATCAGCCAGTGTTTCACTCACATCACGGACACAAAGGGACTTTAGTTGGAACAATGTTTATCCATCTCTGAAGCACATAGGAAAAAGTACCAAAGACAGAAGTGAATGAAAGCCTTCTTTCAGTGTCGTGAACCGCCCTTCACTGAGGCCTGAGGCCGCTGCTTGGCAGTATCTCAGGTAGGGCCAGACAGCCTGCTCACTTTCCTCCCTCCTGCCTTTTGTGGCCTCCCTGGAGGAAACAGCTGCATCCCACAAGAAGTCATTCACAGCCTTCAGGAGGAGTGCTAACATGCCATTCCCGGGGAAGTCCTCCCTCTTTCCCCCAGCTGGCTCTACCTGTCCTGCCAGAGAGCAGCGGTGGAGCGCAGAGCCAGCTAAATTGCGTAAGGTCGGCTAACTTGTGGGTCAAATGTAGGCCAGAGTGCCGGGCAGGCTAAGCCAGGCTGGGCCGAACAAAGGGACTATCTGCGAGAGACAGGCAAGAGAGGGCAGGTCCAGATAAAAGAGGAGAGGTTTATCATGAGCCCAGCCGCAGACACTCTCATCTCCTCCTTTTTCCACCCTCTAACGGCAGTAACTGTGAGCAGAAAAAAGGCTGAAATTAGCAGGTTGCTCCAACCTGTAGGGCAAAGACGAGTGTGTGAACAACAGTACTACCTACACAAGGCTAGCAGCGTGGGTGGGATTTACCCAACTTCATCTTAAGCACAGGGAGAAATCCTCCACTACTGCTGGAGAGCCCGATTTTTCAATGCCAAGGAAAATATCGCTCCAAATTCACAAACACATACTTTCAAACAGCTGCTTTCAAACTTCTCTCTCACTTTTAACAAAGGGGGGCTTTTAAACTGTTGTAAAAAAAAAAATCTGAACCAAAAGGAACATATCAGCAAAGAGCAGTGCTCACCAGCCTCATGTCGTCCTGCCTGTGAAGCTCAGATGTCCCCGTGAGAAAGCTCACTTGTGTTTTCTAGACAGACATGCCTCAATAAGTCAGGCAAAAGGCACAGTAAACCTTCCATGGAAACAGGCACTGCTATCATAACTGCTGCACCCCCCGCCGGTCTGTGTTATGCCTACATTTAAACATACATTTTCTCTTAATGCTTCGACACCATAATTAGAAATAGCTTCCTCCATGATCTGGCCAAACCCTTCCAGACCATGTTGTCATCATGCCATCTTTATGCGACCACCGACTCATCCCACCCTTGCCACTGCAGTCCCATGCTTCACACTACATGCATGTTAAAAGGTCCGCCTGGGAAGCGTTGAGGCTGTTTGAGGCGGTCTGGCAGGTGTAAGTTCATGAATGGCGGGCCTTGTCCTCCGTTCCCTCACAGCAGCCATCTCTCTTTAAAGCTGTGAAGAATCAGCTCTGTCACAAACATCCTCCAGAAAGAAAACATCCCTTATGTAGATCCAAATGCAGTAATTTCCTCAAAACACAACAAGATGTTAAAATAGCTTCCAGGCTGCAGGATGACACTTTGAATGGCACCGATAAGCCGCCACGTTTGAGAGGGTTGAACATGTACCGCGTCTGAAAGAACAGAAAACAAACTTCCTCAGATTGCTTTTGAGCAGCTTTTGATGATGTTACCCATAACCTTTCTTTGTCATAGTCAGTTTTTGACTCGTTTTGTAACTTTCTCAAATAAAAAAAGAAAAAAACTAAACATCTTAGTAGCTTGCCAAGCAGGTTTCATTCAACAACTCTTATTTCATAAACTGCACATTTACCTCAGGGTCAACATCCGCAAAGCAAAGCAGATACGGGAGAGAGTTTGTGGACTTCATGTAACATCCTTTGCTGCACAGAAATGTCAGCCAGCCCCCTTTCTACACCCTAGGTGTCCCTGGGTGCTCACTGCTGGTCAGTGTCCCGCCACACTGGAAACACAGGAATGCCTCCTCAGCTCCAAGGGGGCCTGTAATGTCTTCATAACATCCTACAGTCCTGCTATAAGCGCTGGGCACTGTGGAGCTGTTTTAAGTGTAATGCCCCTTTAAACACCTTTGACTTATAGTGTCAGTGGACTTGCAGTAGGCCACAGGAAGCTCCTACCATCTGAAAACAAACAGACTGTGACTGTGTAAACAACAACCCAGTCTATCCATCCATCCAGACTGCAGCAGCGACAGAAAGGCCTCCGCAGGCAGTGTGTCTCATTCTTTTTACTCTCACTGTACCAAATCTACTTGAAGAATTCAACACAAAAGGCCATTGAACACGCTTTTGTACATGTCCATTTTTACTGTATGTGCTTTTATTATCGAATGATTCTTAACCTCTAAGGAAAAAAAAGGTGTTTGAAACATTTTTTCCTGGATTTTCCATTGTCTTCAGGTCATTTCAGCAACTTTTTTGGAATCTATGACAGCATTATGGTTGACTGTTTTCTGTTGGGCTGTTTAAAGGACCGCATGATGTTTTAGAAAAGAAAGAAAACGCCCCACTGATGGGTGTTAACCCCTTTAATCTGAAACACTTTACACTCTGTTGATGTCAGGATTCGGGTTATTTCAGATAGCCCGTTATCCAAAAATTAATCGGAAAAGGAAAGGATTGTTTTCTGAGGGTATGGGGGGAAATTACGAAAAAGGAAACTTCCTGACCTCTATGTACGACTATTTCAGATGGTTTGACTCATTTTCTTTATGATTTAGGTTCTTTTGAAAGTTTTCCATAAGAATAGACCACAGCATTGTGAGTTAGCAATGTAGTCATAATAATTTTTACTGTTGCTTTTTTTGTCTCATATGAAATGTTAAAGCTTGTATATTTTTTTCAAAATCATACCTCTTGAAATATTTGACTTTTTTTGTTGTACCTTCATATCTTTTCAGAACATCCATCATGTAGCTTTTGTTTGCTTAATGAGTAGCACAAATAGGTGGTTTTATTTGTCCCTACTTGAATGAAAAAAAGAAAGAGACTTTTTTTCTGTAAAAACAAAAGAAAAAAAAAACACTGGGCTACATTTTATATAATCATCCCATGTTGTCAGGGTCCTGCACATCCTTGTAAATTAAAAAAAAAATCTTTCCAGGAAATATTAAAACCTTTTTTTTTGTGTTACAAGTATATTTAAACCATCCTTACTGAGCTCCACACTTTGTCTTACTTTCAACATTTTCTATGATGTCAGCTGTAACATACTGAGAAACTCCTTGTCAGCATTTTTTAATCCAACTAGAAGATTACAGACTGAGACATCTGTTAGACGAGGATTTAAACAATGACAAAATGGAAAAGCAAGGTTTGTAGAAAATGTTCACAAATGTACCAGTTACTGTCTTTTTCTGCTAATTGTGAAATTCTAAGAAGTGAATTGATTGTTGCCTAGTATGTAAAGAACTAACATTTGATGTGTTTAATATAAAAAAAAGGTCATAATAATTACAGGAATATATCACTGATCCGACCGTCTCAACTGAAATATTCATGACTGATCTCATCAGACGAGCATGCTCGATGCGATTATGTGCCAAAACTAGAACAGAAACTTCGTAAAGATGATGATGATACAAATGTGGGCAAAAGAAACACCTATAGCTACTATCAGACATTTAACAAACTTGTACAGTTTTATAAAGTGTGACATGTTTTTATGTAATGTACAGTAATATTTCTTTTCTGCTTTATGTAAACATTTTGATTGTGTAGCTTTGTTTTCATTTGGTTCTTGTTATTTAATTTGTTCTTCCTCTTTTTTTTTTTTTTCCGCTGTACAATACTCGAGTAATGTATGATGGCTTATTACAGGTATTTTTAGACATAAACAATCTTAATGATAACAAATGCCCGACCATTCCAAAGGATTGAAACTGCATTTGCTATAATTGTGCTGCTTAGATTGACCTGATGCATTTTTGTAGGTTATGAATAGAAGTCTGTCTTGACTGTGAGGTTTTTACACATTGTGAGTTGTGCACAAGGTACGTTTCTCATTGTCAGCATTTCTTGGGTTTAATCTCTCCTCACTTCTCATCGGGCTCTTTGTGGAGGCAAAGCCAATTTGAACGAACAGCATACATGCATATTTGGTGATATCAAACCATTTTAAAGTCAAGGGTATGTCACGCATGTTTCAAAGGCCTGCGGCTTCCTAAGCCATGGATAATATGTGAGAGGCAGCCATGATAGGAGAGATTGATTCTCGAGCAGTGAGAAGGAGCGTTGAGTTTTTCGCAGCTCTTTAGAAGCTCCACAGATTCAAGTTGTTACCAAAGGCTTTGAAGGGAAAGATGAATGTTGCAGTAAATTTTGAACCCAGTTTGGGTTCAACTTTACGTGCCGTAAGTGTTGATCGATGGATGTTGTGCTTAAAATGGACCTTTTTCTACATCTCAAATGAGTAACTTTTGTTATTTTTTTAATCGTAAAAGCCAACAAATATCTTAAAGGGTTTAAAAAGAAAAAAAAAAAAAAAACAGAAAAGACTGAGTTCACCGGCAGTATAGCGACCATATCTGTCACTGATCAAGCGGACCTGCTTGACTGCCTGAACCGAGTGTGCGGCTCGTTACTCGAGAAATGCACAGTGACAAAAGTTTTTTTGTTGGATATTTTTGCCATCAAAGGATTAGTTTATCGAATGACCTCCCTTTCGTAACAGAGAGCCTCTCACCAGCCTCTTGGTTCTGTTTCCTGTTTCTGTTTTGTCCTCAGTGTACCTCCTCAGTGTAATGTCGCTCTCTTAATACCTCCGTGCGTTTCTCCTCTGCCCATCACCATCAGTTGCCTGTTGTAGTGACTCCATGGTGCTGCCTCCCCTCTCAGCACCAATATAATCTAATCTGTAAATAACTCTCGACTCAGCTATGGCCAGTACATCCAATGACCTCACTCTAACCCTTCAGGTGTCATTTTTTTCTCTCTCTCTCAGCAAACCAAAATCACTACATTCAAGTATTACAGTTGTACAGTTCCTCGGACTCTACCACATTCAATGTGCTGGTCTTAGCTGCTCTGCTGTACCTTTTTATGGCATTATTTTTTACATGTTAGACAATATATTGTGACCATGTCCTATGCAAATATGAAAATAACAGATTGTTGAATAATGTATGTTGTCATAACTTGTATGCATGAAATAGTGAAGTTTACATTTGGAAATAAATTCATAAAATAAGCAGCTATAATTTCTTATGTGCTCATTTCCTCTGTTGTGAATGTGAAAGTATTTTAGCAGTTAAAAGAATTTAACACATTTTAGGACAGACGTACTGGCAGACACTATAAAAGGGCTAATTGTGTGAGAAGACAGAAATTATAAGACCAACATTTACTTACAAAAAACTGCAACTCAACTTTTAAAATGGTGACTTTAAAAGCTGCTGTAGATAGTGCGACAAGTTAGCTATACCTTCATATTTCCATTTTTTTATGCTTGGTTAAGTATATGAGCTGTTGGTTGTGACCATGAAGTTATTCTTTAGAGATTTTTACATTCAAACTCATATTTTAAAGAACATATTTCTCAAATTCAATAAACTCATGCAGCCATGCTCTTATATAACCACCCAAAGCTACATGTCTTAAGGTCCTTACACACTGGGGCTGACATGAATATAGAACACAAAATTACGAAATATTCGGAAGCGAATATTGACGAACCTGACTATACACATCAAGCCTGATGCGATTTTGTGACTTTCAGGGGGGAAAAAGACACATCCCGGGTGGAAGCGAGAAGACTGACACAACACCAGACTGACTGTTTCTCAGTTCTGATTAGACACTAGTGTTGAGATGGCTGTCTGTCATGATAGCATGTACTGAGTCGGGGCCAGTACCAGATAAGAACATTAAACTATAATCCATAAACATAAGGTAACAACCGAGACCTAATGGTGCTGTGACAGCAATGGGATTGAGTTTGAGATAGTGAAAATACATATGGTATGTTGTATCTGAACAGGTTAGCTTACGAGCTAAAGTTACTTAGCACAGATGAAAGTTAAAACAAAGACGTTTAGCAAACTGTTAAAGCACACAAACCATCGTCATATGAGAGATCCGACGCTATGACTCTCCACAAGTTGTCCTTCAGGTCGTGATCTTTGTAATGTTTGAGTCTTTTATCAAAAAGCACTCTGTTCTCTGACACGTAAACAATTAGCCAGTCGGCCATGTTGGATATATATATAATCGGAAGTCGCAACAACACGCAATCTGATTGGTCAGAAGTGCACACACAGTATGCGAAACTTTAGAAAAATTGACTATGATCGGAAAAAATAAAAGCTACAATATCGCAGGATGGGAAAACACTTGTATTGATAGGGTTCGAAAAAAAAATATTGAAGTCTGAAATAATTGTACGAAAAAAAAAACGGTCCCGGTGTTAAAGGACCTTTGGCCTGAAGTTAAACACTCAAATATAACAAACAAAACCAAGTGGTCTTATGTAGGGTGACCTTAAGTAGGGTGAAGGGGCAGAGTCACGTGTAGTAAACTTTGAGGGTTTTTCAGCTCAGTTTGTCCAAGCTACACAAACTCAAAACTTCCATACAAAACCCCGGACATTTGAAGGATTTTAAAAACTCCACCGGACAAGGCCAGACAAGGCTGGGCAGCCCCCCCAAAAAGATGACATGTCCGGGTAAAAGAGGATGTATGGTCACCCTGGTCTTATGATGCTGTTTAACTTTAAGGAGAGAAAAAAAATCTTTACCCCCTAACTTTAGCTCATTGTTTCCCAAGCTGCTTGTTGTATCCTGCAATATTATTATTTATGCATTAATCTTCTCACTTAGCTCTCAGAGGGAAAGTCAGTCCAGAAGTGTTTAAGTGTTTTTATTTAACTGCAATGTCACAGCCAACCAGCGAGCTTAAATTAGCCACCACAAGCTAACAGTCACACCGAATAAAGAGGCTGTGGACACGACAAAACTCACTACATGAATACAGACCTAATCAAATGTTGATTTTATAACATGCTTCTATGATATTAATATTTTTTGAATCAGTTTCATGACATTTTAAATGAGCGCAGGAATCCGTGGAGAAACGTCATTCATTCGTGCAGCCTTTTTCTCACAAGGCTGAAGTGTTTTTCAGTATTATTTTGCAACAGGAAGTACACCTTCTTCCTGCACTTCACCCATGCAAATATTTACAGTAACTGCTGGGGTGGCAACAATAGGTGGGGCACCGAAAGCAGGGGACTCCTTCCTTCCTTATTGTGTGTGTCAGACCAAACAGACTGACAAGTTTTGGGAAGTTTTCTGAGCGTGACCAACGCGTTTGCAACTTTATAAAGAATGGGTGATTCATTTAAAACTGTAGCCGCCCCCATGTGCAAAGTGTACTCTTAAATTAGAAAAAACAGATTTTCTGCTTAGTAATATCAACGCCAACATGCTTTTATACCTCTCTTGAGCTGAGTGCACCCACCAACACCAACAGAGATCACAGGTGTGGCCTTTCCTGCTCACAGGAAGAGGAAGAGAGAGACAGAAATGAAGGCATTCAAATCGTGGATGAGAAGCCTGGTGTTCTCCCTGCTCAATCTGTACACCTCCTGTCTCTGGGCAGGTTGGATCTACCAACACACCATGCTTCACCAACAGACAAGCTGCCACCCCTGGCACCACAACACATTTTGGTGTGCCATCACAGCCGGCATGTTCCCAGAGCTTGTTTTTTATATTTGTGTGGCATCACAAGGGATGTCTTCATGGTTAGCTTTGATGTGCTTATATTTAACTCATTTTTGAATATTTTTCAGCTCTGAACATGAGGACAGAGCTCCTATCAGAGAAAATAAACACCTAAAAATAAAAATCCACAGGTCCAGCAATGGTAAAGTCTCGCAGAGCTGTATGCAGACCACTAACTGGGCTAATTCACACTTATCTTGTTGCATTACAAGAAAGATCTGAGGTTCTGTTGGTTGTGTGGGTGAGGCGCATACACTCTCTGGGCTGCATGTCTTTTAGTGACGTGTTTATTCTCGAGATGACACATTTCCCCTCTGTAGTGAGTTTTATTGCTGCAGATGCAGGGCAAAGTACAAACAGCTCTATGCAAAGTGAGAGCACATCTCTGCTGGTATCACCCCGCAGACAGGATGCGGGGGTGGAGCAGGTGGTTTCAGTTTGAGTGATTTATCTCTTTACAGTCACACCTTTTCTTTGGATTATCAGCTTTAGAGCATCCCGTCTCCAGGTGAACGTCGGCATGAGGAATAAACTCATCCGAAGAGTTGTCTTTAGAGTGTTTTCTGATGGAAAGTACAATGCTGTGCGCAAGGAAGATGGAAGAAGAGGATAGAGGGGCATGGCGGGTGGTGTGAGTCACTGATGGGTGCACCCAACCTTAGACACACTCAAAGACGAGCGTGTGGGAGGCCTGGTGGGCTGCTCCACTGAGGTGTGTGGGCATCGCTGACTATAAGACTCTGTGGAATTAATCCACAGAGAAGGAAAGGAGGGAGATGTGGTCAGCAGCGGCAGCAGTGGTCCTAATCACACAGAGAACCGTGTGTGAGTGTGTGTGAAAGAGTGTGTGTGTGTGTGTTGGTCCCTCTTCCTCCATGCCAAGCCCCAGAAGGCAGGCTGAGGGGCCATGTGATGCCACCCACTCTCGAGTGCAGTGCATGGCAGGGCTGGCGCTAGATCCTGCAGAGCGGGTGGGATGAGCTCAGATATTGGAGGCTGGCACTGGCTGAGAACAAGGCTTAGCTTTGGGAGGGGGGAGTTTGGCCTTACCACACACTGCAGCAGAGGCATCAAAGCCAGAAACAGCCCTTAAAATACTATCGAGTGGATAGTACGATGTTAGTAGTTGGACAAAGAGGAGAGGATCTTATTAAGCCGTGGATGTGGGTAATCATTTCATGTTTTAATTCCACATCTTAATTCGACAACTGCTTAGCATAAATATCAATATTTATGAACTATTGTGCTGCAATCAGGCCTGTAATTGGTTCTAATCAGAGATTGTATGGTCCTAATTGTTGGAGGAAGAGGACAGATGCATCAAAAAGAAAGAGACAAGGCAGTTTAGATTTTCTGCACCCTTTTCTTTTTCTTGAAATGAGTCTGAATTTGAAAAGGCTTGAGTGAATTTGACAACATGGAGGCTCTGTTGTGCTGTTTGAGAGGAAGAGAGGCCTGCCAAATGATGCCTCATAGAGCTCTTTGTTGCCTTGAAAAGCAAAGGGAGGTCCCTCATGCAAATTCAAAGGAAATTCTGAGAAAAGGGGATCCAAGAAAGGAGACAATGTACTCAGTCTTATTCAGTGCTTGTAATGGTAGATGCAGGAAAGAGAGTCCAGGATTGTGCTGCTCTGGAGAAAAGAAGTCCTCATGTGGCATTGTGTGACTAACATCAGACATCACGTGGAGGTGTAATTCATCTTAACAAGTCAGATTATTAGTAGCCGCAGTCCACCACAGTGACCCGGTGCTGAAGTCTGAAGGTTGAGTGTAACCCACGGCGTTTTCTCTGGCGGTTCAGTCACGAGACTGCGCTCTCAGTCAGAAGTACGCGAGTCATCCCACACACAACAGGCTGCTGCCCACTAAGCAACCTTCTCCTCACTTAAAAATCCACCAACTCAGTCAGCTGCTCCTGTACAGACTGTGCATTCTTGAAAAAGCAAAGGCTAATTTTACATAACAGATCATTAGGTGACAAATATTTTAAGAAATCCTCAGAGATTGTAGTCTCTGTGGTCGTGGCAGACTGTTTTTTTGATTAGGGTGGCCCTGACTTTTGTAGGGGTGGCCAAGCAATCACCACTAATGACACCCAAAAGAATCCATGTACAGTATTGAACTTAAGAGTTTCTTAACAAAATGTCATGACTTTGACCTAAAAAGATCTTCACTCACTAAAACTGATACTGATGATTTCATCTATGAAGAGCTGCAGCTGAACTACGTACAGTCAAGATACATTATTCCTCAATGCTCATTGATGGGTGATAACAGGAGCACATGAAATGACTAACCAACTAACTGACATCAAACGTGAAACCAAGAGATTTAAATTTGTTTCATGTTAATGAGGAAAGATGTGAGAAAGTGAGTCAGATCACGAGTGAGCTAAACATCTCAAAAACTAGGGAGATCCATGATCAGGACTCTGCTCTGATAAAGAAAAACAGAACTGAACTGCTTGAGCCAATAACACATCTGGTGAAAAGGTCAAAACAAGAACTTCTCCGTAATAGCTAGAAAACCATCGGTCCAAGATGTCAGACTTGATATCTTGGAAGCAGTTTCCCAAAACTTGAAAAAGGCTTTCAATATTGTTGACTATAAAATGCTGTTAGCCAAACACCCTAATTTCAATTCTCTGGTCAGACTTTTCCAATAGTTTGAATCACCTTTGTGGTAGAACGCAATATGTTATAGTTAATGAGAAAAGGGGAATTCCTCAGGGGTCAGTTTTAGGACCGCTGCATTTCACTTTGTACATTGACAACCAACCCGAGAGCTGTCCAAATGTACACAGATGATAAAATTAATTGTGCAGCTGGTCAGAAGAGATAACTGATTGGTCATCAATGCTTCTAGTGTAGGGTTAAGAGTGTTTCGGCTGTGGTGGTGCACAATATGGTATCTTACATGGGGCCCAGAATTCCTGGTGGTGCTCCTGCACAGGGCAAATCCCCCAGGCCAGGATGTTTTTCCAAAGTTTCATGCAAACCCATCAGGTTAAGACACATAAATCTTGACTAGCTGCTAAGTAATGGGGCCTCAAACAAACAATGATAAGTGGAAGATTAAGAAACAGATTTGAACCTCCTTGAATTTGACTTGTCTTTCCCTCAGGAGATGGATTTCTCAGCATCTGAAAATTAATCTCAAATGTAGCGAGCCTATCCAAAAATATCCAAGATGAATTGATACCATTTGTCACGTTTCCTGTCCTCACGTGCAGATCTCTTATCATACTCAGCCATGATATTGATGGAGAACTCTTCACATTTGCAGATTTTCTGCTGCTTTTCCAAGATTTGTCTCACTGCGTGGCGTCAGTCCTGCCAATATAGGAATGTCTCTGGAGAGGAAAGGCAGAGTTACAGCTCTAAAGCTGGAATGCAGCCCTACTTGGCTGTTCACTCCCAAGAATCTCAACTCTGTTACCTCAGAGCAACTTTGGTGAATACCATCCCATTCATTAGGAGTCCAGTTAACCAATGTGTTTACAGTAAAGAAAATTTTCAACAGCCTGTCAAAACCAGTGTTGGAGCATTACATTTCTTTGACAGTTTTGTAGTCACTAGGAGAAGCAAAAGGTTGTTTTAACGCTGCCTTCCAGTTACTTCAGAGAGCTGGGAATGACGCTACACTCGAGTTGACGGCATTACAGTTAACAAGTCGGAAAACGAAGACGGACGCCCACTGTAAGCCATTGTTAACAATTGTCAGCTGTCGTTAGCGATACCAGTTGTAAACAACGCACAACACAGTATTTTACTCTACAAACACCATAGCACTGTGTTCAGAGTTAGACTTTGGGCCGAACAACATATACCACTTACTTAATTTCATAAAAACAAAACATAAGTGCTAATAAATAAAACATTGAGAGAGCTTTTACCATCACTCTTTACTGTTGATGCACTGCACTGCCATCTTGAATTATGACGTCGTCAAGTCGGGGTTGGCGAGGATCGTCTGACTTTCTGAGGCTGAAATCCGACTTCAGAGGGGCGTTCCCATAGACTGTATATAGAATGGACAGAGTCTGCCTCCTCGCTGGGTGAAGCCACTGCAAAAACAGCTCCCTCTGGTGACAGGCTGCAGTATAGGTCATAAATCCAGCCTCCACCAGCCATCGTTATGGGGCTGTGGACAAACTTTAGACATTTATTACACAGAATATACATTTTTCTCATCCCTGCTTATGATGTTGACATGTAGTTACTGTAAGACTGGTTTGTGCTCAAGTCCTCTTTTTTCTGTACAGCTCAGTTTTAAAAGTTATTATGGGGTTCAAGTTTTCTATGATTGACACTTGGTACAGCCTATGGGTGTACGAAGATTGCGTAGCTCACCCGGGGGATACGCTGTTTGAGCCGCGCGTCGTCACAGGGACACTCCCGCCAAATGCGCACAATGCTACTATGCAAGTGGTGAGGTACGTACAACGGTACTGCGCAATGTTGGCTTCAGGAAATGGGAAGAAATGCGGAATGACATGGCTTTTTGGCTTCAAATCCGTATAGTGGTGGAAGGCAGAACCAAGTTGTTTATAGAATATACAGTCTATGGGCGTTCCAGATGAATGACTCGGAGCTCGGAAATCGGGATTTCCGAGTACGACTGGAACGCAGCATAAGTCTTCAGAGGCTCTGAAGGAGTCTAAGTTCCACAGTGATGTGAGAGGGTTGTCTTGGCAACAACAGCTTGGAGAAATTTCAATCATTATTTCATGAGTCTGTTTTCATACTAGGACACTGTCTTTGAAATTCTAGAAGAAACTATATGATGAAAACATTTGAGTTACATTATTTAAATGTAGGACTCTGTAATCGGATGTTTCATCTCATCTTCAACAAAAAAAAAAAACAGGAAGAAAGTGTGTAAATAAGACACGGACACAGCATGTTTGTAACAATAAACTATTTTTTTTTTCATATTTACATCTGTACCTAATGTGCAAATTAATAATTTAAAGTAGTGTAAAACTCTTAAAGGAATACAAAATCATATCTTACAGTCCTAACATGGTGAGAGTCCATGAACTGGTCACATAGAAACAAAGAGGAGCAACACTGCAGTGTGTACAGGAGAGAGAGAGAGAGAGAGGAAGAGAGAGAGAGAAAGAGAGAGAGAGAGACAGAAGCGAACCCGGGGAGCAGTGGACATCCTTGGCCAGGACACACTTAGTTAAGGACAGCATGGTACATTATCCAAGCATCACCAGAACAAACAGCAACACTAACACTGCGTCGTTACAGTAGTCATGTCGAATGAGCAGAAAGCACTTGGAGGCCCGGGGTTTTACATACCCACTGATTGGTTAAAGCACTGATGATCACAAAGGCTTGAGGTGCTCTTAGCAGCAGGTGCTTTGTATAACGGCCTCTAGATATGACGGGACAGACAATCTTACACTGGACCGGTGACACATCTATACTGCAGGTCACCACATAGTGCTAGTAGCATGGTTGCACACTTGTGTTTTTGTGTGTGTGTGTAAAGAGGGGAGGAGACACGTAACCACACATCAGAAAAGTACGTATCAGCCTGCTCTCACTACCCACAATTCTTCTCATCTAACACACACCAAATAGAGTAATTTACAGGTGACTCGGAGAAACACGCCATAAACACTGCATATTTGAGAGGCAGTTCATCCTATGCACATCGTTTGGTGTTTGCCACATAAAACATTTTGAAAACTCGAAGAATCGTAAATTGGTTAAGAAGCCAGTTTGGCAGTGCGTGTGGTCATTAAGAGGTCAACTACAGGCAAAACTGTGAAATGACAGTTGACATAATATTTGAGTCCAATTCTTGACACAGCAAACCTTTGCACCGTGGTTAGGAACAAAAGTACACTTAACAAATGAGATAGGTTTACATTTCATCCTAATCCAACATTACGATCTATAATGTTTACACATTTGAATTCCTGTAGTTGAAATTTGTTTACAAAAGCACACCGTGACACTCCTTTACAATTTACAAGACACATTTAACCTACAGTAACTATATTATTGGTGCATAGACAAAATTGGGAGAGGGTGTAGCAAAAATCACCAATTTATTGCTTTTAAGTCTAATATTAATCTCCCGTTCAATTTATTTTTGATTGCAAACAACTACAAATTTTCCACAGAGATTTTTGAAGAACCAAGCAGAGGTATTGCATTCAAACTGATTAAAAGAGCTAAAATGTTCCCTCCTGATGAGATGCAAATATTTTGCACTTTAAAAAATAAAGAGCTTTTTTTTTTTCTTCTCAAATACAGAGTTACATCACATAGAGATGACTTTTACTCTAAAACAAGTAAAAGACTAAAGACAGAGAAAGAAAAAAACGAACAGAAAAGCAAAACTTCTGGCCAAAGCTGCTCACTGTTTCAAATTCTGCTTCCCCCATCATAAACTAACAAGGGAAGGGTGACAGGAATACAAGAGCATTCTTCAACAGAAAAGGGGAAACATTTGCCACCATGTTATTGGAAATGCAGAGTGCAGATGCTGTCGGTTTCCTCCAGTCTCCTGTGGCCTTGCTGACAAGTGGCTGAAGTGACTGTGATGGCTATGCGGGCCTCTGCACTTTGCTCTCCCTCTCCCTGCGTTTCAGCTCCTCTCTGTAGCAGTAGGAGCAGTAGTTGTCTGTCTCTGGCCGGCCATAGAAAGAGCAGTTCTCCCTCTTGCAGCGGCGCTGCTGAAAGCAGTACAAAGGGCTTCCAGAGCTCCGCCCTTTGGTTTTGTCTTGGTTTAGCCAGGTGTGAGACGAGTTGTCCTCATCAGCATACTCCAGGCAGTCCTGAATGTCTCCCGCGTGGAACCCGTTGGTGTAGGTGTGGGACTTGTGTTCGCCAGGCATATTGTAAGAGAGGGTCTCTATGGTGTTAACAGTGCGGACCCCTGACAGGCGAGCGGGGCTGTAACTCTGGGATGAAAGTGTGCGGTTCTGCTGGGGGTAGGTGGCGCATGTCTTTAGGGTGCCCACCACAGGCTTATTATAGGGGTCGTCCTGGAAGATGGAGGATTGCATGTTGACATCTTGTAAGTGGATCACGCTGTGCCTCTGGATGGGCGGTGTATGGCTGTAGTGAGCAGACACAGGTACAGGCCCAGGTCTCTTAGCACCAATACTGGGGGAGGAGTAAGGCGCAGGGGCTGGGGCTGGGTGGGAGACGTGGTGTGAGACTGTTGGTGGGGTGAGCGGAGGGGCTGGGGAGGAAACAAGAGGGGCTGCAGGAGTGGGACTGTTCCTGCCCTGCATCTTGAGCTGTGAGTTGTGGTTGTAGGTGTGGGTGTGATGGGGCAGGATGGGAGAGCAGCTCTCCGGTGGCGAGCTGTCCGACCTCTCCCTCTGGAAGACACTCTCATGCTCAGGTTTCTTTGCGGCCACGTCGTTGGTGACCGGGGGCTTCTTCTCAGCCTCCTTCCTCTTCTGCTCCTGCTCCTGGCTGAAGCGCTCCTGGGCGTTGGTCAGGTAGTAGCTGATCATCTCCTCGTGAAACTGGTGTCGATGGCTGGTGAGGAGGAGGCCCGCAAAGATGAACTTGCGCTCCCCCTGCATGGCAGCCCGCAGGATGTTGAGGCTGAGCTTCACATCCGTGCTGTATTTCCAGTTTTCCAGGCTCTTTTCCCCTGAGACTCTCCCTGTACTGTCCTGCCTCTCCGTGGGGGAGGAGCTGGAGGGTCTATCTGTAGGGGAGGGACTCGTAGCCTTCTCAGAGGAGGTGGAGCTGGCTGATTGGCCCGATTCCTCCTTGCTACTCTTTGTTGTTTTGGACTCCTTCTTCTTTGTTTTTTCTCCTCCGTTCTCTCCATTTCGACCTGAGCCAGAGTTAGATTTGTTCATTTTGCCGTGCACAAGGCCTCCCAAACCTCCCATGTTCTTCTTCAACTTGATCCCCAGGGTTTTGCTGAAGCTACCCAGTTTGTTGGCTACAGAATCCGCCCGACTCTTGTCTTTGTCCTTGCGCTGCTTCTCTTTGTCCTTCTCCTTGCTGGGCTTGCCGTTGTTGACATTAGAGTTGCTGCCCACAGACTCACGGTCAGAGTCCATAGACTCAGCCAGAGACTGGACATCCTCACCTGCAGAGGCTGTGGGAGACTCTGGCTGAGCCAGGGGAGCCTGTACATAGACAAACCACACACACACAAACACACACAGCAATGAAGGGAAACACTAAAAACATGGTGCTGACTGGTTTAAGTTATAATTCAGAACACATTAAAAGTTTTGAAGCAGACAGATTCTAAAGTTTCCCACACAGATTCGCTCCAAAACATTGTTCTGAGTATATTGTTAAGAGTTGAGCTAGTTGCTGATGATTTACAATCAGAAGTACACAGGAATGCCTGAGATTATTGCATCTGACAGTAAATAAAACTGATTGATTAGACTGAGTAGTTTCCAGAACATCTGGAACAGAGGAGTTCCTGTAGGGCCAAATTAACCGTGACGAACACAACTCATGTGTGAGGAAAAAGTTACCCTTGTTTCAGATGGAATACGGATCCATGTTACATTCATGTAGTTGTGCAGCAGGTTGAGTTTGGCCTCCAGAGACAGGATGAGACTGTAGGAGAACATAAATACACGATTAACAAGCTGTGGGATTACATCGCTGACATTTCTCATGCCGATGCACATTAGTGGGTCTGACGATGATATTTGATCTGTAATTTAAGGATCTGCTATCAGAGAGTGGAGCATCTTTTTTTCCTGAGCTGGTTCATTCTGCAGCTTGTTGCAGGATAAGCTAACCTCATGACTGGCAGGAATGTGAAACAGAAACCCTTACATAAACTTTTTGCTAAACTCAGAGAGGGTGTTGCTGATTTAGTGAGGCCGTTCCTGGGAAACCCTATAGATGACTGACGTGGCTCACAATTTGTTCTTTCCCTGCTCATTCTTTGAAGTGACCTGAGCCTCAACTGCATAATCAGAGTTAAATCCCACACACACAGCCACACAGAACTACCTCCACCAGCAGATTTTTTACTCTCACCCTTCATGGGACTGCTTTCCTAGTCAACAACCTCTGTGTTCGTTGTTGATAAGCATCAACAGTATGTGATATCCTGCTCGACTTACTTGGCTAGCTTGGTGTTATCATTGTCATCCCTCCCCCACTCCCAGTCCCTGCCAGGGTCCACGGCGAAATGGAGTGCCAGCAGCTTGTGCTCCGAGTCGGTCAGAGGGATAACAGCTGGAAGAGATGAGATTATCAGAAGGTTAGTTTGGTCTAGCTTTACCACCGGACATGAGATTGCACGCAAACCAACAAGGCCAACGCAGAGTCAACGATAACGTGACACCGTAATGACACACTAGAATAATACCACCTTAATTATCCCAGATGCCTGTCAGTGTGGGGGTGAAGTAGACAGAAGGAGGACTCTGTATGCCATCCATTTTTTAAGATGTGACTGTGACCTGTGAGTGTATCGCTCGGACTGACTCATCCAGACAGAGACTGACCTCCGTCAGCTGCGGTCCCTTTCATAACACAGATCAGTCCCTGTCCTGCTTTTTCAGAGACACTGTCTGCTGTTTTTTTTATGAGGGGGGAAGTTAAAGGAAGTGTCAGTTGGCTGGTTCCCTTTATGCAAACAAAAACCAAAATAAAATCAACAAAGTCAGATTTAAATTGAAAAAACTTTGAGTATACAGCGATGTGCAACTCCTTTTCAAAGCACTTATAATAATAATAATAAAAAAATAATAATAATAACAATAATAATAATAATAAAAATGGAAATGTTAATAAAAATAAATTATTAATAATAATAATAATAATAGTAATAATAATAACAACAATAATAATAATAATAAAAAAAATGGAAATGTTAATAAAATAAATAAATAAACAATAATAATAATAACAATAATAATAATAAAAATGGAAATGTTAATAAAAAATAAATAAATAACAATAATAATAACAATAATAATAATAATAAAAATGGAAATGTTAATAAAATAAATAAATAATAATAATAACAAGGAAAAGAAAAAGAAGAAGAAATGCAAACTAATAAATAGCAAAATAATAATAAAAAATTAAAATATGCCAGAACCAAAAAAAAAATCCACAAATAAAGTCACATCAAAGTCAAAAAGATAAAATGGGGCAATTAAAGATAAATCAATTAAAGTTATCAGAGTCTGTGCTCACTTACTTCAAAATAAAACTACTGTTTAGAGCTGCGTTTCTCATCTGGGGTAGCCTCACATCCCACCACCTTCTTCAACATAATCCTGACCCACATTTTTGAAATTCGTTATTTAATGACGACTCTGAGTGTGGCAAAGACTCTTTTTTTCTGGCACATAATCGTGACACATGAGACTTGGCATGGTCCAGTGACCCACAAACTAAGAACCGCAGATCTGTCGTGCGAGAGACGTGTTTTTAAAAGCTTAAAAAAGAAACAGGAAAAAATGCCACAACAACTCTATGACAACCAGACATCCACTCTGCTGATGGGGTTGAAACTGCTGCTAAATGGGTTCATAAGTGGGACGGTACTGACTGTTTTCATAGTGAAACATTTTTTCTACCAGATATCACTGGAAGGAGAAGCTGAGGAAGATTTAAAACAGCAATGGTGGACAAGAAGCACATGCATTTCACACTGAAAATGTGAACAAAAAGTGCAAACATGACTGCAGCTGAGTCTAAAAACCTCCCATAATTAATTAGAGTTACATAATTCACGTTAAACGTTGTCATTTTTATTGTTAATTATTATCCCACACTACAAACGAAGGAAAACAAAGCAGGAAATCTGCCAAAGTTGAAAAGGAAGTCAGCGTGCAACTGACAAGTCGGGTCCAAATTTACGGCTAGTTTTTGTTTTTTTTCCTTTTGAGTCCATTTGACTCATCTGGGGTCCTGTTTAAAAGCTGTTGGACTGTATGTCTCCTATTTTCTGTCCCATCACACTTCTTTTCAGCATTATTTCATATTTCACTTTATCTGAAAGACAGTTTGGTATAAGACTGCAGCTTTGAAACCTACGAGGGTGCAAACAGACAGCTACAGAGGTGCAGAAATGACTTTACCCATACTCTGATGATATGATCAGCAACTAACTAGCAGGAAGAGGTTTTCAACACAAATCACAGGACCGAGAACATAAAACAGACACCCACCCGGGCTTCCTCTCGTGGGAGGCGTGCTTACAGTACAAGCACAGCGCGGGCGTGTTTGTGTGTGAGTGAGTGCATGGCTGCCTTTCAACAACAGGAGCGAGCGAGGAGGACTAGCTTTAGACCCCACTGGCCCACATGACAGCTCTCCTCAGGCTACCTAGCGTGTGGGGGCTGTTGTCCACATGACGGTAGAGCGAGGCAGGCTGTTCGGGACGAGGACATTCCAGCCTTCACTGTCAGACCCAGATGGAGGAAACAGTCTCCTCCATGCTTTATCAATCCTTCCCCTGCCAATTGTCTTCATGGAGACACAGAAAATGGCAGCAGCAGCAGCAGCTCCTCCTTGTGAAACTGCAGGTTGAACACTCACTGGTTGCTACTTCTGTCTTTATTTGAGTGCCTCTGTGTGGGTGCAAAGTACACTTTTAAACATGCTATGTGTAAAAATACTGCTGGTACATGTAGGGTGATGATGCCTCAAGTTCTGGAAACAAATTTAGCCCAGTCATTGCCGCTAACAGGATCTCCTATTTCCATGTATTTTCATTTGTTGCTTAGCAAACAAATCCCATCAGCTGCATAGACACACATTAATAGCTCTGCTGGCAAATATCTCAATCAATCTCCCTGAAATTTCACACTGCTGTCCTGTAATCTATTGCAGCTAATTAACACGTTGCCGTGCGATTTACCTTAAAAAGAGATCTGACTAATCCCTGCTGCCGTCATGAATAAAAGTTATGAGAGCAGTGGCTTTAAAAGGAGAAAAAAAAAGTGAGGGCTCTGTTTAAAAAAGGGGTTTTTCCAAGAACACACTTGCCCAGAAAAAATCTCTCATAATCACAAGCACACACACAGAGACAGACAGAAGACAGCGAACGAGCTCCCACTCAGTTCCCACTCAGGTCATGCAGCAGGCAGTGGGGGTCTGTGAGGTGGTGCCCCAGCTCCCACGTTGCAGCTGTCCTCCTTTTTTTTTGCACCGTGCCAAACTGCTGTGAGAGCTGTTGTTCCCGCTCGGGCTCCGGTCCAGATCCACAGATTCGGCGCTGCCAATTGAGCTCTGGGGGGCTAAAGTGTGCTGTAATGTATTTACTATTCCTGCTGGCAGCCTTGTCTTGCTGTCCTTGAATGACCGTTTCCCATAGCTTATGCACAGATGACATCATAGCCCTCCCTGGTATGTGAGTTGTGTACTCAGCAACATAGCTGCTAGACTGCCTCGCCTTGCTCAGTTTGCATCTTCGATTCAACAGACTGGGAGAAAAAGGGGGGGAGGAAACCAGGGAGTAACCTGTGAGGAGGTCGCTTTGGGAAATAAGGTAGATCACTTTCTAAGAATTACGGATCGCGCATTAATATCTTGAAAGACGCTTGCTCTGTTGCGAGTCCAAAAGAAGGAGGAAATCTTTCCTCTCGTTCTCTCTTCAGATGACAAATCTCACCAACAACAGGCTTTGATTCACAGGAGAAACACTGAGCCAATGTTTCCTCTGTTTTGCTATTCAAGAACAATTTGTACTGTCTGGAAAACACACAACTTTGAATTCCTGACTTTGGTCACTCTGCACAGCTGCGGACTTGAAGGGCCTAATTCACCAGAGTTAACGGCAGCGGTGCATTTAAACAAGCCTCAGCTTTTTTATTTTTGCCACAGATTTTAACAGCGGAACCAAACTGGTGATTACAAGAGCTTTGCATTTGAAGTAACACGTAAAACCGCAACAAATAGCGTTTAACTCTTAATGCCGTGTTGATTTAATTACACAGCCGGCATGGAGAGTAATACACCGGCTCTCTTTTATAGAAAGAAAAGTGAAACCTGGGCCAGAGCGGGATGGTTGCACCACACTGTTATGTAGGTGGTCTTTGTGTAAAAGACGACCATTTACTTCATTCAGATGGGTGTTGGGGGGGTTGATGGAGGGGATGCCAAAGAAAACCTGGAAGTGTTTTGGTAGCTTGAAATAGCTCCAGAGTTTCTTAGAGGGGCTAGTTCCCTCCCATGCATCTTTTAACCACAGGAGCACAAACAAGCTGATAAAAGGGTCGGCCGGCGGCGTCCACTGAAGAGTCAGTCATTATCACACTGAAGGTGAGCAGCAGGAGGTCTAAAGAAAACATACCGGGCTGTGCAAAGACTTAACGGCTCTGTTGGAGGTTAAAACAGAAATTATAGAAAGTTTTGGTCCTAATCCTCACTGTTTTTAATCATCTACAAACAGCAGTGATAAAAAGCGGAGAAGCATGATCTGCCAGTGCGACTGAGAATCAGGTTACTGTTTGGGACCCTGCTCTAATCCTCCATGCAGGCTGTGGAAAGAAAGAGCCAGTATTCTAACGCAGCCTCTGGTACCTGAGCACACATCGGGCCAGTGGCTGCTCGGATGCTCTTTGCTGTGTTGGAGGGAAACTGAGAGCAGCCCTCCACCTTAGACATCCACTCATGGGCCCAGACTGTCAGGAGAGACGGGCGGGTTTGTCGGGGGCTCCAGCAGCCCGGGACCCCTGCCCATATGTGGTGATGTGGTCAGGGCTTAGGGGCCGGCACGGGGCTACTCTGCTCTAATTGGCAGTGGAAGATTAGGTCTGACCCTCCGCCTGTCTGCATGTCTGTCTGGCATCTGTTCAGAGTTGTAAGCCAGTGTGGTTTCTCCGTGCTGAACTGTAAAATTCAGAAATGATGAAGTAAGCACGGCCTAAGTGCTCATAAACTTTTACACCCTAAAAAAATAGAAAACGAAATAATCATGGCTGCAGTAGCGCAGATTTGCACCAGTCATGTGTAACACGATACATCACATGACACACAAGTGCACCGAGCTTAGTGCACAAGTGTTTTCATAACATCCTGGAGAGAGAGACTGCAGACCAAATGAACTCTGATCCTATCACAGGACACAGTGTACCAGAATGAATGAATACAGTCATGCAGAGCTGTTGGGTTCAAGCTGCAGCACATTCTCTGGACACACACTCCATCTAGTGGACAAACAGAGGAACTTCACTCCCCCACACATATACACACAAACTCAAATGGGAGTGCAGAGTGGTTCTGGGCTGTGGAGTAGTCTTTGATGTGCTGCTGGCATTAAAAAGGAACAACTGCAGAGCAGAGATTGCAGGTTAGTAATAATGCCTGTCTGCTAGTCTGCAGTGGTCGTAACCGGACTTAATAACCAGGTTGGTGTTCCCAGGCCAAGAATAGGACTGCATATTCTCAGAAAAGTACAAGAAGAAGAAAAAGAAGGGGGAAGAAAGAAAAAGAGGAAGAAAGAGGCAGTTTGCGTAAGCGTGTAGGAGATGGTGTTGGCCGACTGCCCACGCAAATGACAAGTGAGTTCCACCCACTGAGTCAGATACAGAGGAGTGCTGTGACTACCAAGACCGGTCGTCAAGGAGATCTACACTGTTTGTCAATTAAAGGAACTCCATGTGAGGATTACTCTGAACTCAAGAATAAGCCACATATCCGGAGTGGCGTCTAGACAAAAACACAAGTCACTCAACAAATAAATCAACACGACTCGATTAATGCGCTCGACACAGAAGTGACTCCAGATGGAAAAATGTGGATGCAAAATAAAATATGGTTTTAATGAATCTGTCAAAGATCATGCTGTCCACTTTTCTCCATGTCAGGCACTCTTTGGCTCCTCCTGCCAACTGGCCTGTTTTAATAATGGATCCCTGGTAATTAGAGTGCTGTCTCATGCATTATTCACCCCGAGCAGGACAGGCAGACCACTCACCCTCAGTCTTGCAATCTGTCCACTCCATGTTAAAAGCAAAGCCAGCTTAACTATTACCTTACCCAACTACTGCACATCACAGCAGGTTGATTTTTTAAGAGCAGGAGGTCAAAAAGAGGACATTAATCCTTCTTTTAAACTAGGGCTGTCCTGATATGATATTGATATCAGATATCAGTCCGATATCAGCTAAAAAAAAAATATCTGATTATATCGGCCTGCATCTAAAATCTCCGATATCAGCACTTACCGATATGGGCAGTCCATTCCAGACTCCACTCCAGCACCTCTAGCTAGCAGCGTCCAGATCCAGCATGCAGAGCCCATGTGATCACAACAACAGTGTGTACTAAGGTACTAACAAAGTAGCAAGGAGTAGGGCTGATACTATAAGGCTACAATATCGGCATTGTATTGGAAGTAAAAAAGTTGTAGAGGGACACCCCTAATTAAAACGAGGAGCCCCCCAGTTTTTCGTGTGGGTGGAGTGTGACGAAGCACAGATGCTCCTCACCTTGCTCTCGTTGCTGGTCCCTCTGCTCCATGGACACCAGTGCCGAGAAGTGAGCCTGATCGTAGGCCAGGACCAGAGGAGAGCAGTGACAGCGGCTTGGGGGCACCTCCAGAGGCAGGTAGAGTCCTCCGAATGGGATGGGAGCGAACGCTGGAATCGGCAAAGAATGCTGTATTAACCTGCTACCTCAACTGTGAGCAACATAGAGACCAAGTCCTGGTCCAACCATGTCAGAAACAATACCAGGATGATACAGATACTGACTTTAATGACATATGCAGCGCCTGACGGTGGGACCGTTTCACTCACATTTGCGACTAAAACTAGATGTGTGCAAATTGTAAAATGTATTTAGGGGCACATGTGCGCATAAAAAAATTAGCTGAGGCAACAAATGTTTTTTCATGTAAATACCGCGGTGAAGTTGGTTTTAGGTTTGGATATTCATGGACATTCACTGCAGATCTACTGGTGTCTTCTCACTCACATAACCGGGAATAGCAACAACAGTGCGGTTACATCTACTGGGCACCCTCGCTGTCAACATCGGGTGTTGAATAAGGGACCATCAATAAATTACGGGTTGATGTTCTCAGAAAGGCTGTTTTCCTTCAATAGCTTCCATGTCATGTGACCAATTGACCTAAAACTTTTTCAACTTGGGAGCACATGCCCCCCCTGTGAAAAAAGTTAGTGTCAAGCCCTGATATGACTGTGCTACTGTAACAGCCACTTAGTATATATAAAGCAGACTATTTTTATGACCCACCTCACACTTTCAATCTAAAGAGGACTGAGGGTTTTGCTATTAAGACTCCCAAGTTGAAGCAAAATACCCTTTTTAAGGTTTATGGCCTATATTTTAAAGACAGAAACGTAAAGAGGAGAGTGAAGGATGATATGCAGCAGAAGGGCCAAACCAGGACTCCTACCTCTGTATTTGGGGTTCTCCCTGTAACCTCTTAGCCAAACCAGTGCCCCCTTAGCATCTTCTTTGACTGTTGTTTCTTCCTGTTTTGTCCCTACATTGTTGTGTGTAGAAAATAGAGCCGAGATGCTGTTACCTTCTCCTCCCGAGTCTCTGAGCATGGTATCAGCCACCACTACAATCGGCCTGCGTAACACGTGAGCCAGCACAAACACATGGAACTCCTCCAGACTCTCATACACCGGATCTTCAGAGTTATCCACTCTGCAAAAACAAAAACAAACACACAATACAAAGGGATGACAGGGCACCATGACAATTTCCTGTGTATGGTACTGACCGCATCGAAATATCCAAAGCTGAAATAATAATCTAAGTACTAATCATAACCTATTGTGATTTAGTTGGATCAATTTTGCCTGCTGGCTAACATTAACAAACAGGATGGCTATGTGTAAAGATCCATCTGTTCGGACACGTGCTGGAAAGGAAAAGAGCAGGAGAGAAGAAAGGAAGGAGAGAGAGAGGAGGGAGAGAGAGAGAGAGAGAGAGAAAGAGCTCTCAGGCATGCAACCACCAGGGAACCAGAGGATGTGCAACAATTAAATTGTCAGCCACACAAACAGCCACGCTGCCAAATTCACTCTAATAAAGAGCCTCTTAATATGTGAATCCCACTCATCCTATTTAGGGGGCTCATCTCACACTAGGGCCATCAAACATCCCTAACCTGATTAGTGTGTTACAGTCAAACTCAATGAGAGGTTAAATCCACTGAATAAATGAGTAAAATGTGCTCCTTAATGGGCTACTTTTACTACTCTGAGTGATAAAGAGATCTGTACTCGGTCACTGAAAGCTGGAGAAACGAAAAGTAGATGCTAAACGACATTTCGTCCAATCAAACGACATGTTGACTGCAGCGTACTCCTTCATTAGTCTTTCTGTTCAATGTATGTAATTTTTCCGCATCAGATCAGCTGCGCGACCACACGAGTGAGAAAGTACCTCGGTCCATTTAAGCGAAAATGGAAACAGAAAGTAACCACAAGGTTTCAGTGCGTAGGTGGAAACCAGAATCTGTTTCCAATCTGCCCCGTAGCCTGAGATAAACTCACTCTTCTGCTTGTTTATGCAACAAGGGGGCTGAGCAATTCACATCACCTGCTGAATGCAATCCACAGCTCAGAGGAGGCTGCAAAAATGATTCATACCGGCATCAGCCAGTAGATGGCACAGTCTCACATGACAGCTTTTGCAATGTTTTTTTTTTTTTCCAGAGGAGACAGCAATATGAAAGAGCAGCTGGGAACAAAAAGCCTCCCTCGAAAATCCATCTCAGTGAAAAGGTCACTTTTGTTTTAATCATGGGCCCCCTGCAGAGTGAGAGCAGTAATGTTTGATGCATGTGTCTGACAGAGTTCAGAGTTCGGTGTGTTCGCTCGCAGGCTTCTCCGGGATGATTGTGAGTGGAGCAGCTTACCCTCCGCTGGTGTTGCCGTTCTTGCTGAGGTGAGTGCGAGGCTCACTAGAGGCCAGCTTCAGCAGCTCGTTCCACTCTCTCTCCCACTCCTCCTCGGTGTACACCAGCCCTGACTGCACACACACACACAAATGGAAACTCTATTAAGCATGTGCCGATGCTCGCCCACACAATCCCTATTATTATTCATTCTTTCTATTTTCATCTGCGTGTACAAGGTTACTTACCGAGGGTTTATGAATCTAAATGTGAGGCATTCTCCGTCATCATTTCGCAGTCGGGTAAAGTTTGATGTGTTGTTGCATTTAACTTTATTTTTGCATCAGATTCATCTTAGATCACTTGGCCACCAGGAGGCCTCGGGCATTTTTAAAACATGAGCATCTGGACTACTTTTTCGCCTGAGCTATCTTTGGTGACACCATTTTTTACTAATAGACGGGCAAATACTTGCATCAACATCGCAAGAAGGAAGGCGAAGAAGCGAAAAGGATTTGATGGTATTAGCAGGACGGAAACTAAAGCACGATTGAGACAAAAAAATCCAGGAAGGGAGCAGAAATAAGCTCTTATTAACAGAGATTTTCATCCCGTGGGCTTTTTAATGTGTCTTTACTAAAGGGAATGTGGTGCATTTAGGTTCTGTGTGTGTGCAAAGATGAATATTTTCCCAACCTCTTTGTTTTGCTGGGTTTGCTGCCACCTCCACCTCCTCTTGAGAGCATCTCTCTCCGCTCCACTCTTCATCATGGTATACAAGGATTTCCTCAGCATTAGGTCTCTGTCATGAAAGCCCCACATCCCTGAACGACACAAACACACAACAGTGTTACCGTATGCTAATGTTATGGACCTCACCACACAACCGGTGCATATTTATGAGTGAAAAAGAAAGGTGTTGAAATTCTTGACTGCACCAAACTTTCAAACCGCAGAGAGGCTCTTTAACTTTCCATCCTTTTATCACTCATCAAAGGGCCTTCAGTTACTAAACTGTCGGTGTCCATCACATTAGCTCTGTTTCCTTTCAACCTAATGCATTCACTGTCTACTCTGGCAGCCCTCGCCTCCTGAGTCAACAGTCTCCCTCAGCACAGACCTGTTGAACCTTTATCTCCCTGAAACCTGCGGCTGACAGTTTCCTGAAATCTATAGGTCACTCCTCTTCTCTCGCTTCCTTATCTCCCCCCGCTCGTCCTTTCTTACTCCCTCCTTTAAGTTCAGCTGCTGTGATGCAGCGCTGACAGTGTTGTTAGACCTCTGCGACGGTGTCAGCTGTCCCAAAGTTTAGAGATAAAAGGCCGACTTGAGAGCTCGTGATGGATGTTATGATCACGCTGTATGTTGAATGTGCTGTTGTTTACATGAGCGTCTCACCTAAAGAGGCAGCGTGCAGGAGGCAGTTCCCGTCCCCTGTAGTGGCCAGAGGAAGCAGCTTTTTACAACTGGTGCACATAGTGGACCACCAGTTCAGACGACCTGCAAACAGAGACACAATGGTGAGATATGAAGTCTGTACAAACTCAAGAAACAGAAGAACGGCTGTAAGTCTCCTGGAGTCACTTGTTGGTGCATAAGGGCGTATGTCCATATCAGCTTTTTTGTATATAGTATTATATGAAACTTATACGATGCAGTATTTAAAACACCCCATATGTCAGCTATATTCATAAATCCACTATCTCAAATACTAGAAATTATGGAAATTAGGAAATTTTTCAGGATATTTCTCTGTCTTGAACTGCACCTTTAGTTTTCCTTTGAAATGCACTGTGCATGTCATTGTCTCTGTCTCCATCTGTCTCACAGATGGAGACAAAGTCAAGCAGGGGCGAGATTCATGAAGCCAATTTTTGTTAACAGCAAAAGCAGGAGTCCATGCAGAGGAGGAATTACACACTCCTGTTTTTCCAGCGTCCAGTGTCCACACCTAAAGCTGCTGCTGCCAATGTTACAACGTGACTTCCATCAATTGTTTAACCTCTTACTTTTAAAATACCCTCAGATAACACCACGGGATAATTTCAGTAACCTAGCAACAGTAAGAGCTTGTAAGTTGTGTTCTGACATTGAGGTTGTGGGTGCTAAAAACAGTAGTAGTGGTGCTTTATGATTTCATATCACACATTATTTTTTAACTATATATTTTTTAAAGACATTAATAAAATAATTTCCAAAACAATTTATTAAAAGAAAACGGAAGCCAAAGGTTTCAGGATCTGGAGTTAAATGAAACGGAAAGGGCTCCAAATGCAGGATGAAAAATGTCCAACAAAAAATCCAAAATCCAACAAAAGGCACCGGGGGAACAAATCACGAGGAGACACTGGGAACACTGGCATAAGCACACACCGACAAACATACATAAAACACACATTTGAACCAACCAGGAAGACAGTAACTCTGGCTGTGTCTGAAATGAATCACTCAGTCCCTAACCCCTAACCTCCATATGGGGTTTCACTATATAGCTGACGATGTAGTGGGCTCAATCACTGGAGGTTTCAGACACTACATGGCGCACGGTTGTGACGTCACTGCTCAGACTGCCGCTGGAGACGCAATGCATTACAGGATGCCCACCACCAGTGAGTGACCATCGGACGGTCACTACATTTTGCAATGCTCTATGGGAAATTTTGAGTTGCCTATATGGGGCATTGGAATTGATCACTCAGGTTTTGGACACCCCTCAAAATGGCGCTAACCCCCGTATAGTCGCCTATATAGGGGTTAGGGATCCATTTCGGACACAGCCTATATATACACACAACACAAGCAATGAGAGGCAGGTGAGACACTGAGACACAGGTGCAGACAATCACAGAGGAGGGAAAACTGAGGAAGTAAAACAAAACAACAGGAAACACTGATATAAAGAATAAAACACTGAGAACATGATGGAAACCAGGGTTAGACACAAACTGAAAACTCACAAGACAAAGACTACAGGGGAACAGGAACGATAGGGCACAGAAACACTAGGGAAAATCCCAAAAGAAAATACACTCAAATCACAAAACCAGGGGAAAAAACTAAACCAACAGAACATGAACATATCATGACACAAAGGTACTGAAAAGGTTAATGTACATGAATAAACAGAAAGCTATTCACATTCATAAACTATAGAGATATAACAGCAGGTTTAAAACAGTCAAAATGACTCCTACAGATCAGAGATAAGTGTCAGGTAATGAACGGAGTCCAAGATGTTAACTACCGATCTCAAAGTGCTGCAGCGGTTACCAGTAACTGTCAATTGAAGACAATTAGCCAATGAACTTAATTAGCCCAAATAATTGAACTTTGAAGGCAATCATTAGCGCAGACCATATGCCTCCACACGCCCTCAAACACCTGGCGTCCTCCCACTCTGTACATCTTCCTCCTCAGCCTGACTTCTACACTATCCCCAGTTTGTGCTCCATCACCGCCTTACGCGTTTCCCTCAGGGAGAAACAACAGCTTCACAGCTTTGGGCACGACACGCTGCTTCACTGCAGGCAGGATTTCTGCTCAGAGCCCGAGGTTATCTGGCTGCATCATTTATTTAAACACAACAAACACTGAAGAGGCTTTAAATGATTTACCCCTTAGCGTATAGGGGGTCAAAATGCAGATGTTCTTTACATTTGTCTTATTCTTTCATAAACAATATCAAAATCAGTCTGAAACAAAACACTTCCGTATGTATTCTGCTTTTTCTTGAATTTCAGAATTACTTTTTTTCCCCGTGGAGAGTTGCAGCTATGGTCTTTTATTTTTGATGACTTCAGTCACATTGGCTATGTGAGAGCTAAGAATCTTACATCTTTAATTCTTCATTTATCACCATCAATCAAATATTTAATCTGACTGTCTGAGCCCCTGTTTTGTCAGATTTGTAAGACCATAAAACAGATGATTTGTTATTGATGTGATACTGAAATATTAAGGGTAGAAGAAGTTAAAAAGTGTCCAAATATTCTTTTTCCTTCCCCCTGACTCTGAACCGAATTAGGTAAGGGAAGATTTTACACTCTCTGCTGTCTCTGCCTGGGAAAATCTGCAGGAAGATCTCAAACTTCACTAACTAGTTTTTCCTTGTTAGTTCAAAGCTTCAGCTGGGAGATGAATCCTTGGGGATCCAGGAGGCTTTGAATTAGGTTGTTGTCGTCTTGCTTCCAGATGATGCTGCTTCTCTGATATGCCTCAGTCTACTTTACAGGCTTCCTCTTAAATCTCTCATTACTGCTGCTTTGTGGGCCTCTGCATTTTGATGTTATCCAAATAAAGATTCTGTTCAGTCTCTAACATCGTATCATATTGTATCCCCCTAGCACTCACCAGCCTGCTCCAGAGCCATCATGGTGGACTGCTCTATCAGGTCTCTCTCAATGAAGCTCCTGAAGTCCTCGCTGTACACACTGAGGTCTGGTAGCTGGAATGTGTAAATGGGCATCTCAAGAGGGAACTGCTCGCTGGTACACTCATTGGCCACCTGCAGCCGCGCCAGGGAGACGATAGCCGAGCTGGCATGGGAGATCCCACGGGACAGACGCTTCTCTGGAGAGGGGAGGAACAGCGGGAGAAAGTGAAGGAAGAGAAAAACATAAAAGTTGCGGATGACGATAGCGCAGCATCGAGGTGGTCTTCAAACCTTGTGCATTGTCCTCCTGCTTCTGTGCACACGGCCTGTCGATCTTGCTGACATGGGTGGGCGTGTCACGTGTCTCTGGTGGCTTGTAGTAGCGGCCCTCATTGAAGACCTGCGGCAGGTTGGCAGTGTGGACCTGCCTGAGCTCCTCGTAATCATTTAGAGCAGCACTGAGGTCCCAGTTTTTACCTGAAAGACACAAACAAAAGAGTGTTTAATTGAAATCAACACTGAGCAAGAATTCATGTCGCTCATTGTACGATAACTAAACATCACTGACAGGATTATTTTCTCCATATTTTATCTTTACAATACCCCAAATTTCTGCACGGATGGATAAGTTAAGTTTTATTCATATCTTCACATATTCTCATGCTGTTGTTGTTCTGGTGCCACATGATACTGGTTGCTGCAGAAAAGCCAGATTCCCTTGAAAGGGATATTCCGGCGTAAAGTTAATTTAGGGTCAAATGCACCATTAACACAGAGTTAGACACCCAGTCGAGAGATGAATGTTGCCTCTCTACCCCGGTGTTACAGTGTGTTTGACCCTAACTTATCTTTACGCCGAAATATCCCTTTAATTAACTGATGAACACAATCAAAGCAGTTCATCGAAATGAATAAAATTCACATTAGCCTTTTTTTTTATTTAAATAGGAAGTCCCAACTGTAACAGCTCACACTGAGTCAGGCCATACAGTAGAGAGAAGAGTACAGCATGCTGCATCACAAGGCTAATAACTTCAGTTTGAGGTTGGGTAGTGAAGCAACACTGAAGATAGTGATGGGAGACAGATCCTTTAACAGAATGACAGCAATATCCTGATGTGCCAGAGAAAGTACCCACACACTGGTAACACAAGAGTGCTATAAACACACACATTCACACAGACTCAGACTCAGTTGTCTCCTCTGGGTGCTGTCTCACTGACAGAAATGCCTTCCAGATTTAAAGACACAAATAAAGCCTCCGTCTTTATTGCGACTCAGTGTGCCACGGGAAAACTGCTTTTACAAAAGCAAAATCAATGCTGAGGATATCTACATGTAATATGAGCGTTTTTACAGATGCTGCACTGATGGACTCTCTGCATGAGAGACCTGCAGGAAGTTATCCACTTTGTCCCTCCTGACTTACAGACATGCTGCTGCTCAGCTAGCTGAACATGAAACCCGACACCACTTACTACTGTCTCTCACGTCAATCAATGCTAAACTGATTCTGCGTTATGGATCTGGGCACATCCAGGAATGCATCTGAACGTCCTGTAGACACAGATACTCTGCATCTAAAGCCTGGTCTCTGAATGCCTCTACATTAGCCCGCTATTACTGTGGCATGAAGGCGTTGTTGCAGCTGCTTCATTTTTAATGGCTGTCGTCAGCAAAAGAAGACTAAAATATTCATCCGCAGCATGAATATGGGATTCCCCAATTTATGAGGACTTCTTCTATCCAGATTAAAAACACCGTGAATCAAAACAGTTGCAAAAGAACAGTAGAGGCAGTTCTTTATTCGTAAACTTTAATAACAATATCCCTCGTCTAATTTCTTTTATTTTAAACTTTATCAACAAAACAGCTTCACTGAGCTTCTGTCTCTCTCTCTCTCTCCCTCTACAGACTAAAAACCTTCATTTCAGATTAAAAAAAAACACTGCTCTCAAATATTTTGACCACAAATGTCAAAACACATTCTTCAGTACACAAACCAGCCTCTAGGGGGTAGCACCATATGCAGTGCTGTCACATCCTTCCGTCTGCTTCCTCCTCACTCCATCCTCACTCAGACCAGAGAGGGTCACAGAGCGGCCGACTGATGCAGGTCTTAAGAGTGAAGCTAACACCAGAGAGCGGCAGAAATAGGACATCCAGGCCCATGTCTGTCTCATCTGAGTGCAGTGTCTTGTTTGGTGTCACATGTATGCCCCTGGTGGCTTTGTGCCAAAGCATAATCAGAAAAAAAAAGAGTGAGGGGGAGGAAGAGACACCCAAAGCTTTAATTCTGACTCCATCAGACGAGACTAGACTGGCTGTGTAATAAACACACAGAGAAACAAAAATTAAGGAGACTCTCTGAGGCACACAGAGGCGCTGCATAAACTCTACAAGGATTTCATCCCCTAATGGACGTCTGATTAATGTGGAGCATGCTTTTATTTCTCTAAGGTACACAGAACTGCATCCACATTTCCGCTTCAGCATTTCTTTCCTGCAGTTTGACCAAACGCTCGAATGCAATGAGAAATTGGCTGAGACTGCAAAGGCAACATAAACACAAACATCACTTTTACTGTTCCTACATATCAAAGCCAATTCAACTGACCATCAACAAGCTTTTGTTGCAGTGTGCACTTTTGCTCCCCTGGTCTTTTTTTTTTGTCCTAACAGCGCTGTATGTAAGCTATACAAGTGCCAGTAGCACTCTGCTCCTCAATGAGTTCCAATGAATGGGCACAAAGCTCTCCCTGGAGAGTGCACTCGTAAAACTGCCACACCGGCCTCTAAATCAGCGGGCTGGCTCAATGTTGCAAACCCCACACATCTCCTCCCTTCCTTTGTTTGCCTTCTTTCCCTTTCCTCCTTCTTTCCTCTTCCCTTGTTTACCCTTTTCTCTTCAGATCTCAGCGGCAACACTGGCTCAGCAGGAATCAACAGCTGATCAAAAGATAACTTGATAAATATCGTAGCCCCTGTCTATGGAGGTCAGCACCCCCAGGGCTCAAATACTGACAATGGATATTTAAGACCAAAAAAAAACTGCAGTTCTTCAAGTGGCCACTTGAGGCTGTCCTCAAAGGCAAGTCAATCCCAACAGACCTAATGTTGAATTACTCCACTTAAAAGCAGAATTTCACATTTTGACATCCTTGTATAAAACAGGTTTTGATCTCTATAGATCATCTCTCTTTCTGCCAAAAATAAAGGAGCTAAATTTCAGAACAATAATAACTTTATTTATATAGCACTTTAAAAAAAAAGTGCTTTAACATGCAGGACAACAAAGAAGATAAAAACAACATAACAACAACAAGAGAACACTTGGGGGAAACGTCACATTACTGGAATAAAGAAATAAAATAAAAATCGGTGGAAAACATAAAAGCTTTGATAAATGTCATGTGAGCTGAAACGTCATTAAAGCAAAGACATTATAAGAACCTGTGAGACACAGCCAACACAGGAACCCAATGACAAAAACCTGAGACCAAGGGGACTATAATAAAACATGAATAAGGAGAGTAAAAGGTTTTAAAGAAGACAAAATCACATAAAAGCAAGTCTATAAAAATGAGTTGACAGAGTTTAAATCATTTAGGGGCTGTAGCTGCTTTGAGTGAAAGGTGGATCCTGCTAGCATTGTGTTAAGAGTCACTTCAGTTGACCCAGTCATCACACTCTTTGCTTGGCCTTACTTGTTCAATCTTCGCCCTCTTGTGGATTATTTAAAGCTCCTATAAGGCATTTTTTTCATATTTATAAAATAGACTGAAAATTATTTTGATGCATTGTAATGATATCCAAAAGCAACTATGACCATCAGCAGTAAGATTGGCAATTTTTTAATTGTAATTTTTAATGCCTAAAACTGTTGAGAGGGGGTAAGGGTCAGTTAAGCAGCTAAAAATTGACCTGTTTTTTTTTTTTATTTTAATTTTTTTTTTTTACCAATCCCATTTAAAATATTTAGAATAAATGATAAAACCGTCTGTCAAAAGTCAGCAGGATAGGATTTTTTTTGTCAGAAGTCATTACTTACTCATGTGAACTCATCGCTGGTTTTATTTCTCAAAATTTTCTGTATTTTAAATTGTGTTTTATTTTATTTTCTTCTTTTTTTCTAAGGCGTCTTTGAGCACCTGTAAAAGCGCATTATCAATAAAAATTATTATTATTATTATTATTATTGTTGTTATTAATAATAATAATAATAATAATAATAATAATAATAATAATAATAATAATAATAATAATAATAATAATAATAATAATAATATTAATAATAATAACAACAATAATAATAATAATGATAATAAAGGGCAAGATAAGGTCAACGCATGGCTTGGCCTATTTTTTAATGCTTGTCAAAATAAACCTTGTGGAGTGAGTTTAATTGAAAAGACGACACGTGATCAGCAGAGGGAGCCAATTTGTCACAGTAAGTGGGTACCTCAATACTATTAAAACTAGAGCAGGCTGTGCTCAACTACCTCGCAGTTAGCTGACAGGGTGATAATAGCAGGTGATATCAGCAAGAGCTACAGCAAGTCTTCAGGCAACAACACAAGGATTTATATCCTGGATTTTACTGTATTTTTAGTGTTTTTTTATACTAAACTGGGATCAGTGTTGGGACCAGTTACTATTGCCTGACCACAAGTTCCCTCCTTTCACCTTTTTTTCATTGTACTAAGTTGTTTTAAGAAATAACTAATCCTGCTCAGCTATCGCCACAAACCTAATCCCCCGGGAAAACACAATGGTTGTCCACAGTCCAAATATGGTCACTCGTGGCTCAAGACAAAACATCATAATGAGGGCCAAAATACCAGATTAAAGGCTTTAAAATGGCCGTTATTTACCAATAGGTGAGATTATTGTAGCTATGTCCATTATTCAACAGTCAGAGTTGAAGGTGTGGGACATTTTTGGTTTCTTACCTTCCAGCAGGTCTCTTGCCAGACCAGGTTCTGCCCCCGTGGACCGAACAAAGTCTGACAGGACCGCGTCCATGTCCAGAGTCATGTGATCATGTGTGTGTGCTGCCCAAGGTGCAGCGGAGGCCTTGGTGGACGCCAGCCTTCACGTTCTCATCTGGAGCGAAAACAGAAGCAGAGAAGGGTTTTATATGTGCAGTTTAACATCATAATAAACACATTCATAGTATTTAATCATCCACTGACCCCCCCAGACAGCAATCGCAGCCTGCTCGTACTCGTATGTAACGCTTTTTTAGATCTGATAATTCATAGTCCTGAGAATAGCTCTCCACTCCCTGCGCTCCTCCCAGCATCTGCTAACAGTCATAACATAATGTCCAGCAGCACAGATGTAATATCAACAACAAAGCCAGAGGTCGTATCCAGGACACACCTGCCTATCTCCAAAGCCTTTGGCCCACCGCCCATGATCACAACAACACTTCCTACCACAGAGTGTCAACCAGGGGTTTCTGGGTTTGATCCAACATCTTGCTGGGCAGCAACAGAGAGAGAGAGAGATCCTGTGAAGCCACTTTTTGGAGCTGGGTAACTCCGTGTGATGTTGTTCAGTATGACCCAAGATGGAGAAAATGTTGATATGACTTTGTAGCACTTGAGCTCTAATGATCAACAACCACAGCACAGTTGGGTCTTAAATAACATCTCAAAGACGGATGGCAGTCACTCCCTCGGCCCATGGAATGAATGCGTCTATGCATAGTTTTCGTTCCACTTGAGGCTGTGTGGGTGATCGAGGAACAGAGCTCAGAACATTGTCAGTGAAGAAACACACGCCCACACAGGTTACAGCTCTGACACCAAGCCCCTGTGTGTGTGTGTGTGTGTGGCTTTGACACCAGAGAGTGGAGACCATGCTGGACTCTCTCTGCTGCCCCAGCTCACAGTCTGCCACATGACATGAGTGGACCAGGTTCTGGCTCAGTGTTGTGAGCCAACAGACAGTAAACACTAGAGCTGATAGGAAGCAAATGTGGTGTTTCCTGCCTCTGAGGATGAGGAGTATGAGAGGGTTATTCTGACAACAGCGTGAACAAGACACTCAACATGATTTCATTACATCTAATGAACGTGAACTCAGAAATTTCCTCTTGGTAAACTTATATTTAGATTCGAATTAAAGGCTCATGACACAAAAGAAGACAAAAAAAACACCCAGATCTGCTTCATCATAAAAAAGTATCTTTGCTGGGGACCTAGTAACTTTATCAAATGCATTATTAATTTGTAAAAGCTGCACTTAAGCTGTAGTTTAGCTGACCTAGTTACTGTCAGCCATTTGCATTGTGTAACATGTACATTGTTGTACTGACAGAATCTCAGCACACATGAACTACTGCAAAGGAAACACAGGGTGGGTGGTTGGATGGAGCAGTTGAAGCAGCGATCATGTCAGACATGTTATCAGATCTATGATAGAGTTGTTTTTGTACTTTCCAGACATTAAACCAATGTTAGTCAGACTTACTTTTTCAAATCGAGGGAAACATCTTACAGGAAATCCAAAAGGCGTGAAAGCCAGCCTGTGATGAATTTCCCTCTTCTGAGGACCAAAGAGACAACATATGTGTGCCTAATTACTCTCTCTAGGGGTGGACACTTAACTCAGTACTGAATAATAGGCCACCCATTGAGTGAGAATCACAATATTGCTTCACAGGGCAGCAAGCCTCGAGCCTGGTGGTGTGGAGCGAGATACAGAAATAGCTGAATCTTATAAGTCATGACCTCATCTTCTCCCTCAAGAACAGCCCTATTCACATCTCGGTCCCTGTGGGAGGTAATTATGACTCAGAAACACCTTAAAGTGTACTTTTCTTTCTGACGTAAAAACCATGTGGGCAGGAGGAACGGGGGACTGTCCGGCTTCCTGTTAATCATTATGACATTTGGCATATTTGTCACACAATGTAGGCTTTTTCAAAATGAGGGGCCATTAACATAACAGCCAAATGACTGGAAATTGTTCCTGTTTTAACACATCAGGCTGACATTTATTATGTTTTTTTCTTAGTTTCTGCTCATTCCATGGAAAGACCAGAGACAGAAACTTATGAGTCTTTATAAACAATTCCCCGAAGACACAACCACTTTCACATCTGAACCTGAGAACTAGAAACTGTTTAATTGTTTTGTTTTTTTAGAAGTCAAATGAATAGCCAACTGGGGAAAATAGTTCACTTTTAAAGGACTATATTCAGTCAGTAAACAAGCACAGAGGAAGCCTGTAACGCAGTGTCTTTAAAATGGAGATTAAATTGTAGGAAGGCTGTGTCTGGTTACACTGACAAGTCATCCGTACAACTAGGGCTTGAACGATAAAACAACGATATATATTGAAAATTAATTTCCCTCAATATCAATATTAAAAATGGTCAATCTGCTTTTTGATAGTCGGCATTCTGCCATGTTTTGGTCGACTATACGAATAGCCAATGAAAAGGGAAGTTGCTTCAGGTCCCCTTCGCGCTGAACCAATCATGTGCTGAATCAGAGACAAGTAGCAAACAGCTGCGTAATAGCAGGCTGAAGCTACACGCAACCATAGCACTCTAACACATGAAGCCAACAGCACTGTTGGTGAGAAAGAAAGCAAATGAGTGCTACCCCTGGCAGAAATGCAGATGAAGGCACAACAGATGACCACATCCTTGACAACACTGGCATGAAAACGTCGGTGGTGTGGAGGTATTTTGGTTTTTTGAGGTCGGACATGAAGCAGAGTAATGTGCACTGCAAATTATGTCGAGTACATGTTCTCGCAAAGTCGGGGAAGCAGCACCACGCGGCCGAGCACGCACAATGCAAAAGGTTACAAATCCGAGCGGAGCAAGGAGCCCATACCGCCTGTGCAGCTGAAACATTCAGTCTGCTTTCTCCAGCACAACGCCTCACGACAAAACGTGGAAGAGACACAAAGACCTCACAGATTAAGTAGCTTATTGTATTGCAAAAGACATGCTACCAATAAGCACTGTTAAGTTTAATTTTTTTATATTGTGATATATATCAATATCGACTAAAATGAAAAAATATATATTGTAATAAATTTTCTCCCATATCGCCTTAACTCCAACAGACCAACATCTAACTCGCACTGGGATGTGTGTATAGACCTATGAGATGGTACCACTTCTGCCTCGTAGCTGTCATCCTTAAAATTCAACTTAGACAAACAATGTCACAAACAAGTAAAATGACCAGATTAATCTTGAAGAATTTGCACGTACTTTCTGTATTTTTGCTGATGGTTGTTGAGAAGCCATCTGATGACCACGGGACTGTCAGGACCAGACGCAGCTCTAGTCCATGGCTTCAGAGACGGCGGAGGAGAGAAAGACACTGGGGATGCAGACAGCCCTGAAAACACAGTAAACACTGACAGTTATCAAACAGAAAACACTATGTACATGCTTTTGGCTCTGACTAACTGGGTGAAATTTGAAGCATATGCAAAACACTCAACCTACACACACCTGTGACCTCGTCTGTGTTCAGAAATACCTCCTGAGTCACCACTTTCTTTATGTGTCATTCAGAAACCACTTGATCTACTCACTGCCCAATAAACTGACTGATAAAGTTGAAATGTAATTACTGGTAAAAGAATAATGTCCCATTTCTTAAAACCTCATAACTTTCACTAAAACGTGTTATTAAATTAGCAGCAGGAGGTTTCTATCTGCCTGTGATGTGAGTAACTACACCATTAGCTGTAATAAGATCTCCATAAGTCAGCTTTTGTCCAGATGCACCTTTTTCCCGTGACCACACCTCCTTGAGTTACTTTGATGTCATCATATTTTCAGGTTCTCACACTCAGATGCAGGTGTGTTTGTGACACCGATAACACAAAAAAACACAAACATGCTGAATCTGGTTGAGGCTGCAGGAGGTCACTGTTGTGTTTCTGTCTGATACAGCAGTAAGACATGAGACTCTGTAGCATCTAGACACAAACACAAATAAAAAAAAGGCAGATGGAAGAGTGTAAGAGAGTAGAAATTTAACAGCAACACCAGAAACTCAGAGGATTTCTACTTTGGTCACACACCAGTCTGTTCCCTTCCATAGTTTTTACAGAGGCGCGTCCTCTGCATGATGAGGAGTTAGCATCAAAGTCCCTTTAAGTGCAACTGAAATATCCATCAGTGGCATGCATAATTCACATAAACTGTCAAGGGTCATATGTTGTAGTATATGCTTAATTTGTTTCACTGTTTACTCACTTATATCAGAGTTCAACAAATGTTTCATACGGTGTCATTGAAACCTCCCTGAAAATTAGAAATAATCTAATATGGATCTGTTATAACACATGGGTCAGAACAAAAATTTAAACTGGTGAGCAGAGTGTTAGTTCAGGCAGGCCATTTAGTCAACTCAACTCACAGTATATCAGCTTATCCCAACGCTAGTTCAAGTCAGCAGGCAACTCGACTGATTACCTTCAATGCAACAAACTGGCAGATGGTAACAAGTGTGTGTTGCCTCCTTTTTACGCTGTATCTGGTTTTACCAGCATCACATGTATTATCACTGACGCCTGCTGTTCTGTTTTTTTTGGGGGGGTCGTTGCTGCTGCTGTTTTCCTTTAGCTTTTCATGGATGCACATGAAATGGGGAGGAGGTGTGCTCTCCCCGCTTTTCAATTCTTTATTTCACAATTTCCAAAGCACTGATCATGTTTCCCAACGAAAAATTAAGACTTCCAAAAGTTTTTCTTGTCAACAGAAGTAACTAAGAACAAGTGCCCAAAATCTGTATTTATTCTCCACTTGTGTTTTTTCTGCTTATTTGATTCAATACCTTTCAGAGAGTAACTTTTTAACTCTACTATATTTGCTTGATTTGATCATGCCTCTCTTAAACAGTCACATGAATCTCTCACCATAAAGATCTACCTGGAAAAATGTAAACAAAGGATGATTTGGCATCGTGCTCTCGATTGCCTCACCTCACCTCACCTACACCGACCCCAATAAGCTTTTACATGACGTAGAAGTATAACGCTTTTGAAGGTCATACACAAACATCAGTAATTATTTCATTTCATTACCAGCTACAGAATCCACACTTCTGAGCTGTAAAGTCTCTTGTACCATTACAGTTGTTAAATACAGTCCTTGTGCCAGAACCACATCAATTATCTGGATTCTTTGATTTTTCCAAACACTTCTGGGCAAATACTCTAAAATGTACAAATGAAAAGTATATTAACTGAATTGAAAAAAAGTGTGTCTCAAATGTGAACCTCAGCCACAGTACCTACATGAACACACTGTGTGTTTCCACACCTGATGTTGAGTGTGAATGTTAGTATATTTGGCTCACATATGAAGAGGAGACAATGTTCACCACTATCTGTACATCTGATCTTGTACTTTCGATTCAAACACATTAATAGCTTGATGATAGCTTGATCGGAAACTTGTGGTATAAACTGGTGTCTGCTTTGTTGTCATTTAGATGTTATCGTAGATATTTTTGTAAGACTGCTGAGTTGTGTCTTCTCCTATCACTCACTCACACACACACAGCATTTGTTTACCTCCTCTGGTCCACTGACCCGTGAGCATTCAGCCTGCAGTCCTCTCTCATATTTACAAGTTCTCATATAGTATCCAGAAACACAGGACAATCAGCAGCACTGCATCTGTACAGCATGACATACAGGAACCTCAAATGACCTGTAAACTGAGGCCCATCTTTGGCTCAGCCATCAGATATAACAATGAAACACCTACTTCTTATGAAATTCACCCCCTAATAGATAACAGGCATTATTTGGACACAAGCAAACATGATCACTGTCGACTGTTTTAGGATGATTTGCCCCGTCTCGCCTGCTGATTTCTGTTATCCAAATACAAACAGAACGGCTTTCAGCTGTACTTTATCAGTCATCATTGACTATCAAAAGAACTTCAAAGGAATACACCATGAAACAACAAACCTATCTGTGTAGAAAGGGACTTTGAAACCCTATTCTTAAGAAAAGGAACACCGTACCTCTTGTGAACTTGTTAAAAAAACAAAGCAGTCTTTAACTTACTGTAACTTACACCCTACACGGTGCATACTCATCTCACCACCCACTACTTTTTTTTCCATATCAAAAGTTTACAAAGCCTTAAAGTCATCGAAAATATGAAGCAGTTGGCTGGTTACCAAGTTGAAGGGACGTAAATCTATAGACTCCGCCGTGGAAATTTAGAGCCCTTACTCAGAATAGAAAACAAACAATCACAGGGGAAAACAGATCGCTGTTTTCCTTATTTTCCATGTAATATAGATCATCTTTTCCAAACAACCCCGTGGTTAAATGGAGATGAGCAACAGGCTATTTTTTCCATGATGCACATGCCGAGATATATGGAGGCTTTTGACAGTTATAGGATAAGTTACAGCAGAGATAATTGTCTCTATAGTGAGCAACGATCGCCCACATGCAGGGCAGATACACAGCAGGTGGGAGGTGAACATACTGTACCAACACTTGAACGCAACTCTTTGCACTGCACCTCCTCCATCACAGGCAGGTGGTCAAGCAGCAAATCCTATAGATGCACAGCTATGTTGGACAGTATGCATTCTGAGTCACAGTCACACTGTTAAAGGACATTTTTGTTTAGATTTCTGCAAACATAAGTCTATGCAGATTTGAGAGTGTAATGTTCGTGTTCAGAATTGATTTGTCTGGTGATAGAGGGGAAAATAATCACTTTTTAAGAAGACTAAATGTCAGGAATTGAAAAGCTGCTGCTGAAATTATCTGGTGTCAGCCTCTAATTCACTGCCAGAAGGAAAGAGACAAGGCCTCTCTGTCGAGGAGCGTCCTCCAGGTTATGTTGTTTCAACAAGTGTAGCTTTCAGGTGAAATTGATTGTTGGTAAAATACATAAAAAATAGTAACAACTCACACTTGTTGACTGAAACTCGTAATGTGGGGCTTTTTTCTTTTTTGTCTGATTGTATAATATTTGTTTTGGATTTAGAGCAAGAAATGATCAAATGTGTAATTCAGAGACACTAGTCTGTTGTCTGGCTTTTCTCATGATAAAATTTTCTTTTCAAATCTTACATATGTATTACAGACCTGTTGGAAAAACCTGTGATCCTTCCAGCCAGCTGACACAGACAAGTTGCTCTTTATGATTTGATCCATACAATGATTTTAAATCAAAATCTTTCTGCTGATTGTGTCCTGCAAACTTTCTGGACACTACATAAGACTTCACATTTACAGATACATATGTAAATATGTGGCCATCTGCGTGATGTAAGTGAAAAAGCAAAAAAGTATCCAATTCAAAAACAAATCCGATGTATCCTGATTGTGGAAGACAAACTCTGCACAGCCTCCCAATTGCAGGTGGCACTAATCCAAAGCCAAAAGGACCTTTGAAACCTGAAACCAGAACCTGCTCACCAAATAGTGGCAAGAGACTTGTCAGGCTGCAGTTGGTCATAGGATGTGAGCTTGTTGGTTAAACACAAAATAAGTCCATCTAACCTCAGAAAGTCTGATCCCTTAGCTGCTGGACCGAATATTTTGGATTCTTCGAGGCAGGCGGAGAGTAAAATCTCACTTTCTGGCTCAGACAAACGGTTGCATCCAGGCCCACTGTGGCTTCAGTGTGTGAGCTGATCTGCTGCTCGGCGGGCCAAGCACCGACAGGCTCAGACTGCTGTGTTCAACACTGCTAGATAACCACCCTGTGATCCCTGCCCCGGGAGTCAACGAGCGTCTAAGTGCACAATTATTTGAGTGTGTGTGTTTGTGTTCATGAAAACACTCCATAGCATGTTTCTCCTCAGTGTGCCCTCTCTGTGTGTGTGTACCAACCTCAAAGCCAGTAGTGTAAGAGCCTCTACAGGGGGCTGCCAAAAGACAGGAGACGGCTAATAGGAGATGGCATCCACTCTTATCCAGAACTATAACACAAGCCTGTGCACACCGAAGTATCAGACCAACTTTCTCTTATAGGAAAGAAAAACACCTGCAGGTGTTACCTGAAGCAAAGGCTATTGGCTGCACAATGCCTCAAGATATAAACGCTAAAAATCAGTTTAAAAGGGATATTCCAGGGTAGAATTAATTTAGGGTCAAACACCCTAACACCGAGTTAGACACCCCCTCGAGAGACATATGTTGCCGACTACTTGCTTCTCTAGTTATACCAACTTTAGTAACGACCGCACGATAGCAATACACAGAGGTCTCAGGAGCCACACACAACATATATGTACATATAGGGTCCCAGCCACAGCACCAGCCACCGAACATCTTTTTAACTTTGCCTAATTTCTATAGCAAAGAGACTAAATACAACTCACCTACTCTCTTCCAGCAGCTGCTTGTTTATAGAGACCTCGACTATTCCATTATGGACTGCTGTGGGGTGGCGCAGCTCAAGGAAGAACATTCATGATCATTTCTTCATCATTTCCTTGAAGTAATAATCACCATGTTAATTATTTTGCACTGCAGACGCGATAGTTCTCCTGCCTTAGCGTCTCGGTCTGATTGCATTTTCATGAAGAAATGATCATAAATGTTCTTCCTTGAGCTGTGTCACCCCGCAGCAGTTCATAATGGACTGGCCCGAGGTCTCGCTACAAACAAGCAGCTGCTGGAAGAGAGTAGGTGAGTTGTGTTTTGTCTCTTCGCTAAAGAAATCAGGCAAAGCTAAAAAGATGTTTGTTGGCTAATGCTATGCTTGGAACCCTATATGTCCTGTTGATGAAGTTAGGTGCTGTTCTGAGCATTATTTGTGGCTCTAGAGTTGCTCTTTGGTTGAGGTTTGTTTATGGCTCCTGAGACAGCTGTGTATTGGTATCATGTGATCATTACTAAAGTTGGTATAACTAGAGAAGCAAGCAGTTGGCAACATTCACCTCTTAAGGTCTCTTGTCTAACTCTGTATTACGGTGTGTTTGACCCTAAACTAATTTCACACCGGGATATCCTTTTAAACCAGTGTGTGTTTGCACTAATATTACACACTTACATGATGAGTAAATGCAGGAACAGCGAAAAAAAACAGATTCAGAAAATGCAATCAATGTGCGGTAATTGTATATTGGAAAAACAAATGAGCGCAACTGCAGACTAACAGATCATTTCCACTTTACATCAGTGCTGAATAATCAACACAATCCATTAGCATGCTTCACAACACAACACATGATAAGTGACATGGAAAATTTTTGAAACAGGATATCATAATGCCTCACCAAAGTACAAACTAAGCACTTCACAATTTCAAAGTCCTTGCTCGAGAGCACAAGATTCAATCAGTGAATTTCAATGTGGGGTGGAAGCAGCACTTGCTATTCAGGCTTCATATCAGTCAGCCAGTCTCAATCTCTGTCCCATCACCTCTTCTTCTTCTTCCTCCTCCCTCCCTCTGCAGCCACAATAGGAAGATTATGCCTGTGACGATTGTGTACAAGCCTTGCCAGTGCAGCATGTGCATGTGTGTGCTGGATTTTACAATCTCATGAGTGGCCAGAGGAATGTGGGACGTGTTTCAATCAAACGAGGGCCCTTCACCCGGCACCGGCTCATCAGGTTTGGCCATTTTGATTTCTGAGAGCTCCATCAACATCTGTCTGTCATTTGAGTAAACACCTGTGAGAGTGCAGAGTCACTTATTTTTCCTCCATTGTTCTCTGCTCACTGGCAGGACTTCCCCTGCTCTGCACTGATTCGCTGTGACCTCAGAGCACCCTAACACCCAGAAAAATCAACTGCAGTGCTCCATTTAAGACTGCTGGAAGATAGACACCAAAAAGGCAGAACGAACCAACAATTTCTTGGGAGAAAGTGTGATGCGTCTGAGTCTTGACCTCTAGACTGACTCTGTAATCAAGCCTCTCACAAATACTTTCTCTTCCTCTCTCCTAATCCCTCACCAAACTTTAAGAAGACAGATTTATGTGAAGCAGCCCCTTACATACTGGATGAAAGATGCTGCTTGAAGCAATAATGTCACTTTGCATCTCATTTCTACTCTACACACTGCCAGCGCAGCATATCATCGAGTGGAGAGTTGTTGGTAATTTACTCTAAATGCATCATCGCATTAATTTTTGAAGTAAATTCCAATTAATGCTGCGGTGGACAGCAGACGCACTGCTCTGCATGTATACCTGGGGGACATCTCTCATCATTTTGAAGTTTAGAGACTCAGGTTCTTCTAATTTATCAACTCAACTGCTTGATGTGAGCTTCTGATTATTGAGAGGTTTTTGAAAGACGCATAATTGGCAGAAAATCGTAAACTGTTTAAAGATGGATGTAGTTTCAGTTGCGTCACCCATTGGTTTCTAAATGGGCACCATGAACCTGTTTATCTACAGAGGTTTTCACTTTCACAAAATTAGCCTCAAAGCACTGTTCAGGTTTTAACACTAGAAGCAAAAAGTCCTTGTAACAGAGTAACCTGGAGCTTTTCCGTCTGACCTTATATGTGAGTCAAATCTTCACTACTAGCAGATCAGCTCTGCATCATGTGCAGCGTGCACACCAACAAAAAGCTGGTTACGAAGGGGGGGAGAAAAAGATCAAAACTCCTCGAAATATCCCTCCCTTCAGCCCTTCTACTACCTTCTACTAGGTGCGCTTCATTCTTGTATAGGATGTATTGTGGGCAACACAGCAGACGGCACCACAATCGTTTAGTCTCAATGATCATGTTTTTATAATTGTGGGGGCTCAAACTACAATTGAAATTAAAATCTGATCGACCGCCCAGCCCTACTACACAGAAAGCATCAGACGGGTATATTAAAAAAAAAATAAAGTAGGGAGACAACTTAGTAGCTGTCTTTTTTTTCCTCTAACGTGAGATATACAGACTTAACCAGCTGAAGCCAGCTGGCGTTTGAGTTTGTGTGGATGGAGGTTTTCATCTAAAGTGTCAACACAAAAAATCTTTCACTTGATTTCACTTTCACTCTCCTCCCAGGCTCAGAGATCTATACGAATTAAGATATTTGTGAATATGATAAAAGAAACATTACAATGACTTTTATCATCGTCATCTTCAAGCGCATGATCCTTTTGGATATGCTGTAATTGTACGTATATTTTTAGACATAAGGCCTGTTTATGTATGTGGGTTATAATAATGCCTCCTCTGAATCCACATTTTCTTTTTCAGAGGCGTGCACACACACACACACACACACACACACACACACACACACACACACACACACACACACACACACACACACACACACACACACACACACACACACAGCCAAGCAAAGCAGCTATACAACGCTTCCTGTCCTTGTCAACCTGATTATTTCATTTTAGGTGTCATGGAAAAAAAAAAAGAAAAAAACAGGAAAACATCATTTACTGCAAAGCAGTGCACAATGTCATGTTGCCTCTATCGCTTACGGTTGTAGCTTCTAGGCTATAGTGAAATATCTATTCAGCTCAAACCCTGCCTCAATCATAGGGCCGCTCTGTTTTCCTACAACGACCCCATAAAAATAAGAGTCTCATTATTTCCACTGAAACTTCAATAAGAGAGGAAACACTAGAAGAGATTGTTTTGACACCTCAGACTCTCACAGTACCTGTGTTGTGCTGTGTGGCACCACGATTGGTTTGACTGCATGCGTGGGCGCATGCATGCACACTAAAGTGGGTGGAGAGGGCAATATCACATAACCTTACTCTTAATTTAGCATGTGAAGAAAAGATGCTACACCTATAAACTGCAGGCTCTTGAACATAAAAAAGACAGTCTTTTATCTGAAACGTTATATCTGATTACATAAAGAGACAGCGATGCTGATCTCTGGGACCACAAGTTTCCGTCAAGAACAAAAACAGAATGATTTCAGCTTTTCTGTCAGTCAGCAACTGTTCTGGGTTTGTTTTTGGTTTGTGGTTACTGTAACCACTAGAGCTCTGCAGAAGAGGGATGTGTGTGTTTAGCTGGAAAGAAATTAAATATCACCACCTGATTAATGGTGACTGCTGAAATTTTACACAAATTAATGCGAAAAAAGCACAGAGGACCGAAGGCATCTGGGAATTTGGCAATACTTTGATTTAGAATGTGGAGAAAATGTAAAACAAGCATAAAATCTCAACTCAGTGCGTTTTTAAACTGTTGTTATGTTATTGAATGCCCTGAAAGTTAATGTTTTTTTTTTTTATTACCTTTAGACAAGTTAATTAGACAGAATTAAATTCTTGTTCAAAAGACCAGAAAGGTTTTACAGGTTACAACATCCCCACTGCAGAGCAAATAGCTTAGACTGATCTCAAGGGTACAGAAACGTCAGAGGGCAGGTAAAACTGAATAGAGTCGCTTACATGAAAAATTAGTAGTTTTAAGTTTTTTACTGTAACCTTACAACACAAACACAGATATGTGTCAAAGGTCAACCAATAACAGTTTTCCACTGACTGATTATGAAAGCGCAAGTCAGCTTATAGCCGATTGTGACCACTTTGTTTTGGTTTAGTTCGATTTTTTGTGGAGGTTTTTTGAATTTGACAAAATACAACTCTGAAATAATACCAACAAATTACAAACAATTTTTTTGTGAATATTTAATCAATGTTGATGGAAGAACATTTGGCCCAGTTAAATTTAGTCACAAAGACTTTTGGATTTCTGTCTGACAATCTGAAGTTGTTTAATAAGAAAAATATGATAAATATTGGAATTAAAATCTACATAGAAATATTCATTCATCCATAAACAATATACATGGTTGCCTTGGCCAGTAATATGTTTGGGATGGATTTATAATGAAACAATAAAAAGACAGAGTTTGCTAGAACTTGCCAAACACAGCAAATATTGCTGTCAATACTGAATATTAAAATAACACAGCACTAAAACACAAATTAATGTCTGTTTCAGATTTAACATGCTGTTAATGTGGGATGAAAAAGATGTGTTATCATTTACAAAGGGTAATGGTGATATCAGCCTTGTGCCAGTATGATGCCGATCTTATCAAAATACCATTAATTGCCTAATTAATTGGCCAACTGATTGGTCTAACCCTATTATGTTTGCACAAAAGCAGTGCTTGTTTACACTCTGTTTAGTCTTTAATTTAGCAGGAACATTATCTTCCAGTTTCCAAGTGTGATACATGACAAAAGCCAATGTGAGTTTATTCTTCTACACGTAGTTTAAGCTCACTGCGGAAACGGTGAATCTTTGCCTGAGGAATTCGTTGGTTTATGAGGACTTCCTCTGGGTTTATCAGATACGCAAAAGTTGGACATGCACTGATCCAGGAGTCACACCATATGAGCAACAACAACAACAAAAAAAGTCTGGACTTAAAACTATTGAATTAAGAAACCAAGATTCCAGTCTACAACTTTATCCATCAATAGATTTGATGAATCTATGGCTAAGACAAAAACACCCTCATCAATATACAAAATCAATTAGCCTCAATATGTTCAAACATGGCAGAATGCACTGCTAGATCTTGTTGATGGAAGCCACAAATGATAGTGAACTAAACCGCACTGTCTGAAGTGCTTCCTGCACTTTACTTTGGTCAGATTAGCCAAGCTATTAGCTGTCCAAATGGAATCAATGCTAACTACATAGTCAAGTTTGTCCGAGCCACAATTCTACCTGGCAAGGAAGCAAAACCAAAGTAAGACATCAGGTGATGAAGGGAGCAAAAGAAGTAACTAACACATATTAATCTGACGATTACTCTCAACTGAGTCATCAACTAGTCTGGAAAGATACAAACGGAAAAAAGCGACACAAAGATCTGTGAAATGAAACAGAAATGAATATAATGTTTGCCTTTCAAGGAAAATCTGAGTAACTTACTCTGATATTTTATGTGTTCTCCAACCTGACCTCGAGTGGGGTGTGGGAGCACTGTAGAGGGAAGGTGTTTTTGACAAACTCTGACCTGTATCAAGCAACTGATGTGCATAATGTCCCAGCCGCTGATAATGTGGAAAATTATCTCTCAGAGACTTTTTACTGTGTGCCATGTTCTTTAGAATCATCTGAGATCTTAAGTTGGTGTGAGTTACTGCACGGCGTTGTAAAAATGTTTTTTTTCTGCAATTTAAGCAAAATAAGTTTCTTGCATTAAGTATCTTTGAGTGAGCCAAAACAATGTCACCTATAATGCTTCTTTTTACACTGATCATCACATAATTTCACTGCAACGAATTAGCGTGTTAAGCTTATACAACTATTTGTTTATGCACTAAGCATACTAAACCAGAAAAGATTACATGGTTGAGTTTACTGCAGATTCAAGTTAGAGTTCTCAACCAGTCCCTCCCTGCCCTTGTTAAAAAATTGCATACTCTCAATGCTAATAATGTTCAGTCATTCTTTCATAATTTCTTATCAAGTAATTCCAACTGGTTAAAACCATTGACGTGAGGTGCCTTTTTGCGTAACAGTTACCGATATACCTTGCTTAAACTTCTTGTGAAACAATGACGTGAAACGCTGCAAGAGGCAGTCAGCAACTTAGGACAACCAAGAAGTCGAGGAAGTGATCAGAGCGGATAGACGTGTGAGATAATGTTGTCATGTTAACAACAAGAGCTCCAAAAATTTAATGTTATGAAGCTCCTTACTGTAAAATCCACACACTTTGTGAAACCATGAAGATTGGTGTTTTTTCAGTGACTGTCTGAAAACAACCCCTTTAAACCAAAGGTAATCTGTGATTTATGTGTAAATTTTAGTGAAATGGGGTCATTTCTGTTGTTAGCTGATTATAATAAATAGAAGCTTCTGGCTTTGTTTTGATACGTTAACCAGTCAGAGGCCGGATCTGCGAACAGCTGATCTTAGAGGGTCCAGTTAAAAGTCAGGCTTCCTCATCCAAGCAGAGCAGTGAAGGTAGTCAGAGTAGTTAACAAATCAAGTTTGTGAGATTTACACAGAAAACCTGTAGAAACTTTTTTTCCACAAAGAAAATACACAAAAATTGATAAAGATCAGCAAGCAGAATTAATAATGCCAATGGTATCAATAAATCCTGTCAATTCTCTTCACACATTTTTTGAAAGCAGGATGTGAACACAACTTGTGTATTTGACACATATTTATCTTTCTCACATTTTTTTTTCATTTTTTTGTAAATTAGAGAAATTATCAATAATCAGTCCTACTTGTCAGGGGACCTTGGATTGGGTCCAGATCCCACCGCTCAGACAGTGCGTAGGTGGGCGGATGGCCAATAAGCCCATGGGAGTGCGTGGGAGAGGCCTTAAAAAAGGTGTGGGAGGATGTAGCTGCAGGGTAAACCATCAACTCAGACCTCCATCATTTGATTTCATGAAATGATTACAACCTGAATGTACAGTATGAAGAACTAAGTGAAAATGAGCAGATAGCGGAAATAAGCTCCATGCAAACTTCATATAAAAAATAGCGGTGAAAACATGAAGGTTCCTGTGCTTTTTGACCTCTTTGAGTCAAGTCAAATCTCTCCTTTTGATACTCCAGAGGCAGACACGAAGAATACTTCTCTCAGTCAGAAAGGGTGATCTGGCTCTAACATTTGGTGTGATCTGCTACATCTTGAAGGGAAGGGAGTGGCAGTGACAGACATTAGGGCAATTGTTTTTCTACAGCTTGACTGATGTGGAAAGCTAGCACAAAAGGGTGGTGACGAACCACCACCCTGTTTCCTTTTTAATATCTCCTTTGATGGAAAAACAAAACAAAAAAAAACCTGTGAGACAAAATGGAGACAATCTGAGTTTCCAACTAATGCAGCTGGGTGTTGCAGAGAACAGGAGACCTGACCTCTTTTTCTGAATGAATGAAAATGACCTACGCTGTGGGCTTGCGTGAATCTAAATTGAGTCACCAAGGGTATACTGTGCAACAGTGCTCTGTTTGATTTCAAAACTGCTCCCTTGCTGATTCGGGGCAGGGCAGGGGATGGCTGTGTGGTTGTGCCCACTGGGCCTTGTGGAGAGAACATACAATGGCAGACGTCTCCGGCAGCAAGCCTGCTCCTGAATAAGTGGGGCAACACAAATGCACCTAAAGCAGGAAGCATAGACACACATATGTACCATTACAGAGTGTGGCTATCAGAGTGGATATCCTCTTTAACGCACTATAATATTGACTGCCTGGGGCTGCCTGTGCCACATTTAGGTACAGATTAATTCAAGGCAGAGAATATAAATCCATTTATATGCAAACTATATGTTGGTTTTCAACAGAATATACATAAATCCTGTCCGCTCATTAGAAAGCAGATAGACTAGGGCTGACTGATATGGAAAAAAGTTTATCATTATATATTTTTTCACATCAGTGGATATCCGTACCATGATATAAAATATGAAATTTAACAGTGCTTACTGGTAGCATTTCTTTTGCAATACAATAAGCTACTGCATCTGTGAGGTCTTTGTGTCTCTTCGATGTTTAGTCATAAGGCGTTGGGCTAGAGAAAGCGGACTGAATGTTTCGGCTGTTTCGGCTGCACAGGTGCCATGGGCTCCTTGCTCCGCTCGTGGTTTGTAACCTTTTCCATTGTGCGTGCTCTGCCACGTGGCACTGCTTCAGGTGGTGAAAAAGATTTGAGGTATTCCCCGATTTTGTGAGAACATGTACTCAACATAATTTGCAGTACACATTAATCTGCTCCATGTCCGACCTAAAAAAACAAAATACCTCCACATCACCAACGTTTTCATGCCAGTGTTGTCAATGATGTCGTCATCTGTTGAGCCTTCATCTGCATTTCTGTCGGGGGTAGCACTCATTTTCTTTTTTTCTCACTGACAGTGCTGTCGGCTTCATGTGTTAAAGTGCTATGGTTGTGTGTAGTCATAGCCTGCTACTACGCAGTTGTTTGCTACTTGGTTCTAATTCAGCACATGATTGGTTCAGCGTGAAGCGGACCCACAGCAACTCCCCTTTTCATTGGCTATTCGTATAGTCAACCAAACCATGGCAGAATGCTGCCAATCGAAAAGGATATTGACCATGTTTTACATTGAGGGAAGTTAATTTTCAATATCTATCATTATCGTTTTATTGCCCAGCCCTGAGTTAGACTTAAATATTTTAGTGGTCACTACATCTGCTCCTATTTCGCCACATAAACATGAACATGGTGTGGTATTATTTTCTTGAGTACAACATTATGTTTGGATGAATTCAAGTTAAAGGTATTCAACTGAGGGTCATGTGCATCTTAGTTTCAGTATCTGGATTCAACAGCTTGGTCAGAAATAAAAAGAACAGGTTGTGCTCTGACACGTTCATTCCTGTGTTTAGAAATCAAACAACCACTATGATTGAACTCTCGAGTCTAAGCACGCCTTCAAGCAGGCTTTGTTTTGTAAATGCTAGAAGTTAACTTGAGGAAATGTTAGCCGTGGTCAGTTTTAATCAAACCCCACAATTCTCTCTTGAAGTAGTCACAGTGGTCTCTGACTTCTTTGTCTCACCTCAGATCACTCTAGGTGTCCTCAGTACGGCTCAAAGCAGAATTTTCTTGCTCCACTTTTTAAAACATGTAATTGCGGACTACAGAGAGGGCATACAGACATTTGAGAAACTTGACACTTACTGGCCCCTGACACGACAGATTTAAGCCTTAGTGGATCAGACATAAGTACAGACACACAGTCAAAAGTGGCCTTGGTGTCTCGCAATCACAGCCAGTTCTATTTTAGCTATGAATAAGTCTGTGGATCAATATTCAAGGGCTTTTGTTGTGGTCAAATTATTACAACACTTGTGTGGTGTGAAGCCTCAGCTGCAGCCACCTCATTAAAGAGAGAACTGCAGGTTTTTCCAGCTTAATTACACAATCCTCAGGGCCTGATCTAAAAGAGATTTTGAGGTACATTTCATAATGCCACCTTTTCAAAAACACATCTGACAGTTTCCTCAAAACAAATTTATCAAACATCAAGGCCAGTGTACATACACAATGAACCACAGTACGGTAACTCTAACAAGGTGACCAGTACCCCCTCCACCTTCCCCTGCATTAGTGTGAGAGAAGCCCCTCTGCCTGCCTCCTTGGCCTCTAGCTGACCTCCCTGTGCCTGCAGACAGAACACTTAACATTACTCCCCCACCTATAGAGATGTCTGAAGAACAGGGTCCACTTCAAAGCCATGCAGTGATTAGACCATGATTACCATGGGCACTTGACTCATTTCATCTCCCCTGTGGGACCAAACTTGGGGGGAATCAGGCATGGAGACGTGGGGGATTAAATCCCTCTTTACAGGTGATTGGCAAATTTACAAATCATTTCTTTAGACTACTGTCAAAGAAAAAATACTGCTAGGTCCTCCCATACAAACTTCGAAATGATATATTAAAACAATGCAACCAGTGTTCTCTTTTTATCACAGAGACAGCTTGTGATCGCAACTTTGCAGCTTTGGTTTTTGAAGTAGATAGTGGGCAATAGGCACAGATGTTTTCAAAGAAATGTCATCCTGTATCAACCAAGAAGTAGTCTGATTAAGCGCTGCTGCAACAGTGACATTAAAGTCCAACTGGTTTCAACAACAACCATCATCTCTGCTCTGCTTTTCTGTAGCTAAATGCCAGTGACAGGAACAGAATTCACTGTGGTAACTGATCAGGTGCCAAGCGCCCTCTCCCCAGTGCCCTGCTGCACTGAAGCCCTCTGTGGAGCTGGCATGGCCTGGCTTGGCCTGGCAGCCATGGGCCTTGCTTTGTATCTCTGCCCCGTCCACTCAAGCTGTCTCCAAATCAGACTCGACTACTGTCAACCGCCTGTCTCCAAAGCCCAAGACAAGTGTTTGGCACGGGGTGATAGGTCGGCTGAATGTAACGTAAAGGTTAGATGGCAAACAACAAGTTGATTTTGTGTACATCTCCATCTTCAAGAGGACCCGGGGTTGTCCTCCAGACAACCGGGGGGAAACCATGGCAGAGATTTTCACTCCTGTACACCACTCCGATATAATCTGGAGGATGTAAGGTTTTATAATGTAGGTCTTTGTCAGGAGACATGGATTTCAAATGTTAACAGCGAAGAATTAATACAGGACAGGCTTGGTAGACATTGTGAACCAGGCCAACAGTAAATGATACATACAGAATATTGGCAGCAGATTATAACCTAGCAGTGATATCTGCAGTTTTTGGAAGGATTTTCATTTAAGAATAAACAGTTAGTTGAAGTGAATCAAAAATAGCCTGTAGCTGTTTTGTATTTCATCCCCATCAGGTTGAAAATACACTGTGATGATTAATATTCCATGTCTGTGAAAAGAAGCAGAGCCTTCAAGGCTTTGTAGCCTCAACAAGCTAATGGGCTATTTGTTTTAGGATAGGGTACCATCACTAAATATACTCTTGGTTTAAATCACATTAATACTATATATTCTACATCACAAAGGTCTGTGACTAAGCATACAGACTCAACACCACATCCATGTTTACAGCAGTGTAGTCTGAGACTCCGGCTAACGTCTCACCCCACACCGTCGATGAGATTTGTGGCCTCGATTCATTTGCCTTCGACCTGAAATAAAAACAGGGATTCACACGGAACCTGAAGTTGAATGCATCGAGGCACGTACTCGCATAGAGCCAGGTGCACCTGTCTGCAGTGGTAGCCTATTGTGCTCACTATCAAATCAGCCATGAATCGGCCTGTCTGTCGCGCCGCATGTGGAGAAAGATAAAAACATGCCAGTCGTCTCTTACCGTTCCGTTTTCAGTCATTACTCCCCCATCCTAAATGTTTTCAGTCTAGACCTCTGACGAACCGTTAATTCCTATCAGGCTGTCTCACTCTCCTCTCCTCTCTCTCTCTCGCTCATCCCCATGTCATATTTCTCCGCTGCAGCAGAACAAAGCCACGCCTCCTCCGACAGCCGCTGCCGCGTGACGTCAGCCGGCGAGGAACTTTGGCCCGCGCCCTCCTGGTACCCATGGTTACACGTCCAGCCTGGAGCCGCGAGAGGCCGCTGTTCCGTAAGAAAAACAACAACTCCAGGTTAATTCAACAACGAATGATACTTTACACCGAGGTACTGAAGGCTTAATGGCATTCAGAAACTTAAGAAAATATAAATACAGGGACAACAATATTAAAGTATTACCGAGTTTAATGCTGTGGAGAATACTACAACCTAAGCTGTTAACTAAAAGCTTAGGTTGCTCACAGCAATTCAATATTTTTATTGTTACTCCGACATACAGAAGTCTTTTAAATGATATTTAAATTAATTTAGGGTCAAACACACCGTAACATCGAGTAAGACTCCCTCTCGAGAGATGAATGTTGTCGACCGCTTGCTTCTCTAGTTATACCAACTTTAGCAACGACCGCAGATAGCAATACACAGCAGTCTGAGGAGCCATAAACAAACCTCAACCAAAAAAAGCCACTCTATAGCCACAAAAATGCTCAGAACAGCACCTAACTTTATCAACAGAACATATAGGGTCCCAGCCACAGCACTAGCCACCAAACATCTTTTTAACTTTGCCCAATTTCTTTAGCAAAGAGACTTAACATAACTCACCTACTCTCCTCGCGAGACCTCGGGCCAGACCATTACGGACTGCTGCGGGGTGACGTAGTTCAAGGAAGAACATTTATGATCATTTCTTTGTCATTTCCTTGAAGTAATAATCATCATTTTAAAAATTTTGCTCTGCAGCTGCAGACGTTGTAGTTCATCTGCCTCAGAGTCTCGGTCTGATTGCATTTCCATGAAGAAATTATCATAAATGTTCTTCATTGGGCTGCGTCACCCCACTGCAGTCTGTAATGGACTGGCCCGAGGTATCGCTACAAACAAGCGGCTGCTGGAAGAGTGAGGGTGAGTTTTGCTTAGCCCCTTTGCTCAAGAAATTAGGCAAAGTTAAAAGGATGTTTGGTGGCTATAGTGGTTTGGCTAGCACCCTAAATGTAGGGGAGACCAGGGCTTATTGTCACACTTTTTACACTCTAATATATTTCTTGGAACCAATACATCATATATAGACAAAATGTGCACCAGATGAAAGCTCAAAGTCTCAGGTATATATTTCGTATTCATGTCATTTTCGTATCTTGTGTCAGTGCAGACTTATAAGCAATTAAATAGAGAGTGTGAACATGTGACATGTTGCCCCACCATTGGGTAAGCTGTCTCACTACATGGGCTAAGATGTCACAGTGGATTTTGCAGCTAAAAAACAAGGAAAAAATGATTGTTCTCATTTTTTTTATGTGAAAGTGAACATCGTAGTCAGACACAGAAAATGTTTATCATTGAGCTAGTCATTGAACGTAGCCATTAAATAAACATTAACATAAAATATTATGCATCACTGGAGTTTGGATGTTGTCTAACTCTGTATTTCCGCTGGGGTGAATGTTTTGCAGTACCAAGCCAAGGTATGGTAGTTGACATTGAAGTTCTTTTTTGTACTCCAGATTGATTTATTATCAAGGGTCACCTGTCTGACTGCCCTTAGCATCACGTCAGGCACTGCACTGCCACATTCTGTCATTCTTTTGTAATTCCTGACCATGTCTTTTTGCTTTCTCCTCTCCTTTAAACCACTTTTTTTTCCCTGTAAAAATAAAGTCAAAATTTCATTATGACAACTGCTGATAAGCAGACTCTCTATGTTAATTTTAATCCCGTTAAACATGTAACAACTAACCCCAAAATGACTGAGACATGTTCCCCCAAACTACCATGTTTGCTAATTCTAGCTCTAGCTTAAAGTTAGCTTAAAACAGAACGATGAGAGGTATGACCATAGACTGTAGAATGGACAGCATCTGCCTCCTAACTGGGTGAAGCCACTCCGAGAACAGCACCCTCTGGTGACGGGCTGCAGTATGGGTCATAAATCCCGCCTCCACCAGCAAAGCTTATGGGGATGTGGACAAACTTTAGAAATTTATTACACAGAATATAATTTTTTCCTCCCCCTGCTTAGGATGTTCACATGTAGTTATTGCAAGACTGGTTTGTGCTCAAGTCCTCTTTTTTCTGTACAGCTTCATTTTTAAAAGTTATTAGGGGGTTCATGTTTTCTATGATGGACACTTAATACAGCCTATGGGTGTACGAAGATTGCGTAGCTCAACCGGGAGGTTACCCTGTTTGAGCCGAGCATCAACACAGCAACTCTCGGCAACTGTCCCGCCAAAGTGGTGAAGTGCGTACAACGCTACTGTGCAATGTTGGTTTCAGGAAGTGGAGGAAAAAACACAGAATTACTGAGCGCTTTTTGGCTTCAAATCCATACACTGGCAGAAGGCGGAACCAAGTTGTCCATAGTATATACAGTCTATGGGTATGATAGGATGCCTTAATCTCCCCTCTAACAAGTCCAAATGTATCACTTCTGGGATTTTTATCTGGGAGAACCTTTTTTTTAAATATATCGTTTTTTTTTAATATATTTTGTGTCATGGTTAACAATGTGCTCTTATCTTCTCAGACAGGACACGACCCCTGACCACGTAAAAGAATAAAACTAGTATTCCACTTTTTAGTTGCGCCCTCTGGTGGCAAAGATAATGCAATTTGACAACTTACCCATGTGACAACAAGCCCTGGTCTCCCCTAGGCACTACAACGTTAGTCTTGCGTTAACCAAGTATCTTAATTATTGGAATAATTACAAATGAATTCATACAAAATCTATCTATCTATCTATCTATCTATCTATCTATCTATCTATCTATCTATCTATCTATCTATCTATCTATCTATCTATCCTTAGTAAACAAGGACTGTTCCCTCTTTTCTTCTTTAGTCTTTTTTTTCCCTTTCTGTTAATGCTAACCGCAGTCTGGCCTCATTGTCCACTGTGTCTCACTTCAGTGAACTGGTCCAGCAAGTTATTTCTGGGCTGGTGACACAGAGCTCCATATCGATCTGCCAGCGTAGCCTCTACCTGCTGCACACGCACGGACACTGCGTCCGTGCAGACAGTCTTCCTGTCTGTTGTTTGCCGTGTCCTCTTCACTTCCAGTGAAAGTCTTCGGGCACAGCCATGAGGTACTTCGCCGCGCTTCTAATCTTTGTCCACGGGGTCGGATTTATTATATGTAAACCTTCGTCTCCCTGTCCGAGTGGACAGTTTCTGCTGAAGAGCCAGTGTGTCCTCTGTCATCCCACCTGCTCAGAGTGCTACGGGCACGAGCTGTTTGAATGCACTACCTGTGGAGTTGGTGAGTAAAGCTATTTCTGTCGGTGTTTTTCAGATTTTGTGCGGATCGAGAAATGATTTTTGAGAAGGTGATGCGAATGTAAGGACTGCCAGTCTTTCTTTTATTTGTATTTCCAAATGCTCATGACTAATCTAAAGAGGGGTTTAACAAGTAGACAATTTTCTGTGCTGACCACTTTTTGCCAGCTCAAAAAATTAACCAATCAGCTAAAACGAGGAATCATCTAAAATAGGATGATATTTTATTAAGTTCTTGCCACAATATGACAAATTACAGTTTGCTAGAATAATTCGTCTGATATGTTTAAACAATGGGAATCATATTAAGCTTTCTTCCAATGGCTGATTGAAACAAAGACTTGTTACAGATTAGTAAATCTGGCTGAAAAGTATGTGTGCAGGTGGGTTGGGGGAGCTTTTCTTTGTTTAAAACACAGCTCTATTTAATGGTTACCAAAGCTATGTGATTTTAAGGCTGTTGGATTAGAGGAGGGGCTCTGGTTGACCATTTACTCTTGTTAAACTGTCAGACACTTGCCACACAATGTTGGGTTTTTTGTCCTGAGAGCACCTGTGAAATCAGTAAGAAATGAAGGTGTGATCATTTTTCCTCTGAGTTTTCACAGAGTAATCTGATCACGTCAGAAAGGGGCCTTTGTTAATCAGAGGGAAAGAAAAAACATCCCCTCAGGCTGCAACTATTACTGTTTCACTTCACTAAGCTTAACCTGCAAAACCCGCAGATCTTTCTTCCTCTTTCCTCATATACAGTGTTTCTTTTACTAATTTGTCTTTTTCCTATATGTTTAAATAAAGAGCGTCGAGAATAAATTGCTGCAAAGATTTATTTTTAATGTTCACATAAGTTGTATAGACTGCTTGATCTCTGTTTGTATCTTTGTGATGCTCTTTGAGTAAGGACATCAAACCTCCTGCTCTGTGGTTTGCTGTCATGTTGAAGCCACATTTCCCCGTGTATACTAAGGTTAAAGCAGGTGTAGGGGTTGGAAAGACAGCAGCAGCAGCAGCTTGGTGCCGCTTTCTTCCAGATCTCCTGCATCTTGTGTGGAAGTCTGAGGAGACGAGACAATGCTGTGACTCTGCTGCTTCCAGAGATGCCTCAGGTGCCGTGGCTTGGCTAGTGGCAGGTGGCAGAGTATTAATCATTAGGGCTTACACAAGACTGTGTCCCTGCCCACAGCTCTGATCTCTCCTCTGCCTCTGATTGCCCTTGTTTACATATGTTGGTGCATCATCAGTCATAAAGTAATCTCAGACTGCCTCACACACTTGGCTAAGTATTTTGATGTCCTTAACATTTCTACCACCTCTTCTTTTTTCTTCTCCAATAATGCATTTGTAATGGCATTGATGCGTCCTCGGGCTCCAGTGGAACCACTTAAAATACCGTTATATCTGTATCCTGGAAACCAGTCATTTCCAGCTTGTGTTGTTGATGTTGTTTTTCACTGAAGGTGATGAACTTTCACCCAGTTGGCAAAGAGCACCTCAATAGTTCCTTCGTCTTATATTACTGCCTGCCCAATTGGCTCCACTGTTGTATTTAATGTGAGAAATGGGATGATTTTTATGTCTACATTTTTATTCAAAAACAAGTAGTTCCTGGCCGTAGTTCTATACGGTTAATGGCATCTTCAGGGAGAAAACAGAGTTGACTCTATATTAATCAGTCCCTATTTCCTCCACCCTTTCTTAGATGAAGATGGCCAGGAACGTTTCCTTCATCAAGGTCGTTGTCGGACACATTGCCCCCGGGGACTCTACCCTGACAGAGGTCACTACATCTGCCTGCCATGCATAGCCAATTGTGAACTATGCACGGACGGGAACATATGCGCTAAATGTTGGGAGCAGTACAAGCTTCAGAATGGAGTCTGCCAAACAGTGTCCTGCAACACAGGTAACTGTGGAGCAGAGATTTTTGAGTTTGTTGTACCTAAAGACATTCAGTTTTGAAATGCTGTGTTTCTTTGTTTCAGGGCAGGTGCAGGACCCTGATACAGGAGAGTGCATTGACTGTGAGATGGGCTGCAAAACATGCTCTGTAGGTAGGTGATGAACGATTACACTATCAGGTTAACAGCATCATACTGTTGCCTCCCTAATGGAAGGTAGATCTCCATAAAAACACTAGGGATAATGAGGTGCAATGTATCATGTTATAAATTTAGCCATTTCTGCATTCACTTGCTTCTCAGCATGAATCCTAATTAATCACCTTCTCTTATTTGTACACAGAAGACCCAGAAATCTGCAACAGCTGTGTTGACGGTTACTTTCTGTGAGTGTTATTTGCCTCTCTTTTTAATCCTAAATCCAGCGTTCAGGTTTCTAATATGCTGTTGTGAGTGAAATACATTGAGAGGTGTTGCCTCCTATAGGACTTTTAAAACCAAGACTGCAGCTAATCTAAACATACTTACTGTCATTGAAGAAAACCAGAGATTAGTCATGTTTAAAGAAATCAAAATCAGAGCAAATCAAATTTCTTTAAACGGACAATATGTAATCATGGTGTTGAGATTTGTTTTGCTGCCTTTGGTGTAGTTTATACTTCCATACACTGGCTTGCTCAAATGTATGAATTATTCCTCACTACTCAAGAAAACTTCATTTCACCTTTATTTCTGTTTACACCAGTGGATCACTCAGAGACGGAGTGTAATACAGGATTACGAGCTAGAACAGACCTCCGATTGTGCACTTTTCCCCAAGTTTAGGCCTCTGGGCATTGTGTGAGTCGAGTTACCTTCCAACCTGAGTGGTTCACTGTTACCTGAGCCTTGGTGTGAGCACAAGAGGGTGGACCGCTTCACAGAGAACCTTCACGGGGTCTGTTTTTATATTATGTAGGGAAAGGAGAGAACAATTGAGATAAAGAGAGCAAACAGAAGTGGAAAGCACAGCCAGTACGTGTGATTATATAGTGTGCACCATCTTGACTTCACTGACAGCTCATGTGAATCACAGAAAAGCTGGTTGGAAGAAAATCCACCACTTCACTCAACTCTGCTCACCTCTGATGTATAGATGAGGGAAGATACACTGTCTTCATGTGGATCCACTTGTATCACATTTAGTCTGAAATAATGGTTTGAGATACGGGAATGACAGGCTGTCTTAGTTATTTCTGTGGCTGCAGCGGGCGAAAAACAAATAAAAGAAACTCGATAGAGCACGGGGCATTCATGAACTAAAAGGAAAACCTCACTGTGATAGATTTGGACAGTTTTCAGCGCTGTAAGAAAGTCTTCCACCGAGGTTTGGTTGTAATGAAAATGTTTGAGTTTGACCGTTTGGGTAACCGAGGCCATTTTTCTCACATTAAATTCTTTTTTATTGAAAAGAGCCACAGCATGACGGATGCTTGGTATTTTTTGACATTTACCTCCTCTCAAAGGACAATATGGAGCCTATAGTAACTAAAAGTTTGCTGTGATTCATTCTCAGCAGATTTCAGACCATACCCTTTACCAAAGCTTTCTGAACTTATCACTAATTTGAGCAGGAAGAAAACCTAAACAATAGTTGCTTTGGAAATCCTGTTGTGCTTTCGGGAATGGTCAGTCTAATATTTGTACAGGGGGGTTCTTAAACATCCCGCAAATTCTTGAGCAGTGCACTGTTTCCAGGCCAGGGGCGGAGTCTGGTCTGCATCAGCTGCGCTTAAATGTGTGTGAGCTGATGGATGCAGTGTGGTGCCCCCAGCTGTTCCTTCTTTAACAAGCTCTGAATCTTTGCAACAAATCCACAGCAACGCAGTAGGAAGTGCAATTTGGGCTGTAGGTGGTCAGATTTTCTCACAATGTTTACGCTTGTGATCCATCGCTGTTGAGTTATTGTCATTTAGAAAAGCAGGTCTGTAAAGAAGAATTTACTCGTGCTTTCTTGAGTCATATTCTCAGCTCTATATCTCAACTCCTTTGGCTAATTTTGAGGACATCCATCTCATGTTTAATAACTCAGTTAGGCCCCAAAGGACTGATAGGACAGGTTAATGACTGAAATCTTCCTGTGCCTCTGGGCTACAAATAAAACACCAATTAACTTCCTGCCTTAAGTAGAGAGAAGAATCATGATAAGCTTGAAGACAAGCAGCCCACATTATATTTTGGTCCCTGTTTGCCTTCCTTCCTGGTGTTTGATTGAGCACACCTTTAGGCCAAGGACAGTGTTCAAGTCAACAATACAGCTGCAGGTGTGCTGTCGACTGATGCAGTGCGTGTCGGAATGGTCTCTTGGATGTGGTGTGTTTTTCTCTTTTCTCTGCCTTTAGTTTGTCACACTCATCCATTTCAGCAAAGGGCTGCCTGCTAGCAGCATCATTCTTCACTATCCGTAAAGCTTTGAAAATGCAGTCAAATCAAAAAAGTCCTCATCAGGTCTTTGATATTTTGAACGCTTTGTCTGCATGTTTGCGTTAGAAAACATAGCCTCTCTTTGTTTCCCGGTTTCAGTCAATCTTTTATGAATGATTTCACACAAAGACGACGGCTATTCGCTGAGAACTGTGAATATGCAGCAATGAGCAATGAATGATTTAGCAGAATATGATATAACTTTGGAATAAACCTCATTTTTTTCTCTAGTTTCAGACACCAGTGTCGCAGGCATTGCCCACAGAGCACTTATGAGGACCGGGGCCGGGGTTTGTGTCTGTCCTGCCCAACACCTTGCACAGACTGCAAGAGTAACACGCGATGCCTCTCCTGCCAACCTGGTTACTACCTCAATGGTACCGCTCATAAAGAGGGATTATTTCTACTCTAATTTTGCTTACTGTTTTGAATACTGAGAGATTCAGATAACATCCCTTGTCCCACACTACACCACAACACTTAGTATTTAATATGCCTTTAAATCGCTGTGCGTTAGAGTGATCAGTCATTGTTGTCAAAGACTAATGATAGCGCCGTGACTCTTCATTTGGATTGCAAATCATGTCCCTGTCAGCAAATCTGTAACATGAGATATGCAAATGCAGTTTGTGCAAACCAGAAATAATGGTTGTGTTGTTTTGTTCTCTACAGGTATCTCAGTTAGAGCTTTAAGATTTAAAATAAAGCCTGTAGCTGTTGCAACAAGGGTTAGAGATGTGAATACTAATATTATACCAATAACATCAAGGCTTAACTATACTTTTTTCCTTACTTCATTCAACAACCATCTTATGAACGGCAGCATCCAGTTGAGCAAAATAGAGCTATCTTCTCTTTATCTAATTCACCATAAGGAAAAGTACAATAAATGATTATTCAGGCAGTGGAATTTCAAATATTGTCCTACTCTCTTAGATATGCCATGGTTACCTCGCTACACCAAAGCCTGTATTATTTGTTGCTAATACACTGGTGAGCCAGTTATAGGTCGCAATAAACAAGTTTCAGGCAGTGATATCAAACTCCAAAAGAGACTATAAAAAAACATGCCCAGGTGAATATTTAATAGGCATTCAGTCTCACATTGTGTTGAACAAAATTTATTATGGACAATCCGTTTGTTCCCTCTCCTTTAATCATATGATCCCTCTTCAAAAGATATACTGTAGGTCATTGTGTGAAATCTGAGTCCTTTGATAAGGCAAGATCCTGGAGCAGAGGAAAGGGATTTTTTAAAAATCCTACTACTACTGAACGCTGGGGTTTGCAAGTTTGCTTTCATACTATTATTTATGATTCAGCAGTAGATAGTTATCAAGTTTTGCCCACAGAAGATATCACTAATCAAGCACAGATTCAAATAAAGATTGAGATGTAAACAGATGGTATCTACTTCGTTGTCTCTGCTCGGTTATTCAAGAAAATAAAGTTGTGCTGGACGGTCTAATCACCTCCTCTCTGTGCTGCTTATCCCCGTCAGGTGTTGAGTGTATCAAACAATGTCCACAGCAAACCTTCAGTGACTCCAGCAGGTGGCGCTGCCAGACCTGCCACAGCTCATGCCAGACGTGCCATGGGCCTCGATCAACAGACTGTGACCTTTGTCGTGGTGGGAACTCTCCCCTACATGGACAGTGTCCTCTGATTAACTGTCCATTGGGACAGTATTATGATGGTAAGCTGAACTACCTAATTTTTGGTGATCTTGGTCATCGTTTTAAAACTCAATTTTTAGAGAAAAGTAACTTTAGTCGTTGATTTTTCCTATTGGATTCATTTCTGTAAAGCAAAGTGGGTTGTGTTGAGAGTCAGGTGAGTCGGATGTATTTCTGAATAATATGGTTTCTTATTGTTTGGTCCTCTGATTGTAAGTAATTGCTTCCTCCAAAGAGAGGTCAGATCAAGGATCAGCACATTGTTCCCGCTATTTAGAAGAATCCAGCGTCTTGCTCAAGGACACTCCAACATGGTGGATGGCTGCTGCTGAGACAAGGACTTGATCCCTGCTGAAGGACCGCTAAGTTGAAGGGCAGTCTCCTACATACTGTGTCACCCCGCTGCATGTACTGCATCACCTTTCACTTGAGAGTCATCCTAGAGGAGCGATTTGAAAGGGCTCCTCTGCCTCGAGCGCAGGGCTCTTCACCTGCTCTCCCTTTAGTGTCTGAGTCAACAACTTTCTCTGTTGTTGTCAAGCATACAGCGTGATCAGGCCGATCATTTCAATTCTGATTATTTAGATTTTTCTGTGGCTTAGTATGCCTGATGTTCGCCGTCGGGATTTCTTGTCATTTATCCAAGTCTTTTTATGAACCGCCGACTGATGTAACAAAAAAGAAACATTTGAAATCTCTCTTTAACCTCAAAATGTTGTTTTGCACCGCAGGAATTATCAAATTTATAATTTAACTGTATTGTGCATGATGGTACGCAGTTATAGCCATGTACAGGAATGTCTGAACAAATATTGTTTATATAACTTGGTTATACAACTCTGTGATGATAACTCAACCACTATATGTCATTTTGCTTATCATTTGTTCATCCACTTCCCGGTTATTTTAATAGCAGTGCAAGTGATACTTAACACGTCAAACATACAGGAACTAGCAGGTTCTGTGTAGGGGGTTTTGTGCCCATCACAGCACTAACAAACTGGCCTACTTTGCATTTCCCATCAGGAGGTGGTCATAAACAGAGCAGTTTTACCTTATTACTGTTCCCTCCAGTGGTAAACACCAGTAAAATAAGCAAATCAATGATTACGAACTCATCTTGTATCCAGGTTTTATCAGGTTTCCATACCTTCGTCTGGGTTTAGTCAAATGTGACGTCTTGTAAACTAGAGAAAACAAAGCTTCTGCCTGATCAAACTTTTTATTTATTATTTTACTGTCAGCACAATACAGCGAGTGTCACACTTGTGATGCGTCCTGCCGAACCTGCTTTGGCCCACAAGCACTGGACTGTTCCTCTTGTTTCAAAGGTATAAATATTCTCTTTATTATTTGCCATGGCAGCTACAAGAAACGTTGCCCCAGTTATCATTGTATTGTTTGTGTTTGTGCGCGTCACAGGATATTTCCTGGACCAGGACAGTTCCTGTGTAGCACAGTGTCCCTCGAGCTCCTACGCCAACTCTGCCACTCAGATGTGTGAAGACTGCTCTCCAAACTGTGAGGCCTGCGTGGACACGAGTGATAACTGCATCAGCTGCTCCAAAGGAAGCTATAAGCTTTTTCTTCACCAGGGTCGGTGCTGGTCTGAGTGTCCAGAGTAAGCACCAGGATGAAATAAGAGTTAGTCTAAAGAAAAGGCTTTTTCAAATGTAGAGTGGTAAGGTGTCATTAAATGTCCCTCTTATTGTCTCCTCACACTATTTTCAGAGGTTTCTTTGAAACAGCAGAGGGCTCCTGTGAAGCCTGTGATGCCTCCTGTCTGACATGTGATGGTATCAAGTCCCAGTGTCTGTCCTGTCCTGATGGCCACTACTTAGAAAGCGGCACATGCAGACTCAACTGTTCACTTCAGGCATATCCTGCAGATGATGGCACCTGCAGACGCTGCCCCCCTCACTGTGACGTCTGCTCAGACGACAGGACCTGTTTCAGTGAGTTATAATCTGCGTGGGCAGCTAAATTTAAGAAGAACATAACAAGAGACTTTGATTCATATCTTGAAAAATTGTTGCTGCTACTTTACCAACCCTCTTTCATTTCAGAATGCACTTTCCTTTACTTGATGCTCAACGGTGTGTGTAAAGCCAGTTGTCCTCTGGGCTACTATGAGGACATGGAGGAGGGCCGCTGTGGTCAGTGCCACCCTACCTGTAGCAGCTGCTCTGGGCCCCTGGCAGACGACTGTGAAACCTGCTCAACATTTAGCCCCAAACTCTACAAAGGATCTTGCTCTAAAGACTGCCCCATTGGTACTTACTATGATACTGAAGCTCTGGAATGTCAAGGTGAGCATCTCGATACAGAGATTTGGCCCCTTCAAACCTTCTGTTGAATTGTCAAACATGGGTGAGTGAGGGTGGGTGTTTGTCTTTGTGTGTGGGTGTCTGGGTGGGAGATTTGGCTTTTATTGTTGTTAATTGATATTTTTAACCTCTGTGAGGCACTTTGAACTGCTTTTTTGTCTGTAAGTGCCTGAAAAAAAATTTGAATTTGAATTTAAATGTCATGTAGCAGCTTTTTCTAGTAGTTTCTGGCAAAGAAGGGTTTCCAATCTCCATATCAAAATATACATATGTAAAAAAAGTATTTCTAAAAACCACAACAACATTGCCAGGATGTCGAACCCTACTTCTCAAATGACACATTCTGATTTGTGTGGCTGTTTTCAGAGTGCCACCAGACGTGTAATAGCTGCTCCGGCCCCGAAGCAAACCAGTGCACTCAGTGTGAAAAGGGACTAGTGCTGGATCCAAACACTTTGTTGTGTGGCGTGACAGGCGACACAGACTGCCCGACGAGTACCTACCTTCACGAGGACCAGTTCACCTGTATGAGTTGTCACCGGCACTGCTACTCTTGTGAAGGGCCAGGCAACGACGAATGCCTGACCTGTACCATCCCCAGATACCTTCTTAGTAAGCATTTTAAATTCTCTCTTCAACTGCATAATGATCATGGGGCTCAGAGTTATTAATATATACTGCTTATCCAGTTGGGAGGGGGGTATTATTTACGGTCCACCCTGGATAGGTCTCCAGGCTGGGCTAGCAGGCCAGTTTCAGGGTCCATAATGTAAAAATATAAAAATCACAATTAATTTATTATTCCACCAGATAACAAAACAAAATAATATTTCTCAAAACCTCAGGCTCTTAAGGGATTTGAACCAGTCTGATATTTCATCTTCATTATTATTAATGGATGTTTGTCTGCAACTCTGTGCAGCCAGAATCTCTAAGTACAGTACAGCTTATAAATCAGATACATAATAACTGCTTTTGTCAATCAATAAATCAATGTTTATTTGTATAGCACTAACTAATAGAAATTTTCGAGAGACTTCACAGGTGCAGGAAGATGTAACTTTTTAGAGTAAGCAGTAATCCACCATGACCAAACACTTGGTACATTTAACACAGAACAGGGGCAACAAAAACATCCCTTTAAAGAGGAACAAACCTCGAGTTTAACCGGACGAGCTTCTGCTGCTGCAAAAACAGCTCATACAGACTAAGTAACAGTGCCAATAATAATAATAACAATATAAATAATAATAATAATAATAATAATAATAATAATAATAATAATAATAATAATAATAATAATGATGATGATGATGATGATGATACTACTACTACTACTGCTATTACTATTATTATTATTATTATTATTAATAATAATAATAATAATCATCATCATAATAATAATAATAATAATAATAATAATAATAATAATAATAATAAAAGATTGTATGTGTATTTGCAGGATCAGCAAAGTAATAATCCTAAAATTTATGATAGTTTTAAGTCCATGATGCCCACAATATTGTTAGTTTTGATGATGATAATTTTAAGACAGATAATATCATTTGTAAAAGTCAAGCAGGTTTATAAATAAAGTTAGCTGGACATTGATGATAATAGTTAGAATGGCGTAGATAGTAGTAGTCTTAACAGTTGATGTCAAGCAGGCAGGAATGTTGATCCACAGGAACCCATGAGACAACAAATCTCAAAAGCTCCCATAAAATAATTTAAAAAGCAGCTTGATTATAGTCCTGAAAAATTCATGTAGATCCACACATTAAAGATGCCACATCTAAGTAGTCTGTCAATACATCTGAAATGAACACAGGGAAAAATGCATTTGACAAAATTGTAAAACGCAATATTTTATCCTTCAGGTATAGAAAGAAATATTTTAGGATGTTGAAGTTTGTGCACTGAGAGGAGATTACATTTTAATCTGTGATGCAAGAAACACAGTTAGGATCCACTCCCATCTCTGTGAGCTTGTCTTTGAGTATGGTGGGTTAGATGGGGCTGAGTGCACTTGAAAAATCAAAGAACATCATATGATCCTCATATAAATCCAGGTTATACCGGGTAACTGTTTCTCTACAGAAGTTGATTAAGACAGTAAATCCGTCAACAGGTGTGACAATGTTCATACTGTTCTCATCTGTTTCCAGCAGCACATTCCAGTCGGTTTATTCAAAGCAGTCCTTGAGAGCTTCACTAGCTTGAAGAGTCCATCTTCTGATTTTGACTTAAGTTACAGGCTGCCTCAGCATACAAGGTCTGTAACAGGTCTGCAGATAGACAAAGTTATGATCTGACCTGTCCAGTGGTGGTAAGGCAGTGGCTCTGTAAGCTTACTTGACGTTTCCATAAATCAGATCCTCATATAAATCCAGGTTATACCGGGTAACTGTTTCTCTACAGAAGTTGATTAAGACAGTAAATCCGTCAACAGGTGTGACAATGTTCATACTGTTCTCATCTGTTTCCAGCAGCACATTCCAGTCGGTTTATTCAAAGCAGTCCTTGAGAGCTTCACTAGCTTGAAGAGTCCATCTTCTGATTTTGACTTAAGTTACAGGCTGCCTCAGCATACAAGGTCTGTAACAGGTCTGCAGATAGACAAAGTTATGATCTGACCTGTCCAGTGGTGGTAAGGCAGTGGCTCTGTAAGCTTACTTGACGTTTCCATAAATCAGATCCAGGGTTTTGTTCTCTCTGGTAGGACAGTTCACAAACTGTGTAAAACCAGTCAGGTGAGAGGAGCGGGTGACTTGTTTAAAGTCTTCCAGTGTTATTATTGAGTGTTGAGTCTGTATCGTAGTAACAGTATTATGCAAAAGATTTTATGGAACTTCTTCATTTAAATTTAGGTGGGATGTAAATAAGTATTGTTATGATATGACTGAATTCTGCTGGAACGTAATATGAGCGAAGGGCAACTACCAACAATTCAGTATCTGGACAACACAACTTCTCCTTGACAGTTATGTGTGAAGAGTTACACCATCTCTGGTTGACAAATAAAGGCAGACCCCCTCCTTTCTTCTTGCCACTAGCTTTAGCATTTCTGTTTGTCCTTATGAGAGTGAAGCCAGGTAGATCCACACTGGAGTCCGAGTTTCTCCAAGACTTTCTCAGTCTTCACCAATACCTCCAGCTCATCGCTTTTGTTGGGCAGAGAGTTGACATTTCCCGTGATGACCAATAGAAGAAAGAGTTTATACCTCCACCTCCTAGCATTCAACCTTGCTTTCACCTTTACACCAGCATGGCAACCACAATAAGGCCTCCTAAAGTCCTCTGGGATTGGATGTTGTGTGCCACTCAGTTTTGGCCACCAAGAATTCTGTATCTGCTCCTAAAAGTAAGTGATTCAAGAAATTATTCATATGACGTAACTAAAACATTATGTCTGTGTGCTATTTTTCAGATAGCACCTGTGTGAGTGAGTGTCCAGCAGGTACATTCAACACAAGGCAGGAGGCTGACGGTACAGAGCTGGGGTTCTGTTCTCCTTGTGATCGCGCTTGCTCCACCTGCTCCGGAGCATCATCTAGAGACTGTCTCACCTGTTCCCCGGGATATCTGCGTCTCCTTCAGCTCTGTGTCACCCATTGTCCTACAGGGTAAACAAAGCCTTTGAGATTTTTACTTTGTGTTGAAGCTCGACGTGTTTTGATTGACTGTTTGCTTTTCTCTACACCCCTACACATTGATAGATTAAATAAATAAATGGACAGTGTCGTTTGAGCACAGGATGTAGTGGCTTTCAGTTCTTTGAAGAAGAGCGCATGAATAAGAAGAAGCTAAGCCAAGAAGAACCTCACAAATTAGAGTCATCCAGTGAGTGTACCTGCGAGTACTCGGACTTGGCATAAAGTTTGCAAGGATGTAGGCGATTACAACCAGTAATAAATCTCAGCGCACAGTAATAAACAGTAGTTAAGGACTGTAGGCATTTGGCTGAAGCAGTCATCTGTAAAACATCACCATAATCCAACAATGGATTGCAAGATACTAAGTATTTTCGAGCACTGAGGGAGAAGCAGGATTTATTCCTGTAGTAGAAACCTATTTTTAGTCTAAGTTTAGTGACCAAACTAGCAATATGTGCTTTGAAAGAAAGCTCACGATCGACAAGAAAACCCATTTATTTATAGACAGACACAAGCTCAATGGGTACACCCTGTGAAGTCACGACAAAGGGATTGTTCCCAGGTAACTCACTCTTGCTCGAAAAATACCATGACTTTTGTTTTATTTGCGCTCAAGACCAACTTCAGTTTCTGCAGTCGAGATTGAACAACATCAAAAGCAGACTGTAAAAACTCACAGACCCGGATAACTGATGTTGAACAACAATAAATGACAGTGTCATCTGCATAAAAATTAAAAGAGGCATTTGACAAGTTATTACACAAGTTGTTAATATAGATAGAGAATGCAATAGGTCCCAAGATTGAATTTTGAGGTACACCTTTAGAAACCTCCAGAAAGGTAGAAGTATACCCAGCCATCTGGATACATTGAGACCTACTGTCCAGGTAGCCTGCAAACCACGATGCTGCTTGGTTTGATAGGCTAATTTGCCAAAGTACACTTAAAGCAGACTGTGGTCTACAGTGTCAAATGCCCTTGACAGATCTATAAAAAGAGCCACACAGTATTTTTTTAACGTCCAGGGCCTGGATAAAATCATTAAAAACTTTAAGAGCAGCTGTGACAGTGCTATGCTGCTTTAAACAAAACAAGCCTGAGTCTTGGATGGGCCCAACAGTTTCCATAGTTGTGTATTTTTACTGTACAAAACAATTAGCATTAATTTTAATTCACGACTATTGATTCATTACATGTTATTATTACTTGTCGTGAACTTTGATCATTTCTCCAGGTATTACAGAGAGGACTCCCACTGTGAGAGATGTGATCTCTCCTGTGAGCTTTGCACTGGACCCGGACCAGAGTCCTGCAAAGCCTGCCTTCCCCCTCTTCTGGAGCTACAAGGGACCAAACTGTGTGTTGAGCGCTGCCCACATCGCTTTTTTCTGCACAATGGCATGTGCAAACAATGCCACACCAGTTGTCAGACATGCACAGGTGATTACAAGAAGTATAAAGTGATTTCGCAAATCATTTCACTAAGACAGACAAAAAAAAAAAAAAAATTACACAACTAGTATGTGTCTTTCAAGTGTGTCAATATTTGACTTGCTCTGTAAGAAGTTTTTATGTATGAATGTTTGCAGATGCCTCGCCTCAGGGCTGTGTGACGTGCGACTGGGGGAGTACTTTGAAAGATAACGTCTGCTATCCTCGGTGTGAGGAGGGGCGATTCTTTTCACGGGAGGTGATTTCCTATCACTGGATCATATAAAATGTTACTGTTTGTATTGCCATGCCATATGTAACCATAAACGTCTGCTTATTATCAGTTGACAGCAAATCCAAAGATCACTATAATTTACCTTTATCTCTCCATTAGAGTTGTACATTGTACAGCATGCTGCTGCAGAGTGTACGACTAAATATTACATCAACGTTAATAACTTTTCTGTTAGCTTAAATTCTTCCTCTTATTCTATCTAAAAACATTCTTTTAAATTGTTTTCTTAGGAAACTTGCGAGCCATGTCACAGCTCATGCAAGCACTGTAACGGCCCCAGACCCGACCAGTGTCTGACTTGTCATCGTGATTCTGCTCTCCATGCTGTGGAGAACCGCTGTGCTCGCTGCTGTCAGGCCAGAGGGAACGACACTGACTGCTGCGTTTGTGACAGTCGCTCAGGTAAAGACCCCTGTCCTTAAAGGAAACAAACAAATACCAGAACATGAACATCTAATTTATTTGATTTTATTGTTCCAGCCCTGTGTGTGGAGGTTCCCAAACCCAAGTCCGGCCTGGATGCAGAAGCAGACCTGAAAATGTCATCCAGAGCTATGAAACACACCACAGCCGCCCTGCCTATTGCCCTGCTGCTTGCACTGGGATTAGCGCTGGCTGTGTTTTTCTTGATCAAGGCTCAAGCAAAGAAGAGGTTCTGCTGGAGCCAGAGCTATGAGAGACTTAGTGGCAGTGCCAGCGTGAACATGCCCCACGGTGTGCCTGAGCCAGACAGTGGAGACGAGGTGGATGTGGTGTACACCAGCAGAAACGGATCTGTATATCGACGCTACAGCTTCATTCACGAACAGGATGTGGATGAGAACCAGGATGCAGATGAGGGCACTTGTCTTAATTCATCTTAGATAAACACAAACTAGCTTGACAGAAAAAAAAGACAAACTGTTAAATTTAAAATAGCTGTTTAGACAAGATTATAACTTGCTTTGGTATGGTGCTTTTTGAATTCTGGTGTTTATTTTAGTGAACAAAGTGCCTGTATCTGTCTAATGCACATTTTTAGATGAGGCATGTAAGTAAAAACAGTGAAATACGTACAAATGTGTACATATATTCGTAGCCTTTGTGACTCTTCCTTCTTTTTTTTACTGGATATTAAAAAGATGTTTGCTGAACAGTAATGCCATCATGTAAAGTCATTGATATCAGGAATAATTGTTGTGTATATAAATTGATAAAATAAAACTGTTTTCATCTGATGTCTTCAGTTCACCCTGGATCACAGGATGTCCTAACCATCCTTTATATTTTTCAGTAGTGACAACATCAGCAATGGGAGTATTTCCTGCATACATTATGAACAAGTTTTACTGTCACACATTGTACGTCAATTGAAGGTGTTGTCTTTTCATGACCTTAACCGTAACCTAAAGCCTCAGCAAATAAGGAATTAATTTAACAACATCCACCAGGACATGAGAAAGCTAAGATCCTACTAAGGATTCCATTGAATTGATAAAATCCCTCCGCACCTATATATGACACACCTTTATGGGCAGGTGCTTCATTTCAACTGAGAGAGCACTGCAGGCTCATCTGGTTAAACTGTAACCTGCACCAAAGACTTAGGATTGCCTTTCGTGTGTTGTACTCACCATACACAAGAGAATGGCCTTGGCAAAACTTTTAAGGGGACACAAGATTTTAAGGAGCCTCTCCATCATCTTTACTGGAATATTCTTTTCTCTACTCCTGTGGGAAACCAGCACCAAGAGACAGCCCTGGTCTGATGTGAGGGAGCCACAGGAAATCTCTCTTGATCTTCCTGGCTGCATGGCTATTGTCAGCGGAGACATTGAGGGTAAGGAGACAGACTTATACAGACTTCTATCATCCAGAAAGAAATGGACTTTAAATGAGGGCTTCTACCTCAATGCCACAAAGAACTGTGAGGCTTATATTGAAGCAAGAGGATTTATTACAGTTCCTCTGAGTGAAGAGGAGAGAAACTTTCCTATCGCCTTCTCCATGGTGATCCATAACCAGATTGAGATGTTTGAGCGTCTCCTACGGGCCATCTACGCTCCTCAGAACATCTACTGTGTCCACACAGACCAGAAATCCTCAAAAGAATTTCAAAAGGCTGTAGAAGCCATCGTGTCATGCTTTCCTAATGTATTCATAGCAAGAAGATTAGAGAGAGTGGTGTACGCCTCATGGTCCAGAGTACAGGCTGATTTGAACTGCATGGAAGATCTGCTACAATCAAATGTCCAGTGGAGGTACTTAATGAACACCTGTGGGACAGACTTCCCTATCAAAACCAACAGAGAGATGGTCCAAGCACTGAAGATGCTTAATGGGAGAAACAGCATGGAGACTGAGACTACCAGTGAACACAAAACTGCGCGTTGGATGTATCATTACAATGTCACTGACCATATAATACAAACAGATGTGAAGAAAAGTCCCCCTCCCATAAGCAGCCCTATGTTCCAAGGGAACGCTTACTTTGTGGCTTCAAGAGCTTTTGTAAAACACGTGATGCAGGACAGAGAGGTTCAGAGACTGATTGAGTGGGAAAAAGATACGTACAGTCCAGATGAGCACCTTTGGGCCACCTTGCAGAGAATGCCGTCTGTACCAGGATCAGTGCCAGCCAACGTTAAGTATGATACATCAGACTTGCTCGCCCTCGCTCGTGTGGTGAAATGGGGATATCATGAGGGAGACATGAGGAAAGGAGCCCCGTACTATCCTTGCAGTGGGACCTACAGAAGAGCAATATGTGTGTACGGAGCTGGGGACCTACAGTGGCTCCTAAAACAGCCGCAGCTCTTTGCTAATAAGTTTGATCCTGAGGTTGATGATGTGGCTATAAGGTGTGTAGAGTCTATTCTGCGTTTCAGAGCTTTAAGCCATGATTCACTGTTAACAGAACACTATAACAGTATCATGTGAAGCTTCAAATCTGTGTGAAAGTTTTGAAAATAATGTATTTATTTGCTTTATAAGGTAAAGGCTATTCTAATTTCTGAACAAAGTAATTGATGTCATCTTGTAACTCAATTAAAAATTGTTCTTTGTCTGAATATTGTCACACCTTCTAATATTCTACATTTTTTTTTAGTATTGTCAAGATGCTGTCTAGTTAGCTATAATTGTTCAGATTTTATATTGAAATGAAATGTGCATTTATTGTGCCATCTGGTGGATTCTGTGTAAAATATCATCTTCTGTTTGATTTTTTTTTTCAGTGTTGTGCAACAAAATGGGAATTTGGTTGCTATAAAGTTTGAGTCTTGCCATGAACCAATCTGTTTCTTTTTCATCTCTACACCTTCTGAAATAAAAATACAGAACAATGGAGCAGATCCATAACTTTACTTGGAGGGGGTATTATGATAGGACCTACAGTTTGGCTTCAGACTGTTGGTCTCACAGATGATCTCCCTCCATTACTCAGAGGGGGCATGTTCAAGTGAGGGGCAAAAGTAAAACTTTATTTTCCCCAAGCAAGATGTAACAGTGAACAGTGAAAAAAAAAGGTGCCATCAAAAGTTGTGTTCTATGAAGTGCCACTCAACGGGCAAGAGTCCTAAAATTCAGTTTAAAATCAGAGCAACCATAAAAATATATTAATTTCTCTCCTTTGTCACCTTTTGAATATAAATATATATTTAAATGTAATAAAGAAGAACATGCATCAACCATTTGTAACAGAGTGCCTTAAATAACGCTTAGATACAACAGTAATTGGAGAACACCCATAAGCTAAGTTCATTAAGATATACTGGCAGTACATAAAAAAGATTTTAACCATTTCAGACAGATTGTGGGAAAACGCTGAAAATTAAGCAGTGAAAAGTTCCAACAGTGTAACAGGCAGCATCATTTCATAAAGGCACTTTCTTGATGCAAAAAGCTAAGTCTGCAGTCCTGTCGCCCAGAACACAAACAGAAGAGTGGCTGAAACGTTCTCCATTACTCTCCTCCTCCACATCTTGCAGTGAGGGCAGAGTCACTCAGGAACAGCAGCTGCTGCTACCTCCACTTTGCTGTGCATGTCCTTATCGATTCTGCGGACAAATTCAGTATCATTAGAAATATATCAGACATATAATAGAAATCAAATTCATCATAGAATCCTTTGTGACTGATTAACACTTCATACAATCACATCCTTCATTTAATCGTTGCTTTCATGCTATCACAGTAAGGTTTCTGTGTGTGGCAAAATATTTAAACTTTGACTGGTTGGGTCTATTTTCCCCGTGCCAATAACTTTTGTTTGCTGTGTTGATATCTTACACCATAAGAACTTGGCAAACATATTATCCCTCTCTTCTGGAGCACTTGTAGTCTACAAATATTTGTGAATGATTATGAAAGTTATATTATGAAATTATAAAAGTACAATGCAAACAATATCTTTGTTAGAGCACTACTTTAATTACTTGTAATGTACTGCAAATATCTCTATATAAACATACAACTATGTTTTTTAATATGTTCGGAAAATGTCCACTTTAACTCTACAGCAATTTGTAATGGTCAGGCGTATTAAGATATAAACAAACAAAAAAATAAACACTTATTGTTGCAGAGCTTGTTTTTAAACTCAACACCAGTTATTCTCAACATTTTCGTACCTGTTACCTTTCTTATGTTCGACAGCCCACAAATATGTCTGCAAATGAATAACCTCAGCAATCACACATTCATGGCTTATCAGTAATCAACAGGAAATTTATGTGTGTGTGAGGCAATAACTAAACATCAGCAGTGAGTGGGTATGCAGTGAGTCATGCAGGGAGATGTGAGTGTGGACAAAGCAAGTGTTCAGTGGGTTACTAAAGAAAACCATGTGAGGACATGGTTACGGTGCAACCACACACCACAGTGACTAAGGCAAACTACTTCCGTGAATCTCCACCTCATACAGTTGAACAAACTTTGCGAAGAATCAGCCGTATCAGATTCTAAACCTGGTTTTGAAAAAACATGCAAACACGCTCTACTTGGTGCCCCAAATTTAATATCAGAAAGCAGCTACTTAATCAGCGACTAAAAACTCGTCCAGCTGTCCTTGATTGGTGATTTGTTCAGCAGCGAGGTACATGGTAGGCTTCAAACTACATACAGGTATCTGATATTATTTTGAGGCAGTAAATAAAGAAGAGCTCATTGTAGTGGATTGGTTTTGAGATGAACCTACCGTCATTGGCTCAGAAATGGTATTACAGTTTTTCTCAGTCGCTTTGGTACATTTCTCAGATCAGAATTGAAATTCTCAAAACTACGTGTTCAATCTTCACATCATTGTGTCACTTGTGCACATCACAAAAGCAGTTTCTCATTTCTTTGAACAACTTGCAAATGCTTTGGTACATCCATGCAAATGATTATGTACAATTTTCTGCTGTTTTCTACATTATCAATTGCTTATGTCATGTTGATCAAAACGTATTATAATGGGTCTCTGTTGAATAGTCTCACCCCCCACAACATTTAGGCATTAGTTCATCGCATAAGTCTTTACATGCAAAATGGTTGAACAAGCTGTCATAATATGTCAAGCATATTTCTATACATTTCCATTAGACATTTCTGAATCTGTCCTGAATTGGTAAATTGCTCCCAGGTGAATCTTGACTTTCTCTAACGGTGGGAAATGTGTGAAGCATTAGATCAACCAATGATCAACCACTTTTCTGAAATAGCTCAAAGGTGCATCTCATGAACCATCAACTGGCAAGTATATATATTGCCGGAGCACAACACAATGTTACAATGTCTGACAATGGAAGGACAAGGAATTGGACGGGGTCAACAGCCAGAGAGAAGAAGAGGAAGAGGAGTGAGGCTGCATGGCGGAGGAGTTGGGAGGCAAAACAGTGGAAGAGGCAGAGGACATATGCGCGTTCCTGATGAGATAAGAGCTACATTTGTAGACCACGTTCTCAATCATGGGCTTACAGTGGCTGAGGCTGGCCGAAGAGTGCAGCCAAATGTTGGGAGAACAACTGTGTCCTCAATCATTCAGACTTTTCGTTGACAGAACAGGTATGTAATCTAACGATGGGCACTGTACTTTAATACTGTATACTTTCTGTAATGCTTCATACAATATTACAGTATTTGACTTTCATTTTACAATATACAATAAGTATACTATATACAGTGACATTTTGGATGAGTGACACTTTGTGGATAAGAATTTGTGGCCCAACAGACAGGAACATCAGGTGTAGGAAGACTGTACTGTGATTCCTACAGCACTGCATTTCCAGTTTTCCCTAAGGAAATTGTCCTATGTTCACATTTCTACTTTTGTTTTTTGTTTGTTTTATTGTGCTCTGCAGTGCTGTCTTTTTCTTTTCTGTATCGCAATGACATGGTCTGTCATCAATTTACAGTCTCTTGCATTCAATCTCCCACATACACTGAGGTGTAACTTACAATTTACAATGATTGTCATCAAAACTTTAACCATAGTTTACATCAGAACATCCCTCCAGAGTACACTGTTATATTGACAACATGACTAAGCAATTTGACTGTCTTATCCGTACACAATGACACAAGGACTTGTCATTCTGATGGCACTGACATGTTCATTGACACAGATATTTACTTTTGAGAGATTGTACTAAGGATTTTGAGCAAGAGACTGGCTTTTGCAGGTAATCCATGGTGTTTTGCTATTTGTACAAATTGTTTTGAGAAAAGGATTTACTGTTTTGCAAATGTCAAGGATGATTCGAGAAATGTACAAAAGCGACTGAGAAAAACTGTAAGTGGGCTAAATGATCACCAAGCCACCTGTTTTTGGAAACCAACCTGACAGATTTTGGGCCTTCTGTTTCGTAACATGCTGACTCTACTGAGAGTAAAAAGACTAGAAGGTAACAGCAAATCATTTATCTACCAATTACCATAGGACAGAAGAAGGTGCTTCGGTGCATTTCTGAAAGCCAACAGGTCATTTCCTTGTTAGTTTTGTGTTTTACAACAATAAAAAAAGTGAGGACATGGTTACGGGTGCAACCACATACCACAGTGACTAAGGCAAGCTACTTCCTTGAAAATCCATCTCATACAGTTGAACAAACTTTGCGAAGAATCAGCCGTATCAGATTCTAAACCTGGTTTTGAAAAAACATGCAAACACGCTCTACTTGGTGCCTCAAATTTAATATCAGAAAGCAGCTACTTAATCAGCGACTAAAAACTCGTCCAGCTGTCCTTGATTGGTGATTTGTTCAGCAGCGAGGTACATGGTAGGCTTAAAACTACATACAGGTATCTGATATTATTTTGAGGCAGTAAATAAAGAAGAGCTCATTGTAGTGGATTGGTTTTGAGACGAACCTAACATCATTGGCTCAGAAATGGTATTAAGTGGGTTAAATGATCACCAAGCCACCTGTTTTTGGAAACCAACCTGACAGATTTTGGGCCTTCTGTTTAGTAACATGCTGACTCTACTGAGAGTAAAAAGACTAGAAGGCAACAGCAAATCATTTGTCTACCAATTACCATGGGACAGAAGAAGGTGCTTTGGTGCATTTCTGAAAGCCAACAGGTCATTTCCTTGTTAGTTTTGTGTTGTGCAACAAAAAAAAAAAGAGCTGAGACTGATCCTTGGTGAAAGTGCATATACCTTTTAGAGGTTTTCCTATTTTTTTCCTCGTCAAACCTTCAAGAGGGGGCAGGATAATGGGGTTAAAGGAAAGGAGAGATATACAGCCAAAAGCATCCAAACAGCAACAACATTTGATCAATTAGTATTTGTGCCAAAGTCTTGTGAAGTGTCACAAGGATAGAAAATGCTCCTCAGATAAAACCACAACCAGGAAAGTCACTTGAGAAGTTTGTTGGCATGATCTCCGGCTGAGATAAACGAGAAAATATGTGCTCTCTTATGACAGATGATACCAACGAAACTGAACTCCAAACTGAAACTGTAATAAGTGTACATTTATGTTGAAACTGGCAAACAGGTCCCATGACTCTTGCCTTTCCTCTTTGAACACTAGACATCTACTGTATCTACACAAAAAGATAGACCATTGCTGTAGCACCACCTACAGGTAAAGACCACACTTTGCAGGATTAGTAAGAACTGGGACTGTGTGAGCACTAGAATTAACTACAAGAACTTGGAAACCAAATACAAGAAAGGCAGCAAGACACACCAAGGGAATAACTTCAGTGGGAATGATTTGATTAAGCTTTCTACCACAGGCGGTTTGACTGAAATCTGCAGAAGGGAAAAACGGAGGATGACCCATACACGTAATGGTATGATCATCATCTTCATCGATCAATCTTGGAATGCATTTATCTCAATCTAGCCCTCTTCTAACGTGTACACATATATCACACAATTAAAGCCAGAATTGTCTTACTTATGAATTTAACAGCCTAATCACAAAAATTTGTTGTAGCCCTAAATTTGTCTTTGTGTACTTGCAGACGTCTCACTGATTTGACAGGACTGTTACGAATTTTTTAAGAGAACCTGCAGAATACTGGTGCGATTGTGTGGAGCATACTTACTGTTTAATACAATCCGGTATGGACACATACTCCATCGGAACCAGTTCAGCAAGGTCTTTCAAGCTGTACACGTACTTAATTTTCTGACTAAATTTTGAGCTGTGAAAAAAAGCAGGAAACGTTGCAATGTCAAAGTCGTCTGAGATATTCTTCATTTGATTATTTCAATAACTTTGGGCATTAGAGGTACCTTATAAAAGGTTTTGTGAGTGCCAGCAGTGTGCGAATGAACCAAGAGGGATGAACGATTATCAGAGACTTCAAATTCTTCCTTAACCTGCACAAAACAGAGGAACACTCATTTTAATTGCGCACCTTTCATGATTGGATTTGGCACTCTTAAAAGTACTAGATATACTCACCTTCTATCAATCTGCTGATAACACTTTCTGAGCCAGCTGACCGTGGGCATCTTTTTCCGAGATGTTGCTCCGTTCAAATACACGATCATATAGTTCTCAGCGACCAAAAGCTCCAGCGTGCCGATGACATATCTACGGTAGGAAACATTTCATCAGTGCTGGTGCGACCTCACAGGGCCGGAGGAATGCAGATGAACACTCACTTGAATAAATTGTCCATGATGTATCTGTAATTTGGTTGATTGCTCTCAGGCATAAAGCACACAGCAAACACTATTATGGCGTTCAAGCCGTCTCCATAGTAACCTGAAAGCGAAAAATACAGCATGAAAATTGATGCTTCTGTTTTCGTCAATAGTTTGATTATATAAGATTTTTACATAACATTCGCATATTAATAGATTCTATGATGTAAACCAACTGACCCCCGTGGCTGATGACCCTTTTGTAAGGCTCAATGGCCTTCATATCCACTCTGTGTTCCTGGTCTCCAATACGAAACACCCTCCAGCGTCTACCTTCTTCTCTCTCGTCTGCAGCTGAGTACTCTTGCACTGACTCCATACCCTTTTGTAGTAGCTCTGTGGTTTTTGGCTTGGGAAGATCATCTAAAGACGGAAAGAAACACGCAGCTTTAAAAGAACATCTCTTTGGATGTAAAGTGATATGATCAAATTAGATTCATTTTGATTATAATGCTTCGGATCACTGAATAAATCATACTTGAACTTTTCAATGCATGCATTTTAATCAACCAAAATTAACATAGCCTCAATTGCTTTGCTTTAATTATCTGTATCTGGGTGGCATGCTTTCTCTCTGAATCAACACCAATAATCTGGACGTTCACTTCTTTCTATTCTTTCAGTGTATTATTCCCTCATATGTATTATGAGCTTTTATGTCTCTTTTAAATAGACAGAAGTTAGAGAGGGTTAGGGTTACTCCCAGACCCAGCGAAAGCAGCAAAAAAATCCACAGGGGACATCTGTGCAGCTTTTGTAGGTTGACATCAGGAAAAGTGATCAAGTGATAAAAGTGTCTCAAGCATGCAACAAGCAGAATCCCAAATAAGTGCAACCGAATTAAACCAACACGCTTTCACAAGGACCTGTAAGTGAGCAGAATCAAAACTGTTCTTCCACGTACCTGCGAAGTATGACTCATGTGTCTAAATAAGCCTGACTACAACTAGTGAGATATTGCAAGTTATTGACTGTTTAGAACATGCTAAAGGTTCCACTGCCATAACATTTTGAGCACCTGTGCAATCTTATGCAATCTTAACACCTTTTAATAAAATGCCCTCTAGTATACCAACAACAACTTTATCCATTCATTTTAAGAACAACTATCACCAGTTTGACCAAAAACTGAAAATTTACAAGCTTCACATGAGTAAAATTTATAGTAGAGGTGTTGTACCGGGTTGCATTGGATTGGCCGGGTGTTTAAGGTGTATATGATTGAGGAAAAAAGCATTTTTATTGTATCTATTGTTCAAAAAAGTCAAATTTCTTTAACATGGGTCATCTTCCATTTTTCTAACCAGTAAACCATTATTGACTGTTAAAATTTACAAACATGGATCATGAAGAATACTTATAATTTGCATCCCTAAAAATAATCATCTAAAATGATGAGATACTGCCATTTTGTATTTAAGTATTGTGTAACTTGGGTTATAATTTGAATTCCTAAGTTTTTGTATTTCTGACATTATCATATATCATTAATCCCTCATTCCTCCCTAACTTTGTGCCTGTATTAACCTGCAGATAGTTTCATAGTAGAGAATTGCTTGATCATTAACCAGCCTCCTGCCTAAACTGATCTACTGTTGTGATAACTTAATAGCATGCGAGTCACTTCCAAGAACGAGTTATTTGCAAAATGTGCTGATGATAAATACTGTCAAAAGATCAGATATATATTCTATCATATATAAATAGAAGAAAGCAGTGGAGGACACACTGCTGTGAGTTTCAGATGGAGAAAGTGGTCAGCGGGGTGTTTGGGGGGTTAATGGAACTGAAAATATACCAGAAAGTTGACCAACTTTAAGTCGTTTTATGTCATGCTACAAGAAGGTGGCGAACAAAGTACCGTCACATGTACAAACTAAGCAGTAACAAAACTGATTGATGACAGTGTAATATGGCGGCGGGGGAGGGGTTTATGTATTTCAGTAGACAACCCTGGACACCTACTGTGCCTAAAAATTTCTGTAGCTAAACTCCCAGTACAATACAATGTCTCCAAATACATTTTGAAAACATAAAGTATATCATTGTTACTTAATTGATTATGTACTGCATGTATTCTGTTATTCTGGTCATTTATGCCTACTTGTTAAATTTTACTTATTACCAAACAGTAAATGTCAGGGAATGTCTGATATCGGACAACTGCAGCATCACTGTGCAGATAAACCATTTCCTCAACAACAAGATGTGACTGATTATTTCAGAGAAATGAAAAAAAAAGTGTAAAGAGAAAGTGACATGCACAAACCACTGACTGGAAATGAATGGTATGAAACACAAAACTTCCACATGATTCGTTTGAACCCTGAAGACAGAACACAATCTGGACAGTAGGGGTTGATTGACTCATGGTTGGCAGAAAAAAAAGGAAAAAAAAAAAAGCACAGGGGCTGTCCGAGAAACCTTACCACTAGGAAGAGAGAAACCTGTAGCTGGCCTGCAGCCTGTTTCCAGGCAGAGAATGGAAACAATTCTTCCATGTGAAAAAGAGGAAGGCAGCAGTGCGGAAACACAAAAACAACAAAGCACATTTTAACTACACTTCAGGCACTAGGCTGCCATCCCGAAACCTGTAAAATCAAGGACAGAATATGCAAAAGGAACCATGAAGCCAGGGGGAGGAAAACAATGGTTGGGCAATATACTTTTTTTTAATATCATTCTTTGAGTAATATTAGTATTTTTGCACCTCTGACCTCTCAGTCAATCTAAACTTTTAATATTTACAAGACAAACTGGAACACACATGGTTAAAAAAATACCATAACAGAAGTTACTGCCTTCACACGATTATGTCCTTACCTTCCCATTCAAACTCATTGCTGTTGTCTGAGGGTGTGTCTATGCCATCGAGGTCCAGCTCTGTGCTTTCATCCAGGTCATCAGAGAGAAGAGAACTTTCACTGCGGTCAAGAGTGAGGCTGATATCTGGAGCTGCAAGCTTCTTCTTCACCCTCTTGCCATGGTTCATCACATAGCCTAAGACACAGGCCAAATCATTAGTTATGATGTTCACAGGGATGTGTTTGAATTGTTTTAAACTTCTCATAATTCATGAAAGAAAAATTTTAAGAGCCTCATGCAGAAACCATTCATTCTAAAAGCATATATCTAATAATGAAGTCTTGTGGTGCGTTTGAGTTACCTTGGAAGTCAGATGTCGGAGCTGAAAATGACGTCACACCGGAGTTACCAGCGTTTCAGGTACCAAGTTGGATGAAGGCAAAATCGGCGGTGGAAACAAGATGGCTACATCTACGAAAGTTATTTTAGCTTTTAGCACTTGCCTTATATTCGGACAAGGCAAGCGCTAAAATAACTTTCGTAGATTTAGCCATCTTGTTTCCGCTGCCGATTTTGCTTTTTTCTGACCTGGTAACTGAAACACTGGGAACTCAGGTGTGACGTCATTTTCAGCTCGGGCTTCTGACTTCCGAGATAACTCAAACGCACCATTAGAATTGATTTGGGGAAAAAGCTAACATGTTCTGTGATACTCTCTTAAACTATTGTTGCAATGTTAGGATGTATTTTTATTACCAGGCTCTACTTCTTCTGAGGTTCCTGCAAAAAACTCCTCATCAAGCTCCTCTTCTTCTGGAAGGGGTCTAAGAAACAACAGGAGGCAATGATGGCTTGAGTCAGGCAGAATATTAAGTGTGTATCTGTTCACAAACAAGCTGTGAACCATGATCCAGACAGTATTTAAAATGTTTCATGTTACTGAAAGTACCGTGGAAAATCTTCATCCTGCCATTCTTCCTTCAGTACAACTCCTTCCATGCGAAGGCGAGCCTCTCTTGTGGCAACTGACTCTCGACGTTCCAGGCTGGGGAGGAAAACAAAAAAAGGTTTTCCCATCTTTTTTTTAATGACCTTAAACTGTGAAAGGGCCTCTTGTGCTCTGTGTGCTTTAAGGGGCTAGCAGAGATTATCCATGACAAAAAAACAACAACACATTATTGACTATCTGTCAACGCTTGCTTGTGACTTATACAATCCTTTAAGGATTATGGGGGAAACGTAGCCCAAGAGTCAAAGGCAACTTCTAGTTCATTCATGGGTTAATACACCAGCTGTTAAATGCTGTACAAAGTTACAGGTTGAAGGGACATAGAATTTTTTTTTTTATAAATGCCACACAGGAGCACATGATATAAAAGATGTTCTGATATGATAAGGACAACAAATGTTGCCAAAGTCCTGGATCCATTCAGGAGTAACCCCTCATGTAAACTGATTCAATACTTAAATCTATTTGTCTATCTACTGAACATTTCTTTAACAAGATCTGCTCTAACAGCTGTTGGTAAGAAATAAATGTGCAACATTTTCAGATGAACTGTTTGTGAGTTTTGTTAAACTTACTTTAACCTCAGTTTACATTATTAAAATGCACATGATGTGGCTGATCGATCTTTGAACACCGATAGCAAAGTTTTGGGCTAAGGATCCAAAGAATCCCCATGACACGTCTGCTGCATCAGTTTCAAGATTAAAGCATCTGTTTTTGCAACACTAATCAATTCATCTGTCGAAGTTATAGCTTGCTACTAGCCACCTAATCAGATCACAGGCTCTTGAACAGCTTACAAGCTTGAGTTAAGGACTTACTCACTAATGCAGATCATGGTGTCTGTATCTTGACTGTACAGAGCTCCCTTTGATGCAGTAATCACATACATGACTGTATTTGTGCTCCCAGACATAAAAACATTCAGGGCATTTGGTGCCGAACATTTCATAATGTAGCAGTTAGGCTTACGCATGGTGCTTATCCCCACATTATATCTGAAACCCAACTGAGGGAGGTAAGAATGCCACAGGAATATGGTTTCCTGGAAAGGAACCCCTCAGTCAAAAGGCAACAAGCTGCATGTGAGCGGCCACATAAAGGAGACAAAAGCAGAAAATGTGAATCAACTGTTTGGACTTAAATAACCTCTACTCAAATACTAAGGGTAAATAACGTTACATTTCCATTTGCGGTAAACTCAACATCCATTCATTTGAAATCCATTATGCAGACTATGCTGATATTCCATCAAGGCTTCCATACAGTGACAATATTCCACATCCTTAATGCTAACTTGTTTCTGGAACATTTTAAGACAAGTATATGAAAATGTTCAAAGGAAAAGTTGACTAAGTTATTAAAAGTTTTAATATAAAGTAACTTTCTAGGGTCTTGATTTCATCCATTTGACCTTTAGGGTGGTTTGCGAACCAACTACCCAATCAGAAGCAGCAGAACTTGAGTTGCTTTGGAGACAGATTACTTTGTTCTGTTTTGATGGCTGCTCTGTTTACTGTAGCTTACATGCTAAGCACAGTTTCATCTGTTAACCTTTTCTGCTTCAGTGTCCCTATCAATCCTATGAAGCACTGGAGAGACTCGAGTGTTGATGCTGTCTATGTAACGTATACAACGTATACACTTTCAAGACATTAGCAGAAAGCTGCATGCAACACAAGGGAATCCAGGTGGAGGCTTCATGAGTTACAGGCTTTATTTTATTCACAATTACATCTACACATAAATACAATTAGTACACTGATAGTTTCTCTCTTTACCTTTATTCTGATTTATAGAAACATGCTGAATCTTTATTCCCTCACAGTAAGATGGAATTCCTTCATCTGGTTTCCAGGTGTTACCCTCTCATATATTGATTCTATCTTATTTTGACTTACTATTACCATCATTATTATTTTGTTATGGTTTTATTATCATTATTAATATTGTCTTTTTATATTTACTATCCTTCTTCCTGCTTTCTACCCCCCCCCCCCTCTTTTTATTACATTTCTTTTTTTTATTTTGGTCCTCATGGTCTCATTTTATGTTGTAGGGTTCTTGTATTGTCTGGGTTCCTTATGACAAATGAATTCAATTCGGAGGCCTTGTTTTTAACTGAGCTTTTGTTTTTTTATTTGTTTTTATTTCCATGTGCTGATGTTCTGTGCTTTACGGCTGTTAGTCAAAGCACTTTGTAAACCTCTTTTTTCTAAAGTGCCATAAAAATAAAGTTATTATTATTATTATTGATTAACAACCTTGACAGTGACCTGTGCATACTTGTAATGAACAGTCCACTCTCGTCTGCCAAGGATCACACATCTGTCATCATCCTCCTAAGAATGGAAAGTCAGCCAAATGGTTTTCTGAGCCTGTGATGCTGCCTACTGATGTGGCTGTCACTTAGTAAGGTTTTAGAGAATAACAGCCACACCTACACAGAATCAAGTACGTGTGTCTACATAGTACGTGTCTGAAAGTTATAGAAAGAAATTCACAAAGCATGTTTTTTTCTTCTTTACTTTGTACTGATTTCATACTTTTTGTGGTTGGTGTGATATTAAACTAGATTTTTATTGGAGTGTCCCTTCGCCTTGCCATCACTGTAGCTTTACAGTGAAATCATACAATAAACTGTCCTGTTTTGTGACCACTCTGTAGCTAACATTCAGAAAATAAATTTCATCCCAGCTCAGTCTAGCATCTACTTTACCTGATTTTCTGGCAAGACTATGAATGTACAAATGCCAAAGGTTTGGAGAGGATTTTCCTTTTCCTCTGACATGAAGGCTTGTTTGTAGGTTAAGCGCTGATTTAGAAAAATGTAGGTAGACACGCTGAAAACAGGTTGCCCAACATATTTGTGAACTATTGAAGAATCTGTTATTTTACTAGTGCTGCTGTTTGAGCTAAAATGTTAAGTTTTGTCTGCGAGGCACAGTCTTGAGCTGAGGAGGTGAAGACAGCAGACAGCACAGCCACAGGCAATGACTTTGGAGAATCAGTGTCCTGTCAAACAACTTTCAAATCCAGTACAAGGGAAAACACTCAGACACTTGAGCACAGACTGACTGAGGACAAGAGCAGCATTCCTAACAGTGAAGGGGAAAACCAGATGCTGTATAGGACTGGGCGATTACATGATCGTGATCAATGATCGTGATAAATTTCGGTTCGATCACGGTGATCAGCTGTGAGCATATTTACTTGATCAAACATAGCGGAAATGTGCGTGACAACAGCCAATCAGAGTTGAGCTTTTCCTGCTCACTTCTGTAAGATGCCGGAGAAATAAACAGAATGACCGAACATGGAGATAAACGCGGCACTGAGGGCAGCAAAATAGATGTCAGCCATGACTTTAAGTCATCTTCTGAAGATGTTATTGTTGAGAAGTTATTCAATGTCAGTTGTGTGGCAGTGGTTTGGGTATCTCCAAAGTGACATTGAGCAAATAAGCCGATGTGCAAGGCATCTGGTGCTGATGACACAAGATGCATTAGCAGTTAAGCCATAACTAGTGGTGCAGCCACCGGACCAAAGCAGCGATCAATCGTATCATCTACGTTTAAATCATCTAATGTTTACATTTTAAGGCGTCTTCACTATCCCTGAGGGGGCGATTTGTTTATTTTGGGTCTTACAAACCTGCAAAAACACAGAGGACTGTAAACTAGTTCACTGTATTATTTAATCTACATTTGTTGTTCTGTTGAGTTAAATGGTTTATATATTTTTCTAAGTGTATCTTATTCAATTTGCTTTGTTATTTACTTAGTATGTTAATAAAGCGTTGAACTCATCTCTAGTTTCTTTAGTTTTTAGTACAGATGCTTTAAAACTAGCAGTTTTAAAAAAAAATCGTGATAATAATCGAGATCGGACGATATGACAAAATGTCTCGTGATCTTTTTTTTTTGCCAAATCGCCCAGGCCTAATGCTGTATCATGTTTTCTTTTTTCTCTCAGCAACAAGTAGGCCAAGCATACAAATATAAACACACAGACCTTGCAATGGGTGTAGTTGGTGTGCGTGGCTGGGAGAGGCTCCCTGGTGTGGAGCTCCTAGGTCCTGGTTGTCTCTGCTCATTGTCTGGAGTTGTCCTTTCCTGTGGCGTATGTCTCGCTTTTAATGGACTCTCTTGAAGCGCCTCTTCGCCATTTTCCACCGTGGAAGCTGTGCTTTTTTGTAGTTCGCCTAAATCATCCTCGTCACCTTCTCCCGACACCCCTGAAGAAGAAGGGCTGGATGTCTTTCTGTTCCCCTCATGAGTCCTCGTAGTCGAGACAAAATCTGGGCTACTTTTGTTCAAGCTCATGTCATTTACACCCTTTAAAGCCGCTTCGCTCTCAATCACATCCGATGCCATGAGTTTCTTTTGAGCGGTTCAGAGTCGAAAAAGACGGGTTTTACACAAGTTTCTTACTTAACATGGGTTTGTAAGATAGCTGAGTTTACCCCTCTCCGTCACACCGCTAACTTCAGCCTGAAATATTGTTGACAACCAGCTCAGGCATTTCTTAACTTAATAGTGTTAAATGTCACAAAGGGTGGATAGATATTCGACTTTTCTAAATGCGTCACAGTGAGGCGACACAGGAATCCAAACAGTATGGAAGTTTTACATAAACAGCGATGCCAAGCGACCCTGCTGAGAGTTTTCCTCCCTTCCTTCCTCCAAGTCAAACCGATCTGCGAACGAAACAAACGATAGTCACGCTAGCATTATCGGCTAAAGTCGGCTAATTTTGTCTGTCTCAACGCCAGAAACTAAGTCTACCGAGAACAAGGCAGCAACTACAAAACAGGTCCATCAATCCATGTAAGGTACAAACTCAACATTTACTGCTTTATCTTACTGATTCCCGGTTCTAACTCAACTATGTGGCCACATAAAGAGGTTGTTTGCTAAGATCGCTAACTAGCTAACTTACTGACGAGTTCTGTCGACAGTGCATTCAGGTACAGGACGTTTAGTCGGAATAATTAATTTCCAACTACTTAATTTTCGGAAAAATTAATTTCCGACTGAAAAATAAAACCATCTCCCACTCCGTAACGCCAACTGAAAAGTGGAAAGTTAAATTTTCGTTAACAGAGTTAATGTCGTATTACTAGAACTAAAAAAAAACAGCGTATGTGTTAGCATATTTACCATTTTTCAATTCAATATGCGGTTTTAAAAAATTCGCGTTATTTTCCCACTCCGTTGAAATAAATCGCTTTCAATATAGTTTGTTCTTTAACAACATATAAAAATGGCAATTTTTCTGTGTCCATGAAGTTTTCACTATGTAACGCTCGTAAACTCCTCGTCGCAGTTGGGAGAGCAATTGCTAAAGCTCGGATATCCGAGCATCTTGGGAGTACGTGAATGCAGATCTACTTTTCCAGCCAGCGACAGAGAGCGAGTGCGAGGGGTTGCCAGTTGTGCTTCCTGCAGGTTATTATCTGAACTGTTTCCTTTAATTTATCAAGAAAATATCGCAAAAAACACACACAAAAGCTCTAGAGAATGCTGTTTGGTACACTGCTCTAACCCTTTGACAAATACAGCAATTCACTATCTCATATACGCTGTTATAAACATGCAAAATTGTATTGGCACAAGTTGAAACAAAAAACAAAAATGCTCTCCACTTGTTCAAAGCATGTTAAAGAGCTAAAATTCAAGGCTTTGTTGTAGATAGAAGTTGGTTATTGTAATAACTAAAAACCAAGCATATGAAACATGGCATATCACTAATTCATTTAAAATTTTTGGTGATCAGTGGAGGTGTCACTTCCTCAGCCATGTTTCACTTACTTTAAAATGAAGCTAAAACTTTATTTTTTAAGGATGAGACTTCATAACTTCATTTAGACTTCATTTAATCAATCAATTATAGTATAGTCAGCCTTTTATAACATCCACAATAAAATAGCACTAGGGCTCGCAAATGGTACAGTACATGCAGCAAGTATTTGTATACCCAAATTTGTAAGTATGTTTTTGATACCTTTCATAAGTACATTTGCTTCTTATTCTGATACTTATTGTTCTAAAATTCTCTGAAATACAGTTATGAATGCTGGACTTGTAAGAGTATTTACATGGAGGAATTTGTATAGCAATATTGCTGAATGCAGCTTATTAAAAGTTCCCAATTTTGCCTATTATAGCAGTAAGCCTATTAGCGCTCATGTGTTTCCAAAGTCCAAAAAGTCCAAAAGATTGTGCTTTCATAAATAACCAAAATCTTTTAAAGCAAGAAATGAAACCCATGTGCAACATTGGAAGATTTCCATTTTAGTGACAGACTAATAAGCCATGAATATGTTTGTATTTCTTCTTTCGATGTTATTTTCTGTTTTTAAGTTTGTTTTAGATTGATGCTCATATATCCAATTTTTAGGTAGTATGAAAAACATTTTTATATAAGATTTAAGACAGAATAATAAACAACAGATTTTTCATCAATAGATATGGTCCTGTTATAAAATGTTAAAACTAGTTCTTAATTTTCCTATAGTGTCTCATTCCTGCCACTAGGTGGAGGCATATACTCACTTATAGACAACAACCTGGCTGGTGAATGAATATGAGGCTTATTTTCCCTCTTGAAGTGAGAAACTTTGATCAGGCTGAGATGAATTAAAGAGTTTGTGTCGATTTCAACAATAATTAATACCCCCTGAGTCTAACTTACCATGGCAAAGGACTCCAGATTAGTCAGAATTTAGCACTGGCGTAAGGGAATAAGATGTCTTTTTAACAGTGATATACCACAGTTGAGAGTGTTGCCATCACTATGCAGCCATGCACCAGTTAATGAATAATTCTGTACGAGAACAAGCGAGTCTGTTCAGTTTCCCTTTACTCTTGCTTTCAAGCAGGAACAATGAGTAAATAAGCTTTAATTTTTCTTGCGAGGGTCATAATAATTATTATCATATTGGAAAGACCTAATGTCTTAAAAAAAGAAATAAAGGAAAGCAGTCCATAGCTCCTACATAATGATACTGCCTAGTTAATTCCTCCTGTGTGTGCAGCGGATCATTCACTGTTTCTAATTAACACGTTGGTATTTACTCTGTTGGATCATTAGGCCTCATCACAAAAGGATAATCCAGTCAAATTGAGAGTTTATGCTTCCCTTCTACGATCCACCATGGTGTTGTTTGCTAATGAGTCATGTAGCAATTATCTAGCAAATTAAGACAAATGTTTCCTGTTTGGCCAAGATAAATCTACCGGCTCAGCCCTGGTACTAACACATATTACACAGATAGTGCAATTTTTTTTTCAATATTGAAGTCACATTTCATAAAACTAAAACTTTCACGGGAATAAAAGTTGAAATTTTATTTCTTTTTATATTGTTTGTGGCTTGATCTTATTTTTGGTTTGTTTTTTTGAAACTGAAAATAATGTGATAAATTAGGATACAGATTTTTTTTTCCCCTTTCAGAATAACAAGACAGACAAAGCCAATGAAAATCAGCCTTCATGAAAAAGCATGTAATTTTTGAACTGTGATATTTGCACAATTAGGTGTGTGTGTGTGTGTGTGTGTGTGTGTGTGTGTGTGTGTGTGTGTGTGTGTGTGTGTGTGTGTGTGTGTGTGTAAAGCAAGTCATTCATACAGCCCCATTTCAGCCCAGCACTTGGTTTAAACCACTGACTGTATATTTATAAATTAAAATCATTAAATTGATTGAAGTTTTTGTGCAGTCTGTGCTTTAAACAATTAAAGACAGAACTGTTTGATGCAGTATCTAATTCCTCCATTTCTAAGTGAGTCAAAAACTCCATCACTGAGCAGAGATTTTCACAGACCCCTCTTTTCATGATGAAAGGAGAGCTGAACATTGGGATCACAGACTGAAGCGGCAACCTATTTGTGAAGCGGAATCATTAAGGAAGGTTCTTCAACCAATTTCCATAAGTGGGGTAGTGGGAAGTATTTAGGCTACTCGAGGTATATCACTAATGAGAGAAGACAAAAAGGATTCATGTGCATGTTTTATGCAATCTCTTTCTGGGTGTAGATGAATAATTATTTATGATTGCAAAGCCTAAAAGGGAGGCAAAAAGATAGCAACAGCAAAGAGACTAGTAAAAAATTTAAAGAGGAAGTTAAATGAATATTTAAGGGAAGATGAAATATTTAATGGAAACAAATGAGCAAAACATTTAAAACGGCATGATAAATAGTAGTGAGTGCCATTAAAATGACCCTCCTGATTTGTGCAGTTTGCTTCAGCAGTCAGAAAGTCTCATTCATACTTGTAATGGTGTGAAACAGGAGCTCAGACAGTTGTTTTCAGCATGGCAGTTGTTACGAGGGCACTGTGTCTGTAACCCAGAGCCGACCTCTGAGCTGAAAAATATTAGCCTTTGATTCACCGTAGTTTGTATTGATGCCATGAGGCAGAAACAATTTATGTTTCACTGACCTGCTTCGAGTTAAGGTTCGTACTTAAAAAAAAGAAAAATTAATACTGAACATTGCTGCTGTTAATCTTTAAAGAGAGACACTTTGCATCAGGGTTTTTCACATACTGTAACATTAATCTGATAAACTTTAAAGTACGCTTTCTACCTCCTGACAACAAAAGAAAAAACAATCTGGAGTATGTTCCGGCACAGTTAATTTGTTTTCCAAATGCGGAAATAATTAAATCAGCAAACAAATAATTATTCAAGTCAATGAGAACAATTATCCCAAAGACGCCTCTGAGACTTGGATGTGCGTGCTGAATTGATTAATTAGCCTGCTAAAGATAATTGAGTTGGATCTTTGAATGCTTCCCCTCAACATGCACCAGCCCTCATTTTTGATCTCATGATGGGAATCATGTCCTCCATCATGATGTCATAGTAAACACTTAAGACTTGTTGTTTGCATTTTCTGTCCTTTTTCCCCACTGCGAGAGTTCCTGTATGGGGCTACTTGCTGAATAAAGCTGTATCATAATTTTTCATTCTGCTATTTGTAAATAGCAGAATAGAAGAATAACATAAATAGACAAATATAGGGATACAGCAGAGCCAAAATAACAATGTGTTCAAGAGTAAATTCTGATTTTTACAACATTGATTGTTGTTTCAATAAACCCTGTTTGTCACCATCACTGTTGTTCCTAATTTTATATTTGGTGTCATCAGCGGCCCCTATCCATTCAGTCGCTTGATTATTGAGAAGCTCATCTTACCAACTGGCCCCAAATCAGCCAGGAAGCCGTAAGTGAACATTCTTAAACCTGTTCTAGCCTTCTTAACACTATTTCTGAGTGAGCAAAAATTCTGCTGTACAAAAATGCAAATCAGCCCTTTTTTAAAACCTTCTCTCACATTAAAGCTACTATGAGGACATTTTTTATGTTAATAAAATGGACTGAGATTCATACTGATGCTTTTTCATGATATCCAAAAACAAACAAGATCATCAGAAACAAGACTTAAGATCCTGACACAGGTGCAAGGGAGTAGGTGTCAGCTAAGCAGGTGAGGAGACAGCTATCTTAAATATTCACAGAAAATGATACACCTGGCTGTCAAAAGTCACCCGGATGAGATTTTTTGTCGAAAGTCTCTGCTTATGCATGCAGAGTAAAGGACAGGGGCACCAAAACTGAGACAAACCTTAAGTTTTTTACAGGAAATTCAAAAGGAAAGTTTTTTCCCACTTTAAAACACTTCCAAAAGCCTTCTTTTACAATTACAAACTCAACAATAAGCAATTATCTGTACAACAATTTTTCTCTCTTTTTAAAGTTGTACTATATGGCAATTAAATACACAAACTGTTAGAATACCAGTCACTTATAAACAACTTGACTTAAAGCTACTCTCAAATTTTCTCAGCTTGTCATGACACAGACTGAAAGTAACACAGAGCCTCTTGATGACCTACAAAGGCAAATTAGACTGTCAGGAAAAAAGGTAATTTTTGCTAAAACTGTCATGGATTATAGTACATCAGAAG